TACACCTTGCTGTATGACAAGGATCCAGAGCAGAATTGCAGTGCAGGCGGGTGAGCCTTGGGAGATGTGGGTGGGAGAAGGAAATGCAGCATGAAAGGTGCAGTACAGAGGGGAAAGAGAACTTGTAGCTCTGCTGGTACTGTCTTGTACTTAGCAACCCTGATGTGAGAAGAATCCCTTAAACGTATATCCCAGTGCTCCAGCAGGATTAGATCAGTTCTGTAGAAGGGTGCTGGTGAGTGGAAAGACAGAAGAAAGGAATACTTCTGAACAAATACTTCTGAGTAACTGTTCATAAGGTTTAATAGCATTACAATCCTGTAATACTTCTTTTTTAGTGTCAGATTCAAGTGAAGGGTAATACATTTCAACACTATTTATTCAGGAAGGGGGAAACCCCCAAGTCTTCCACCTACCCTGTGAATGCTCTAGGCAAAAGCGTGCTTTATTTTGTGGGCTCATCTAGGTTCAGGCACATGCCCGGCTGTGCAGCACTGTTGGGTCCATGGCTGGAATGTCCTGCTACCCTGGCTGCAACTGCAGAGCTTCTTTAGGCTGTCTGCCCAGTTCAGTCTCCAGCTCCTGCCCTGTGCAGCAGCTCCTCGCCCAACCATGACACTGCAAGTGTTTGTAGGACTATGCTGAAGACTCGATCACTAAAAAAGCTCAGATTTAAAATAACTTTTTAAAAAGGGAAAGGGGGAGGCCTTTTTGGTCTGGATCAGTCAGAGATCTACTTGCAATGAAGCCCAATGAACAGCTGTATTTTTACAACTGAAGGGATGGCATATTTTTTTAGGATCAGGAAGGAAAGTGCAGAGGAAGAAACTTCCCAGACTGCCTTCATCACCAGAACCACTCTGCTGTGAAATTTCAGTATAGGATGCTGTTTGCATACAGAAAAGCAGAGACTTCAGATAGTTTTAATGGCACCTGTACCTTCAGAGTCAGGGAGCATCTGATGAGAATTTTTCAGACTCCTAATAGCAAAACTTTTGACATACGCACCTAAATTCTGCCTTATTTCTTTTCTTCTATGTAGTCCTAAGTGTTTTTTACTGCAGGATCTGCAGAGTCTTTACGACAAGAATAATATAATTAAATTAATCATCTAACTTATGGCTCATGTGGCATGATTTGGCTTTTCGGCGTCTCCGTTACCATTGCTGTTGGTCTTTTACAACAAGATCTCCTCTTTGTGTTACATCAACATTCATGATTCATGGACTTCTTCTTATCCTTATGTACACGTTATGTCCTTCAGATGTAAAATCTTCACTTAGAGCAAAGGACTGGATAAACGATGTAGGTAGTATAGTCAAAAGTCCTAATGTCTAACTTAATAATGAAGTTTTAATGAAGGCAATGAAGGACTCATTGGCTTTTTGGAGATGGTGGGAAGAAGGAATGACTTCAAGACACTGTAAAAATAAAAGAATAACACAAGTGACCAGGTTCCTTGTGGTGGGAAGTTAAGATGTTTCTTTTCATCTCTATGAATATGTGTAACATTTATAATGATTAATAGAATGTGGGTAAGCCCTCTGAGGTGAAAAATACACTGCTTTATTCTTAAGTAGTACATGACCTATAAAGCAAATAGTGTAAATCTTAAACATTAGTTTCCTGCTGAATGTTTCAAAGAAGAAGAACAATAGCTTTTGTAAAGATTTTTCCATAAATGCTCTGAAATGTTATTGTTGAAATTGTGCGGTTTTTTCTAAGTAGTTTATTAATTGGTAAAATGTACTACCTTATGAATATATTTGTAATACATGTAATATATGTGCTTTTGAATATAAATAAGTTCTTTTTCCTGGAAATGTTACTTTATCTTACATTATTTCTGAAATCAGTCTGTGATACTTGGCTATGCTTATTCATCCTTGCTAGATACATATTTGTGTCCTTTTTTCAAATGAAGGAACTGCTACAAGGTGCCAGTAGATTAGTAAATTCCCAATTGTGAGCATTTGTTGAACTTGCTTTATAAATCAACTCCTCATCTTCTATTGTCAGAAGTAGTTAATGTTGAAGTCGGTTTTCAAAAGTTTCAGTCTTTCTGAGCAGAATTATTCCCCACGAGTTCCATATCTTAGCTCATTTGAAGCAGACAGATTTCTGTAGCTAGGGTCATTATTTTGGAGTTATGTTTTCAGCAGAAGGCAGAGCAGGGACTGGTACAAATCCGTATGTCTCTGTGGGGAGCTGTTGGAGCCCTAATCCTCCTCCATTTCTGCTGGTAGACACAGAAGAAAGAAATCTAGATGAGGCTTTTGTGGAAGTGGTTGCCTGCAATACACTGCACTCCATGACTCAGAAGGATTTGAAAATATTGGTGTTATAGTGTTGTAAGACTGTGCTGTCTATCACCGGGATGCAGGCTCTTCACACCGGTAGCCCAGCCTTTTTAAGCCATCGGAGGCAAGAACATGGGTTTCGTCCTGCTGCCTCAAGGGGTAGGTAGCCTCTCACTCTACTGAGCTGATAGACTGCTTCTGCCAGTGAGATAATGCTTGGCTGCTGTCCCAGGACAGAACTCTACAGCCAGCTGATCCTAGTCTCTTTTCTTCACCACTTCATTTCTGATTGTTTGGGTTTACTAGTGCGGATTTCACAGAGAAACCATGTCTGTCCGCATCCCTTAGCACCCACGGGAATCTTGACTGGGAGGGACCTCAGGAGGTCACTTGGTCCAGGCCCTCACTCAGAGCAGGACTGTTCCAAAGAGTAGGTGAGGTCAATCCCAGAAAGAGCTTTTGAGGCTTGCCTGGTTGAGCCTCCAAAGCCTTCCAGGACCTGTTCCAGTTCTGTACCACCCACCTCCTGGAAGTGTTTTTCTTACCTCTCACCTGACTCTTCCTGGTTGCAAGCTGTGGCCCTTGTTCCTTCTTATGTCAACTGGAATTGCTAGGATAAATTTTGCTCTCTTGTCTTTGTAAGTACCCTTCAAGTAAATGTACTTCTCCCTTAGATCGATAGTTTCCAGCAGAGGCTTCTGTATTCCACAGGGGACTGCACTCCATAGGCAGTGTCTGTAAGCCCAGACAAAAGTGCAATCCCTAATTTCAGGCAAGACATCCCTGCAGGGCTCCTTCTGGTGTCTTATGCTTCTCTCTTTCTACAGAGCTGCTCACTACCTTTGGTGTTCTCCTCATCCCTCACCTCTCGCCTGGCTTCTCAGGGTGTGTAGGGGGGCAGCTGGTTCATTTTAAGGGAGTTTTAGCTTAAACCGCCCTATAGATTGACTTGTTGTCTAGGGCACACAAGTGAGGAAGCTGGGATTTTGTACTCCTGCAAGGGGTAGACATAGCCGAGTCCTTAGCAAAATCTTGGTGGTTTACATTCAAAATCCACTTGCATGCCTTCCTTCTATCTTATCTCCGTGTTATGGACCAGAAAATACCCAAAGCTGGGTAAGAAAAGCTTTAAACCCTGTTGTATCTGACTAACAGTAATTTATCCTGGGAAAGTTTTCCATCTCTCAGGCAGTACAGAATTTGTTAAATTTTATGGCATAGCTTGTTCATATTTACTGATTTAAATGCTATTGTTGTCATACAAATTTATCTCTGATTTTAACTTCATAGACTTCAGTGAGGTTATGCAATGGATCTTTCTTCCCATACTTTGTTTCAAAACACTGGAAATAAAGTTCCTTGGACTCTGTTTGCATTACATCAGCTTTCTCATAGAAAAGATTTTTTTTTTTTTTTCTAGCATCCTGGATCAATCTAAAGCCTAGGACAAATATAGGACTCATTAAATGCCATTTGTCTGAGAAACAGAATTTGATTGCACCATGATGTTATGTGGCTGAATATATATCTTTTTAGCAGCTAGGACACAGGACCAGGATTCAGGAAGCCATTTGGCAAACACAGAATTAAGCACTTAGCAATTCTGTGCCTCATATTTTCCATCTGTAAAATGGGAACAGTGATACTTCTTTCTTTCAATAGAATTTCTGATTTAATGATCTATGATTATCATTACTACTGTTCAGAGTAGCATCAACTCTGTTCTGAATTGACTATAATTAGAATGTTTAGATGAATGAAAGCAATTACAGCGCCTGTATGCCACAAACAGTTAAGCCCATTATTAATTTAATGTCTGTGAGTAATTGCAGTTACTTCAGTGCTCACATGAGTAAAATTCAGCACATTTGAAGTCTTTGCAGGACTACAAGTGGAACACTCTAAGAAACCCTAGTTCTTAAATAGAAATAAATTATAGTAGATGTCTCAAAAATATCTAGGAAATTTATTTTAACTGTATGCTATGGCATATTGTGCAATGAGCCTTAATTTGGTTCACAAAACTTGATGTTACAGCCATTGATGATAAATATTGGCTTTCATATCAATCAGTATATTTTTGCAGAAAAGTAATCCTTCTTTAAATTCTATCTACAGTTCAAAAGCTTATTGTTAAATACGTTTTGTTAATAAGAAGCCTGACTCATGGCAGGCTGCACTGTGAATGACTGATTACCAGGGATATCGAACAGACCTGTTTCCATTCCACTGCCAGAACAGCTAACTTTAGAGCTTGTTTAAGAAAGGAATCGTTTCACTCAAAAAATAGTTTATGTTTTCACATTACAAGGGTTTTGTTTTCTGTGTGATGATAGCTAGTTATTCAACTTTACCAAGGATAGGGAGAAAGTCACCCAAATATATGTTGAAAGAAATTCTCCAGTAGTGATGGAAAACCCCAGGACTGTGCAAATGTGCCAGATGCGTATCACAAGAAGCAAGTTCTGGACAGCTGCAGTTGAGATGCTGAGAAGCAGTGAAGCCCAGGGCAAGCTGGGGTGGGGACTGGCTGGTGACCACAGGCTGAGATCAGATGCCCCTTGGCTCACTTCTGGAACAGGAAAAAAGCCACACAGATACACACACAGCTTGTTGCAATCTGACAGTGGAGGTGTTTAGTTTTTGGGTACCATTTTGTTTTCCATCCTTCAATTACCCTTACTTTTCTTCTTTATACAGTTGATGGTTTGGACAAGGCTTCAATTGCTAACTCAGAAGGACCAGCCCCAGGATCCCAAACTCCCCCCTTCAAGAGGAAGGGCAAACTCTCCAACATTGGCAAAATCTTTAAACCTTGGAAATGGCGGAAGAAGAAGACAAGTGACAAATTCAGAGAAACGTCAGCAGGTATGTCTATGGCCCTTTGGTGGCAAATAGTAGGAAATGCTATGATGGTTTTGCAGAGCTCTTTGAGCTTGTTAGGTGGCAGGGATTATTTAGGCATGATATTTTACATGTAGAAGAACAGTTTGATCCTTGGCAGTCTTACAAGAATGACACATTAATTCTTATAATACCAAGGCAAAATGTGTGTTCCTATTTCTTTTACAGAAGGAGGAAATTAAGCACAAAGAAATTAAGATCAGCTTTTTCAAAAGTGCCTCCTTAGTTACTTGCTAGTACTTAATTTGCTGGTCTTGTTTATGATGATGTGATCCCTCAAGATAGCAATTTGCTTTTAAACTGTGTGTGAGGTCACTTATGATTGTGTATGTGCTTCATGTGAGGCTGGAATTTAAAATGAAAAGTAGTTTGGATTGCATCCATCCTGCCTCAGATGGTAATTTCAGGGAGGAAAAAATTAGTTTTCCCTGTGTTTCTTGAGGAAATAGACCCAGGACCAATGGAGGCTGAGATGACGCGTTTACGTGGCAAGTTGCCCCTTGTTGCGTGCTTACTGACACAGGAGAAGAAACTTGCTTATTTGACTTGAGAGAGAAATGGGAAGACATCCATACAAAATAAAAATTCTACAGGATATCCTCTTCCTCAGACTGCTCCATCAGAGATGTATTTACATTACCAAACGGGGGCTGTGTGTATGTGTGTGTGCATCTTATATGCAGGAAGCCCATTTCCTGGCCTGAGACTGTGGGAGAGAGCATGATGATCCTCATTTATTGCCTATTCTCTTAACAGGGCTACAACTTGATAAGTCTGTATGCAGCTGAAAAATGAGTTTTCTTCTAAGACAGAATGTAGGCTGTTGGAAAGAACTCTTATAGCTTTCTCTGGGTTTTCAATAGGCTTTTTAAAATAGGTTCTTGCTACAGCCTTGCCAGGCCATGTACCTTAGAGTGCTTTTTGTCTTATGAGCAACTGAAAGATGTTCATAAACAGCAAATACCACAAAAATAAAAAAAATAATGGAAGTTTAGATGTTAGATGTTAGTATCTGTGCTGATGTGGGAACGATGGTTTGAATTTTTTTCCTTTATCAACATATTTTCCATGCTCCATCTCAGAAAGTCTGTTCTCTGGGCCCTGGTTGTATGCTTTTTGCCTAGAGGGCTTTCAAAATTAAGTAAAACTAAACAGAAAATGGTATCATCTCAAGGGTTTCTCTTCTCTGCAATGTTTTGTTGTTAAAGAAAGGAAAGCAGCAGTTTGTGTCTTGGCACAGAGTAGATGCCACTTCAAAGCTTCACTGCAAGAGTATATGCAGACAGGGAGCAGAAGGCAATTTTAGCTATTACTAGGTCAGAGAAAAATTAGTAAGTGGAATTATCTCAAGCTTCTCTTAGAAGAACAAAACTAAATACTGGAAAATATCCAGAATCTCACAGCATTCTTTGAGTCAGAGAACGGGTTTTAAGCCTGCCTGAGGTTTGTAGCTGCTGAGCATCACTAAGCAGACTCTTTTGAGGGGATGGGGAGGGAGGGAAGGAAATGTTTGAATGATGGTTGCTGGGTGTGCAGATGGTACAATACACTTAACTGTATAAATGTGAAATATATTGCCTAACCTAAAGTCTGTAATCATCAATAAATTATAACGATGAGTCCATGCTGGCTAAATAGCACCCAGTATAAGTTTCTAAGTTGACAGGCTACTCATTCCTCTTATACAGGAGCACATACTTTTGGCGACTTTGATTTAAATTAAAATTTTGCCTTTTTTGTCGTAGGAATTAAAATTATGATACTCATAGTGAATACTAGCATAATTTCTAATTTATTTTTTTTCCATGGGCCAAATAATATTTAAAATAAATTACCTTTTCAAGCTGAATTAATTGAGCTTAATCAGTTTAAATAAAAATACCACTCATGGCTAGCATTTTAGATGATGGAGGACTGGGGCTTAAGCTTCTTATCTGTTCACAATTTTTCTAATCCGTGAAATGGAGATAGTTATGTGTCAGGGTTGTTATGAAACCTACGTAATTTATAAAATGCTTTGAGGTCTTTCAGTAAAAGTATAAGGAGTTCATGTCTTTTAATGCCGATTGACATTTTCCTTGATAATTAATTCAATACAGTTGTTAATTCAGGGTTGTAGAACCAAAAAAAAAAATCCTGAAAACTAGAGAGACACATTGATGGGGGGGGATGTCTGATTCGATGTTCTTAAGCTTCATGGAAGAAGAATTATTGTTTTCAATAATTCGACTGTCCCACAAATAGGTATATGAGAGATCACTTCATTTCATTGTCACCAAAAAACAATTCTAAAAAGGAAGCAGAGAGAAAAAATAGCAGTAATCAAATTATACCTGTAATGCTGAAAGAATAATAAAAGAATTTTTATATTGCCAGCAAGAAAACAAGTGTAAAGTATTTGCATAAAATGTTCCTCCTTGGGGGCTCTGTCAAAGGAGATTTCATTCTGCTTGTGAATACATCTGCTTTCTAGAAAGACTAAGACACTCCATCCATGCCTGCCTATGTAGTCCTCTGTCTTCATGACTTCCAATGTCTTTTAAAAGAGTCTTTGTGGGACTGAGTGTTCCCTGACATGAAAAAAACTCTTTGCAAGACTAGGGCATGCTCCTGTGCCAATGTGTGACACACAGTTGCAAAGCATAAACCTTAAAAAATAGTGGAGAAAAACTGGAAGAACTTGTGAGTAATTTAGGTTTGGGACCCAAGGCAGTCTAACCTGATCAGAGTTCCTGCTACCACACTCTCCCCAAGTAGGCTGGCTTATACTGAGAGTCTATAGCCACACTCATGGGCTCCTTTATATTGTCAAATGCAGTTTGAATGCGGCAGAGGTTTGACCTTTAATGGGCAGATCTCACAAAGTACCTGAGTATATAGACACAGACTTAATGCCAACTTACATGTTCTTGAGCCAGTACTGTTTGCATTTGTGAGCTCTTGATCTCACAGACATGAGTAGCTTGAACTGGGCTGGTCAAAATGTTTACTGCCTCCAGCTCTTCTGCCAGGAATTGGTGCTATTTTGACACAGAAATGTTGGGTAGTTGCTGCATCCCTGAACTTTGTAGTGTGAGAAATAAACCTGGTGCTATAAATTTGGGAAGTGCAGAATCTGAGTAACTTTTTACAAGTGCATGTAATGGTAGGACAAGGGTAATGGCTTTAAACTGAAAGGCAGGTTTAGATTAGATATTAGGAAGAAAATCTTTACTGTGAGGGTGATGAGGTGCTGAAACAGATTGCCCAAAGAAGTTGCAAATGCCCCATCCCTGCAGCTGTTCAAGGCCAGGTTGGATGGGGCTCTGAGCAGCCTGGTCTAGTGGAAGGTGGCCTTCCCCATGGTAGGAGGATTGGAAGTAGGATCTTTCCAACCCAAACCATTCTGTGATTCTGTTCAATCATCCCCTTCCCTGGCAGAGAAGGGGAGTGGGAAGCTGTGAGCAGGGATGCCTTCGGGTGCGTGAGGTCAGCCAGCCTGGTTGTGTCAGCAGCCTGAGTTACCTGCTGCTGGGAAAGATGTTTTGCCATGCATGGAGGGTAGCCTTCTTAGAAGACCTGAACTGCCTCTCTCCTTGCTTTCTCAGGAGCCGTCACTTCACTGTATGGCTGATTCATCCAACTGGGCTGGCACAAATGAGATTGATAATACTTCTTGCAGTATTTAATCTGCATACAGCAATTAGACTGACCCTAGAGAGTGTTTGAATTAGTTGATGAGATAAATAACCCTATCCCATAGCATTAATAGGATGAAGTCCAGCACGGCTGAAGCTTCGCCACATGCCCTCAGCTTGAGCTGCAAACATCACTTGGATTTTGATATCCAAATGTAAACAGAATCAGGATGGGAGACTAGCTTTTCCTAACAGCAAAGATGAGATTTTACAAGTGATGCTCACATTTTGTGGGCCATGCGCCATGGTCCCATGGATCTTAACAATGATCTCCCAGATCACTGTATTGGTTTGGGGCTGGGCTGCAGTGTGGAGCTATTCTGTTTTGACATCTATAAATTCTTTTCCCTGTAAAACTATTTAGCATTTTTTCCCATGGGAAATAAACATAATAATTAAAATGCTTCATGTCACAGTCTTGTGTGTGTGTGTTGTATGCTGCTTTTTCTTTTTTAACCTAAAAACAGGATGCTGCATTTTTTTCCATGAAAGCCCACCAGCATTGATGAGGATGTTATTTCCTTTTAGAACACAACTTTCTGACTTCTGTTAAAGATTGGTTTTGTTGTTTGCTTTTTTTTCCCTTTAAAACAGTTTGCATGTCACAAAGGCTGCTTGCTCTGAGCAGGATTTGTCTCTCCCAACTCAAAACTTCTACAAAGCAGATGGAGGTATCTCTAACTGAGCTGGTCTGCCCAGTCAGTGGGAAAGAGGTGCTTTTACATGTTAAATGGCTATTCTAGGATGAGTTCAATTTCACTCTGGAAGTACCTTTTTCCATTGACTGTAAAAGAAGCCTCAAGGAACCTTGCTCAGTTGAAGATATTGGATCATACAAGTCCCCACTTTCTGTGCCTGAAATTGTGGGATGATATTTTCAGAGATCATCCATGAAAACCCAGGCCACTTCTCCTGCAGAATCAGAGGAAACAGATTTCTCAGGGTTTCTATAAAATAAAAATATTTTCCTATTTTTTTTTTTCACAAGCATCAGCAGTATGAGAATAAATCTATTCTTAACTGTGCTTTTTCTTTAGTGTTGGAAAGGAAGATTTCGACAAGACAAAGCAGAGAGGAGCTGATAAGAAGGGGAGTGCTGAAGGAAATGCCTGAGCAAGGTGATATGATAACACATTAACTAGAATTTAGCTACTAAGCACTAAACACGTATGATAAAGCGACTATTGCATTGTTTCCATGTAGTATAAATAGGTATGAGGAGACAAACTGAGGAGCGTGAGAGGTGATTTGGGCCAGCTGACAAAGAACTACAGCAGCTGACTTCTGTCATATCCTGAAGTATTTTAATACTCCCTGTGAATAATGTGACTTTTGTGGGTCCTAGTTTGCCAGAATTCTTTTGAGGTGATGATAAACCTATTTTTTGAGTCAAAGTCTGCTGTCTAAAGCCACTGAAATATAAAATGAGAAATTTTGGCTGAAAAATTAGAGGCTTTGGGACCCCAAACAAATCAGTATAATCCATTTTAATCCATTTCAGGTATCAAAAAGTACCAGTGCTGGGATCATATGGATCCCACCACTATCACACAGATCACATTCACAAATGGCACAAGCATAAAACCGTGGGGAAAACATCACTTGTATCAAAATGCTCTAAGTTTAGTAACCGGTATTAGACAGAATCTATATTTTGAAAAACATGAGTAAGCCAAGGTTAATACCTCTGGGCTACATCTGATTGTGTTTCTAGTGGTATTCTTTCTAATATTCTTCATCTTCTATAAATCTAGATTAAATAAAAGTAAAGTGAGTAAAATAATCTTCTGTAGCTTAAAATTAAACCATTTGTCATTTTATCAAGGAGTCTAAGAACTCCATGTTTTCCCAAAATATTTTTCTCCTAGAAATTCTGTTATTCTGTCTGATCTGAAGAATCAGGAAAGTATCGATGTGTATGGTTTGTATTGTGCACATAGATACTTAGAAGTAAAGGGCTTGTTTGTTGACATGTGGCATCACTTGCCTGTACAGTGTTTGGCTAATTACCAGACTATGACATTCAGCATAGCTGGCTTCTGCACTTGTCTCTGCTGTCTTTGTCTTAAAACAAGACATGTAAACTCTCCATACCTCAGTTTGTCCATCTGAGAATTTGTTGTGGTTTTTGCTACACGCTTTACTGGGGAGCTGCGTGACTTTGTCCATTGAAGGTTGTAAATTGCATTTATTGGGAATAAACTGCAAGGTTGTAAATTGCATTTCACTTAGTGAAATATATTAACTTCTCAGATCGGTTACAGTCTGAATGTAAATCCTATCATTTGTGCCAAAAGTATGAGTACTTTTGTCACAGGTGTCCTTGGCTCTCTCTTCCATCCTTGAAAGGGGATGGGAGTCTGGGTTTCCTTACAGGGACTGAGCAAAGAGAGAAAAGGATGTAAAGATGAACAATTTTATCCTCTTCCTCATATATCGGTCTGATCTGTGTTCCCTTCATTACATTGTGCTTCACGTCTGATGAAAATTATAATTTTTAAGGACCATTTTGAAAGAATATGGGATTATTTTCAAGGTGGTAAAGATGGAGGGGTAGGAAGGAAGGTGGTTGAGAAGTGTGAAGGTAGTTAGAAGTAATGACTATGGAGATGAAAACTAAATGAGGAAATTACATGGAGTCTTGAAATGTGAGAGATAAGAAGTGTGAAGAAGTGACAGTGTGTCACATGGGATGAAAAAGAAGAATTGGAAGGTGGCAAGTGCCACTTGGAGGCAGGAGGTGTTTGCAGAACCAAAGCATGAATAAGAGGTGGCAGTGTCACATGTGGAGATAGAGAGGAGAGAGTGAATTTAAGAATATTTGGAAGAGAGAAGCTGAAGAAACTGAATGTTGCAGCAAGGTAAGTGCAACTGTCAGACATAGTGAAAGAGACAAGGTTAGGAAGGAAGAACTTACCTTTTACACATCAGGTTGCTGTTAGTGTGTGGATTACAGTGAAATAATCATCTTAACCCATGGAGCACCCAAGGTGGTAGGAAAAGGGCTGCATAATTTTGTTCAAACCAGGGAAGTGCCAAACATCCAAGTCTGATAAGACCCAGCAAGGAAGAGGAGTGGAATCACCACACTTACTGAAGAATCAATGGAGAAATCAGAAGAGATGCTCTGTAGATTTGCGTAATTTTTGGATTGACAGCAAGACAATCCTGTAGAAAAAAATTACCAGGGAAGAAAATCAGCAGCAACTTCAAAATGCATGGAACAGAGAAAGCTATAAGCCAGCAAGGGTATGTATGTAGCACTTTTCAGGAATATAAAGACAAATAGGGAAGAGAAAGAACTTTTTTTCAGGATTAAAAAAAACCCTCAAACTGAGGTAGTCTGGGTAAGTGAGTAAAGTATCATCAAGGAAAGAACTTAACTTGCAGAATTTAATAATGGTATGATATGTGATACAGAAAGACTTCACCTGGATTCTTAAAAGTGGATAATATCTTTGTGAACTGTTTTGTTAATTAACTGGGCATATACATTCTGAGAACTTCTGTCTGAATTCCTGGCTGATTTACCTACTGGGATGCACCATGGTAGTCCTGCAAATCTGCCCCCTAATTGTCCATTTTTGGGACATGTTGGAAGGGAGAGAACAGGATGCTTATGTGTACAGCTGTACGAAGCTGTACCTGAAAACCGACATGGACTTGCAAGCCCATTACTGCAGAGATGTCCACCCAAAGAACATGGAAGCTTATAGAGTTTCTTTACAGTTACTTTTTAGAGCAGATCTACAGCCTTTCACATTTCAGTAAGTCTTTCTGCTTTGCTTCCACGGGATCTTGAAAGCAGAGGGACGCCATGTGTTGTCAGTGGGTGCTAAGTAAGCAGTTAGGCAATAGCTTTTTAATTTTCATTTCAGATGGTGATGTAACAGTAAATTTTGAAACTTCAAATGGACACACCATAGCCATTGGTGAAGAAACCATACAGGAAGAAAATGTGGTAAAAGCTAGTGGAAATAATGGCACTTTATCAGAGAAAACAACATCATCGGAAGGAAAAAAAGATCAAAAAGGTAAACTAATGCATTCTTCACAGATTGTTTTTTTGGCTACTTTAAATATTAGTGTGTTCTTCCATTAGCACCAATACATGCTGTGAGTTCTGTTCTGCCTCAAGGATGCCATCAGAATCCGCTGAGAGAATAAGACTTGGTAGGCATGTCTTTTACTGTGCCTATAGCAAGGTCATAAAGAGAAGCATGGTCTGAGCATGAAAATGCGTGCAGGGATGTTTGATTTCTAAATTCAGTGTGAGCCTTTCCTTGTAGCCATGGGCAAGCTTTGATTTCAAATTTTCCTCTTATGAAAGAACACACTAAGTGCATATGCATCACCTTGCAATATCATTGTAGAAGTGGCTCATGGGTTGAACGTTCAAAGGTGTTTAACCCATTTGAAAACCATGTATAATTTTGTAAGTAACTTCCGCAACTCGTTCCTGTTGGTTTTCATTGAATCTTAAACACCTGCAGTCCAGCAGAAACATTCAAGGGGCCATATCACTACCTCACACTGAACCTAGGCTATTTATGGAAAATGTATTTTATAACTACAGGGTTTTCTATGGATGAATTGTAGTAAATACTGCTAAATATTTAGAAGTCCCAGGGTCCATGTTAATTTTGTTACCTTTACTCAGATCTACTTTGGTAACAAGAGTTTGACTCATAAAGGAAATGTAAAGATAAGTGTGGAATCACGGTTTTTGGACCACTTTTATTTTCTTTCTTTAACATCTTGAATAATGCACCACTTATTTTCCCTATCAAAAAGTGTTTTTAAATACTATTCCATTTATTGGATTTTCCTCGAGGAAAGAGCAAGGATGCAAAAGATCAAGACCTTCTTGGCTGGCTGTTAGACTGAGCAGCCTTTCCAATGTCTTCTGTTAAAGTCTCCCTAGTGATGAATGAGCCTCTGAAGGTTGAGAGGATTGGTTCGGCTAACACAAAAATTTGAATTCCTCTCTGAGCTACGTAAATCACTTGACTATGTAAAAAGTGGCTAGATGTCCAAGGAGAACAGCCTTTCTTATGAGATTTGTCGTACTTCCTGTCTCCCAAAAAGACAGAAATACAAGATTAGCCTTTGTCATGACATTTAAATACACCTATCTTTTGGTGCCAACTAGAACCAGATGTGTATTGGGTCAGGGAAAAGAGTTATAAAAGCCATGGAAAACTCCTTTAAAATGGTTCAATTTAACTTTGAGGTTAGATCAGACCACTTATTATTTTATGCACCATTAAATACAGCCTTTTGGAAATGTTCAGTTTTGGAAGTTTTTCTAAGGTACAGTTTATTTGAGAAATACATGTTTTTAACTATGTTGAAATCCCCTCTAGCTGACTTTGCAGAATGCAGAACTCCAATGAAGCAGGAAAGGTTCAATATCTATTTCAAATTAGGCTCTGCACTCCTTATACGTTATGTTGACCTTACAGAGAGAAATTAAAAATGATTGCTGTACAGGATTAGACTCAATACAGAAGAATGTGTAGCAATCACTCCAGTCCCTCTCAGAAAATGAAGAATATATGGAGGAGGGAGAAGGAAAACAAAAAATGAGCCAACCTGGTATTCTAGGCTTCATAGAATGTCAATCTGAGCGTACAGAAGATGCAAAACAGTTCAAGTATACTTTCGTGTTTAAGGAGCAATTCTACACATCAGAAACTGTGTTACACTGTGGAGACCCAGTACAACTCAGCAGGTAGTCATTGTGAATACACTTCAGTTATTCTTTACTTTATAGCACATTAAGCAAGAAGGTGAGCCAGCCTGTTAAACTCAGTGTAAGAGTAAGGCCCACTCCATCTCACAGATATGTCTCACCTGCAGATTAGTCCTGGGTGATTTTTTTATGGCAGATGCAGTAGGTATGCATTATACACACACCCAGTAGCAGGTACAGGTTTGCTTATGCTCACAGAGCGTCAAAATCAGAGCTGAAACACACATACCTAACTCACTGTCTTCTGCTAAGACCATAAAATATGCTGGTGCTTCAGATCACAACCCTCCATCATGAGAACTGAGATAGGAGTGAATACTAGCTGACAATCAGGAGTAGTGGCTGCAAGGATTTCATCTTTAGTAAGCCTAATGTTAGGCTTCTTAAAGTCATCAACTCTAATGTGTAAATCTTGAAGGAAGATATATACACATTTGTAAGACCTGAAAACAGGATTAATTCCTGCTGTTTAGTAGCACACTGTGCTGCTGTTCCAACTCTGACTGAATCAAAGGGTTCCAAAAATTCATCTCAGCCCCTGAAACTTAGGAAGTTATTTTATAATGCTCTTATGAAATGATGGTGCTCTTTACTTGCTCTCTTGTTCAAGTGGGTCTTGAAAATGCCCTTCTGCTATATATGATGACTGCTGGAGCCAGAATCTTAAAAAGAACAAGCAATATAGGCAAATTGTGATAATATGGTGAGAATTGGCAGCAACATGCTGTACAATGTGGAATATGTTAGGAATTAAAAGAAGTTAAAGGAACAAAGCTATTTCAGCATGAGCTATGGGAATACATTATCAACAGGGCAAACAATAGGCTCAGCCATGCAATATAAAAATGAGTTAAGCAGAAGCAAGTAAAGAAGACAACCCCTGAAAGCTGTTCCCTCTGCTGCTAGGCAGTTCCATAAACTGTGTACCCATCTGCTGCCTGTGTACCCATCAGCTCACAGGTGCCTTTTGTATTTGGTGAAAAATTCCCTTTGGGAATTTAATAGTGTAACTGTTGCTATTTATAGTAATGATGACAGTCATCCAAGGAGGGCATTTAAAAGAAATTTTTTCCTTTATGGCAGAATGATAAGAAACTAGTGACAGTTTTACATAAAACAGGTAATTGATTGGTAAAGCTTTGTCGATGAGAAATCAGAGAATTTTTTTTTCTGAGATCATTTATTCACATTATGTTTGTGCTAGGCTGACTTCTAAATTCTTTTGTTTTGACTAAGAAAAATTGCTAGCATCTTTTGCAGAAAATAAAGAGCTAAACTGTAGCTATTATCTGTGAGTCTTGCAAGGGATACAGAGCAGCAAGTAGACAGGTAGCATATCAAAGAACACCCTGTTGTCTGGGCAGCAGTCTGAACTGTACCACTGTGTCAGGGCTCCTGACCCATGGCACCAGCCTGCAGCAGCCCCAGCAGTCCCCAGAGCTCCAGGTTCCAGGTGTGATATAAGCATCACGAAGGGGATCCAATGAGTCTCTTTGCCTCCTGCCCCCTACAGCAGTGTTGGAGAAGACCAAAAGCCACATCAGTAGAATAGGTGTCAAAATATTCACTGTTTGCCTCCCTAGGTATAGGGGCATAGCACGGTGATACAGCATGCATGCTGCTCCTTGTAAAGCCTCCTGGCACTATGTCAGAGCTGCTTTTCTCCTTTCTGCCCTCCCAAGATGTCTCTGGAACACAGATGTACTAGAGAACCCTGGATTTGTAGCTGAGTTCAGTTTTTAAACTTGTGTCTTACTCATTTTTATCACAGCAAGCTAGCTCTTTTAACAATTCTGGTAGATGCTTCCACATTGCATTGTTAACTTGGGCTTGAAGAAGTGAAAGGTTCAGTAACCATTAGCGAGATGGTTGGAAAAAAGTAGTAAGTTTTGTTTTGCATGCCGTCAGTCAGGTGTATTAGGTACTGCTTTGCTAAATAATTGCATTTCAGGAAGCCACAACTGTGTTGCAGGTGTCGTGGGTGACATGGAGCATAAGCTTCTGGAATGTTCTGGACCGTTTATAGCAAATTGATCCTCTCAGGTTTTCTCATGTCTTTAAGGGAAGGAAACAGTTTGTAGTCCTGTTTCCAAATGAATTCGTGGGCTACCTGCGCATAATTTTTTTTCCCCACAGGAGAACTCTCATATGAGAGCTGGCAAATGTTCCAGTATGCTGGGCTCAGAGGTTCCTTTCTCTATATCTTTGTTTGCTCTCCTTAAATCTTAAACTTTTCTTTTCCTTATGGGTAACCAAAAAAGAAGGTTGGAGGTACAAACTCTGGTCTTATGAGCATGTATCATTGCTGACTAACACTTTAGTTTGTCTACCAAGGAATGGTCTTGAAAGTCAAATTTTTTAGATTCCTGTTCTCAGAGGTCTTTTCTTTTTTTCCCCAAAGGAGAACAAAACTTGTTGAATTTAAGATAGTAACCCTTATCTCCCAGGGTCTCAGACAAGAGCCTGCTTTGTCTCAGATTAATCCTGCAAACCAGTCACTGTGAGAGATGAGGCAGACTTTCCTCCCTCGTGTGCCTAGCTGGCTTCCTACACTCCTGAGCTCTGTAGATCATTGATATAAGCAGCATACATAAAAGGTTGTAGGGTTTTTTGCCTGACTCCCTAAGAATCTCTCACTCCAGCAGAGTTATTTGCTGGCTAAAACCAGTTCTTCTAAGAATAGTATATCTTCGATTCATCACCTGAACTATGTAAATGAGGTTGAATCCAAGTCTTCTTAAAAGGAAAGCTACTTTATATAAAACTGTATTTGGGTCTGTCTATTAAGTCAGCTGGGCTGGCTCATGCCAGTAGGCTGATGTGAGAGGCATGGGCTTTCACCCACAAAAGTTGAGTGCCAGAGGAAGCTCCTGACTCGTAAAGCAACTTTTTTTTTTTATAAGAAGGATATCCATATGTGGCTCCAGAATTAAGACTATATACATTATTTTAATGAACTGACTATTCAATTATTTGGGTATATCTTTACAGAAAGTATAAGGGAATATAGAAATATACATACCTCTCACCTTCCAAGTCTCCCATAGATCAAGAAATGGTAAAAGTATGCAGCTGACAGTGAATACATTTTAGGTGTTCTCTCTTTTTTTAACAGCTTACTCCTGACACATAGGTTGGGTAGTTAACACTGTAAAATGACAGTCAGTTGGGTTCTTTCCCTATTTTATTTAGAAACCAATGCAAAACACCTAAACATGGTGGCTTTAGGTCAGATGTTATACCTGTCCCTTTCTCCCCTCTCCTGTTTTCTACACTGTCTCTGTTACAAGACCTCTTGTGCACAGTGCTGTTGAAAACAGTCAGTAAGTTCTAGAAGTTTGTAGACGTGCAGATCTGCTCATCCATCTTCAAGAAAGATGAATTCAAAACTGCAGAGAGAACTGCAAACAGCATCATGAGACAGCTGTTCTTGTTCAGTCTAGCAAAACGGAGCCTGAGAGAGCCTGAGTGCATTTGATGAATGTAGCAAGCTGGTATATAGCCAGGAGAGAACATGGCTAAAGGACAATGCTGGCACAAGTAGAAAGGAATAAACTGTGGCTTGAAGTACAGTTAGACTGGAAATTAAAGGAAGCTTTCTAACAATTAGAATGGGTCTTTTCTTGAACAGAATTTTAGTAGCAGTAATAGGAACAAAAACTTGAGCTGGTTGAATCTAAGTTTATGAAAAGATTTGTCTGAGCTGACCACCTGCATCAGGACAATCAATGAGTCCAAAAAAGTGACAAAAGACACCTTGTCTTGCTCTGTGTCCTATGTTTCTGAATGACAGCTTCCTGGGTTTTGGTGAATCAAAACACAGCTCTCTTCATAGTCTGGAAAGGAAAATCATGATTTGCAAAACTCTTACTGAGTTTCATTGTGCAGGGAGTCATCCTGTGAAAGACAACAAATCATACATTATTTCCAATTTTCATTCTACATAGTTTTGCTCCACTGAGTTCTGTTCCTCTTCCAGGAGAAGGGTGCTTTGCAGTTGATGTAGATCATATGCTTGTGCTTCAGCACTATGGGTTTGCTGTGAGGTGGCTTCATGACACTGCTCTAGCTGGAGAAACAAAAATACCAGTACTGTATGACAAAATCCTCAGGTAGAAAAGCTTTGGCCTTCTGTTCCTTAGAAGTTCACAAAAGTAAAGAAAAGTCTTGTATTTTACAACCTAGCTTCTGAAACTATGCCCAGGATCTTCATTGGTCCACTTGGTCCAGAGTTTGCAAAAGGTCCCACTTCTAGTTTGCAAAAATCTGATTTTCCAGTGCATATGACATCTCTCTGAAAGTCATTGAGACTTGGTGAGTCCCCACAAGAGCTGTTATATACTGAGAACTTTGTAACTCTGACCATCATTTAAGTGTTCACGTGAGAATAGAGCTTTCTTAAGAATCTGGCCCAAATCACAATTTCTGGGATCAAGAAAATATGGTCTCCAAATGAGTCTCTTGTAAATCTGACCTGTGGAAAATTTATTCTAAACATAAACATATTATTGATCCAAATGTTTAATGAGATACTTACATTTGCTTTGCTTTCCTGATAAAAGAGTAAATTATAGGTGGGTTGCTTTTACAGCAGATGTCTTGATCAAGACAGCAGTGCAGAAATCCTCTTTGATGTGTTTTGGAGACCTTTTCTTAAAAGGTCAGTTCTTAATGAACAGATGTCTACACTGAGAAATGAAACAGCAATAAAAATACATTGCAGCTGGTACTGAGGTATCTGGGGGATTGGATTGAACAAATAGAGAGGTCTGAACTGATTCAGATGCCTCCTTGTTTTGGCAAAAGAAAGAGCAGGCATGAAGACCAAGGGTCCATGTTCAAGCAGAATCATGTTAGGGAGGTACAATTACAACATAATTGTGTCTGAAGCCATTTACAGACATCAGACCATCCCTGTCACTGTTCAAGATCAAGCCACTGTTATTGTTATTAGTTATTTGTATTACTATTACTATTTGTTTCTGTATATACCAGAAATTTATTATAGTGTCTTACATAGATGCAGGAAACCACAAAAGTTTCCAATGGACTTGCAGTAAAAGAAAGGACACTATGGTTAGGCACTGAAAAACCAGAGGACATCAGACCAGGAAAACGAGCACAGTACTGGCAGCCTAAACATTGTCAGCTTTGACATCACAGTAGAGGGGAGTTTGAGGGAGGACAGTCAGTGAATATTCACAAAAGCCTGAGGGGCAAGAGAAGAAAAAGACTGAAAAGTGTCTGCTTCAAAACTTGGCTTGTCATTGGCAAAAGCTGGTATAATGGACTGGTCAGGTAGGAACTGGAAATCCGTATCTCAAGTAAACGAGAAACAATAGTTTGGTCAAGATTAGAGTGACACTGAGAAAAAAAGATGAAGCTAACAAAGATAAAAACAGTAAAGCTAATAAGATGCTGAAAGGAATGATACAGTCAAAGGCAATTGTCTTCACCACAGCTTTCATCCTGGCTGTGAGCAAAAAGAAGATTCACTCGTCAAGGCCAAGACAGGGCATTAGTTAATCAAGGGATGGTCAAGACTCATGAGAGCTGTAACTATCTGAGGAGATAGGATGCTGCTGTGCCGGAGTCTGCCAGTCTTTGGTACAATGTACATAACAGTATGAAAAGAACTGTCCTAGGTAAAGATGATATCCCAGTGATGGCAATGCATTTCTGTTAAAATCAATGTTATATAAATTGCCAATTTTAATCACAACTGAAGTCTGCAAGCAAGAACTTTGATGAGAATGAACTGTTCTAATTTTTGTTTTCATTTGTAGTTCTTAGTTATTTCTTTAAAGAAAAATCCAAAATTGTCAGATGGTTGTCACTAAGATGTGTGTATTTGCAACTAAGTAAAGCTTTAGCCTTATATTTTGTTGTATTTTTGTACTTTTTTTCCTGAATCAGAAGATAAATTCTGATATACGTTATTTAATCAGTTATTTGTTTTAGTGTAGATTGACTGTATTACTTAAGAATATGGTAGATAGAGTATTACTTTTTACTGGGTTATAATTCTGTTTTTCATATTTTCTCTACTACTATGTCTGGACACAAAACATGGTAATGGTGTACAAGTACACAAGTTTTAAATTTTTTCATATTAGCAGGTAAAATTGCAGCATTCTGGATCCATAAGTAAAAGGTATATCAAAGAATTGTTTACACTTAAAATTATTTTGGATCATCATGTCCTTCGAGATCTTCAAAATACAAAGATGTATCTTCTCTTGCCATGTTTGTTATTAATGGGATTCAAACTTTTAAAATGTCCTGCTTTTTCAGAATTAAATCAGCTTTTCAACTTCAAATGAAGGTAGGTAGAATTTCACAAGGAGACCTTTTTGCTGTAAAAGAAGAGACCAAAATATAACAAATAAGCATGTTTCTTTCTCCATCCAGAGTCTTTCTCTGAAAAACTGAGGGACAGTATAAGAATCTGTGCTTGAAAGAATTTGTTTGAAAGCTGTAAAAGGTCGCTGTGAAATGGTTCTTTCAAAACTTTAGCAAAAACATATTAGTCTATAACAGGCTGGAAATAAAGGAGGAAGACACTGGACAGTTAATGTTAATTCCTTCAGTTCATGAAGAGACATGCAAGTTGCTGCTAATAATGCAGGCAATGCATTGAGTTCGTGTTAACAAGCCTTAAGCTAGAGGTTGGAAAGGCTTTGTTTCTGAGATGAAGAAATGTCTTTGTTGTCCAACACATTATTTGTTTTTCATCTACTAATCTTAAATTTAAAATGTGCTGCTTATCTCTTGGGAATCTTTTACATGGGAAGGAAGAGAGATGGGAATGTCCATTTATTTTGTCTCCTTTCTTCCCCAACCATTTTAGGTTTTAGTAACATACAAATAAATCGCGTATGATTCTGATGGTATGCTCTTGCTTTTATAACATACCTTTTCATAAAGATTTGGGAAGGCTATCTTGAGACTGAATGGGCACAGAATTGGTGTAATTGAATAAATAAAGATTCCCATGTGGGGACACATAGTCTTACAGCCACAATGATTATGTGCAAAATTTTATGTTTGACTATAAATGGCTTACCTACATTACCATTACAGCTGGCATTAGGCATGCATTTTGAAGTGAATTTCCTAGTCATCCCCACTTACCCTTCTTTGGTTTGCAGGGCACATAAACCAGGTTCCTTTTGGATGAAACTAAGCCAAAAGATGCACTCAGGAATTTTTGCTCCCACCACCACCAGTCATGCAATCTACAGAACTAGCCCGAAGACAGTACAGATTCAAGTCTTCTGGAATGCACATTGTGGACATCGAGTCCTGAGTGCTACCTCTTTCACTCTACAGAGCCATTCCTATTGCACAACACAATGTACATAAAGTCCAAATTCCTGTTGACTAATGAACTGTTGATTCTTGAAAGTGCAGTCATATAACAGTACCCAAAGAACTTGCAGGAGAGGAGAGCATTCCCATGCCAAATGATATCCTATCTGATTTAGCTTTATCTGTTTCTGAAGAGTAGAAATACCCTGAAGAAGTTACCCAAAATAAGTTGCTAACAGCAAGCAATCTGCAGTTTAGAAGAATGGGTTGATTCAGGGGAAAATTTCAGCTGCGTAGCCATATTTGAACCCATGGCCGACAGAATGGCCATGTTCACATTCAGATTCACAGGAATCTGAGTTTTATAGCCTGTTGATCTTGGGGTGGGTAGGGTTGGAAAGAAGCCAAGGAAATGTGTTAGAGGAGTAAATGGCATTTCCCGTGTTTAGTTTGCAGCCAGCAATCTGGTTTAGGATAATGGATGTAAGGATGATCCTTGGAGGTCTAGAATAAATGAGGCTGAAAGAAGTTCCAGGTAAATATCTTTTGTGAGAAGGACTTGAACTGAGACAGACCGTATTTTTTTTTCTGAGGTAATACTTCCTTAAGAGGCAGAAGATTAAGTCTCTCCTGATTCCCAAGAGCTCAAGCAGCAAAAGTAGTCACTGTTTTGGGGCTTGCTGTTGAATTTACGTGTTGTATGTCTGTGTCAGTTGGCTTCTGTTCACTTTCTTATCCATAGAGAGCACTACTGGTCACTGCCCAGAAATACCAACATCCCATGCTCCACCACTACCCAAGCCTAAGCCTAAATCTAAAAAAGCTCTACTGCCACCAAAAAATGCCATTGCTGCTTCCACAACCACGAGCCATAAGGGTAATGAAGCACCTCATGCAAAAAAAAAGGGAAAGGGTCCTGCTAAGCAGCCTCCTCTCCCACCGCCCAAGCCAACAGGTCACAGGGCAAATCAAGAAGCTGGTGAGTACTGCCCATGCAGTGCCAGTTATGGTGGGTGCATGTGCATGGGGATGCTTGGCTTGGTCTTATGATATCTCCTGCCTTTGTTATGTTACTAAAGAGCATGCCATGGATGTTTAGCTAGCTTCCCACTGAGCTCTGGTTCTGCTGTCTACAAACACCCCAGACAACCCCAGACAGATCACTGCGCTGTTTAATGAATGTATGCACAACACAAAGCGTATCAGGGACAATATTGAATTTTCAGTTCAAGTGTGAAAGCTGGCAACAAAATGACCCAGAGAACTGCTGAAGAGCAAGTAGGAAAAAAGGTGACTTCTTTGTCACGAGTTGCTCCAAAGTGAAACTACTTTGGTGTTGCTATAACTTTCTGCTGGACATATCAGCTATTCCAATTAATTTGACAATATTACAAGATCACAAAGAGGTAAAGGACAAAACCATTAAGACATCTTAAAAGACTGTTAAGTAGCAGTTGGTTTAGCTCAAAAAAGAAAAGGAAAAATAATTATAACCATTAGAAATGAGCAGGTCTTCCTGAGCTAGCTGATGGCTTGCTGTGATTCTAAATACACACTGGAAATGGAAAATGTCAATCATCAGCCACATCCCACATGTATTTACCATCACACTTTTGAACTAAAAGTTGGCAGTGATGCTAGATTAAATATTATAGGTAGGTGTTCTTAAGGTACTGATCTAGAGTTTGAACGGTTGCAATGTAGACAATAACCAAAATGAAAACATCCAGATGTAATTTGAACACAAGTGGTATTGTGATGAATGGACTCCATATACGCATTGGCAAACTTATACAAGCCTTGTGTTTTCAATCCTCTGTTCGTCTTTGAAAGTCCTTCAGTCCCTCTAGTTTTCTCTGCAAATGTGCTGCTTCATAGCTTGTGCATTTTGGCACGTTTTGTATTTGAAGCATGCAGAAGAGGACTGTTTGAAAACATTGCAAGACTTCTAGAGTTACAATAATAACTTTTCCATAAAATATCCATTAACTTGGTATTAACTGTCCCTTCTACATCAGATGACTACAAGAATAAACATTTTGAAAATCCAGAACTTGCTGCTTTTATTTCACATGCAGCTGGAAAACTCAGCTCTTCCTAAGTGAATGAACAGCAGACCTTTCAGAAATAAAACAATCCATCGCATAAAGCAATGTTTATACAAATGGGTGGTAACAAGCTGTCAGGTATCTGACTTTTTAAATTAAAATGCATACAGATTCCAGATTTGTCTTTTAGTAGCCCTGCTGAAATGTCATGCAATGCTTGAGACCGTACAGATGTAAAATATATCCACATATCCCTTATTCTACTGATAGTTTCTTCCGATATTAAAAATATATTGTGTTCATTCAAAATGGGGCAATACTTAATAAGTATACCTGATTTGGAACAGTATTAGTAGAAGAGGTTTGTCAGATCGCTGTGAAAGTGACCATATGATGCAGCCAGTGATCCAGTCCTGTGAAGGAGAGGAGGAATATGAGTAACAACCTGAGCCATGGCTCTCCTGAGGGCAACACAGTAGGTTTCTAAACTGAAATAGTGGAACTGGGAGAATGGGACTTAAATGCAGGCATGGACATGTGCCAAAAGGCGAATAAAAGCCATGACATTTTTCATTTAATCAAAATTCAAATCTTCTACTTAAAAAGAAGCATGACAGAAAATTGTCAGCCAGCCCAGTCAAAAGCAACAATGGCAATAGCACTTTTGACCCATGTGGAAGCGTAGGAGGGTTTTCAGTGGGAGAAATCTTTCAAGTTTCTGTATCTAATTGCAGGTCCAGAAAGGTTCTGAGAATAATGTAATGGTTTTTACAATGGAAACATCTTTTGACATTTTCCCAGCAACAGTTGTGTGGCTGTATATTTGTATTATGCTGCAGTTTTTAAGTGTAAGCATGTAAATGGTTCTGTTGACCTCCAGCCTGCACTGAAGTGCTTTGCTGGATCAGAACCAGAGCCTTTTCTTGCAACCATCCACTTTCTCAGTAAGGTTTCTGCTAAATAATATGCAGGTTAGAACCAACATCTCTTTCCACTGCAATTATGAACTACTGCCTATACAATTTCTCTGCTTCATTTTGTTTTGCTTGTATGTTAAGTCAGTGATTTGTACCTGATGTGGAAGATTAGTGCAGTATCAGTAGATTCGGGATGCTGCCCTTTACAGTCACCTTGCAGCAGGAAGAGGAGCAGTGATTTGCCTGAACTTTTTATGGATTTTTCCAGATGTACTGAGAGCCTTAAAGCACGCTAAGTGTTTATAAACCATAACACTCAGCTACAAAAGAGAATGGTATAATGTGTCTTTTGAATTACTTTCCATCTTGGAGATTGAGAACAGTCTCACTGTGAAAGCTATTTTTATATCATGAACTTACTATGGCCAGTATCTGTATTTTGATTCTCTCCTAATCTGCCAGGGTTTTGTTTTTATTTAAATGCTTGTAAGTAAAGTAGGCCTTCCAGCAGATTTCTGTTACAGCTTTCTGTTTTACTCAGTAAGCTTAGCTGCAAGGCTGCTGTGTAGCTTTATAATGGTTTCATTTGTTCTCTGGAGGTTAATGCATTTTTACTACTGCAGAAGTGTTTGAGTTGGATGCATTTTGATGAAAAGGACTGAACCATAAGATGGTTGTCATTTTTATTGCTTTTTAAATGAAATTCAGAAGTTTGAAGCTCCCAGCTCAGAGGATGGAATGCACATGAGCAAGTAGGCTAGGTGAAATCTCTTGTGAACTTGGGCATTATACATATATGCTTCAATATGGTAAGTATCACAGGGTTAAACAGCAGCATCACTGGCTAGCTTGTACAGCTAGTGTCAAAACCTTGTTTCACAACATTTTCAATACTGCCCAAGCTGATCACTGGTAAGACAAAGACCTCCAGTACCTACAGGAGGCCTTCAGTGCCTCCTCCCTTCTGAAGGTCATCTGTGCAGAGTGAGATTGGTGGTTTCTGACTCTGTTTTATGGATATATCCAGCTGGACCTGAAAGTACATCGTTTTGCTGTCCCTCTGCTGTTTGCCATTAAGTAGGAGCACACCAGTTGCAATAACATTGTGAAAGGTAATTAATCGATACCCATAACAGTCCTCAGATGTCCATTGAAAAGCATAGGGTTTTCCCGCTGTTCAGACCCAAAATTCATGTGCTAGAAAAGGTCAAGCAGTTTTCTCTGTCAGGGAGCGTTTTTTTTTAAATAGGACACTACACAATTTTGGAATAGGTAGTGGACTTTTTAGATGATGTCCAGGGAAGTTGTAGTGAGCCAGTGCAGACTGCTCGAAACAAACTCTCACTGGTTTGTAAGGCTGATTTTTTCAGCTGTTCATCATTTCAATTTTTCCCACTGCAAAGGTGAAATTGGAACTGCAACATTTACTTATCTCAAGCACTTAGATGAAGGACTGTAGAAGTATCAAATGTAATTTTTTCATTTTTTAAATACCAGCACAAGTCAATCCATGCAGGAAATACACTGCAAAAATCATACAATTGCAAGACTGTAAAATCCTTTTTCTTTTCTTATTTAGCTGGTTCCTCTCATGCAAGAAAACCACCAGACTCCAAGTCCTCTTCATCACCATCTCCTTTGTCTGCATCATCTCACCCCAAAGCCTCTAAGGAGACTTCCAGCAAATTGGGCACATCAGGGACTCCCAGGGGCAAGAAAAAAACCGGGAAACAGTCAACCCCACGAACAGCACCAGATGGGGCTGCTTCTTCCCCCTCAGGTGCCACAGCCAACAGTTTGGAAGTGAAGACAGAAAAAAACAAGGCTGAGCAACCTTCCATAGTAACTTTTGAAATGGAGGACACAGACCAATCGAGCAAGCTTGTCGTCCCCCCTCCTCCCACTGCTGCCCCTCCTCCACCTCCACTTCCACCTCCTTTCCCTGCTGCAGCTGGTCAGCCTGCTGTCTCCTCAGATGCCCAGGATGTGTCAGACAGCTGTGTGGCAGGGCCATGCAGCCCTGGATCAGATACTAAAACTCTTCTCCAGACTGAGCATGGCACAGATGAGAGTCTGAGCAGTACGGCCCTAGGCAGAGGTCCAGATGCTAGTGGAGAAGACACAGAAAGGTAAGACAGTATTGCTGTCCTGGGTGATGGTAAGACCCACAGCCAAGGAAGCCACGTTTCTTTGCAAGGGATGCTGTAGGCACACAGGAATCTCTTCTGTTTCTTCTGCTGACTGGTAATAGTTTGTGTTGCATCCCAGCACAATTTGTTCCTTTCCAGTGCCTTTGAGCCATTCACCTGCAGTACCTCATGTTTCCCCAGAAGGTCATTGCTCACAACCTGCCTCTTACATCATTGTTTGGCTGACACTGCTGTCAGCAGTTCAGCTAGCAGCTGGTGACACTTCTGTTTCTCTCTCATAAAGGCAAACAAGAAATTATGCTGAATTATAAGGGGGTTTACTTTTTTTTTTTTTTTTGTGGATGTCATTAAATATCTCGGTGCTAAAGCTCTAAATTCAATGGCTGAATTTACTTGCACACTTGAAAACGAGAGTTTCAGGCTCCAATTAGTGGGTCTTTGGTCTGTCACTGCCTAGTAGCTTGTATAAATCTCAGGTACTGTAAAAACTAGTCAAGAGAAAGGTCATAATTACACTTTTTCAGCAAAATAGTTGGCAGCAAAATGGAACTGGCTTAATGATTTATCTTTTCCCTGCCTCAAGAACCAGCATCTTTTATATAAACCCGATAGAGTTTAGTCTAGATGCCAGTAGCCTAGAGACCTTCCTTTAAATTCTTGCTGGTACATCTGTGTCAGCATTACATTCCTGTGCTACATCTCCCCTTGCTCTACCCTTCTTTTACACAAAGATTTTCCCAAGGCAAAGGGCAGTCTGCTGCCAATTTCCGTGGTTGTCAGTGATGGTCATGAACATTTTGGACTCAACTGCAGTGAAACTGTATTTACAATAAATAGGGTTAGGCTTCCAGAAAAGGAAGCTTTGCACTCCCATCTGCTCTCCAACTTGCTCCTCTTACCCCCAACTTTATGAACTGGTTTTCTCTCTTTATTATGCACTGTTGGTCCCATCCCACAAGAAATAAAAAACAATTAGGATTTGTCTTTATATAGTCTTTGCAGCACATGATTCCAGATTGTTTGAATCCTTTTTCCTAACATACATACATAGATACATACACACATCTGCATACGTTATAAATGTTTTACATATGTACATTTTTTAGAAAGGTATTAGTTTGAATAACAGAACTTTTCATACTTGCTTATACAATCTGTCTCCCGTTTGTGTTCTGTTCTGCTTGCATTAATGTATCACCGTGTCTGCTTTCAAATTAACAGCTTGGCTATGAAAGGAGACCAAGAAGTGGAGGCTCCAGACCAGGCACACTCTGAACCAGTGGAGGAGGCTGCTGACACTGGTGCCCTTCATGAGAGTGAAAGTAGCAGAGAGAGCCATGGCAGTGACTCAGACTCAGATGGGCCGATACTGTACACAGATGATGATGATGACGATGATGATGAGAATGCAAGCGCTGAAAGTAAGCATCCTGCTTAGCTTCTTAGCTGCAGGCTACCTTTTGCAGATTGTGTTATGTAGCATGCCTGACCCATGCTAGTGTGAAGCAAAGAGAGAGATGACTGCAGGGGCTGGTTTTAGGGGATTTAGTATTTTGCCACTACTGAGAAATGAGTGTCCTGCTTCTCCCAGACAATTGTGATCAGAAACCTGCTGGGGCCTGTGCACGGATGAGAGCAGTGCACAGATGGGAGTAGAGGTGGGAGGAGCAGGTTCAGAAGAATATGAGGGTGGAACAAGGCCTCCATGTTAGGGCATCACAAGCCATTGATTTGGCTCACCTCTGTCACAAATTCCTTGTGTGAGTTACATGTGTGGTGGATGACAGAGGAAGCCCATCAGTTGTCAGCTTCACTGTCTGAAAGTCATTTGTTCCTCTTTGATCAGGATGTTTTAAGCATTGGAGCGACCTTAGCCGACAGAGCAGATCACAGTAGTTTACATCTAAGTTGTAAAATTTCATCTGAGGTCATGACTCTATCATCACCCTAATTGTGCAGAAGCCCTGCAGCTGCTGAAGGGGTTGTCCTACCCCCATTCTCCCTAATCCCTGCTCCTAGCTGTTCTCTCTTCCCTTAGGCCAGCACTCAAATTCATTTTTGCAGCAGTGGCTGTTGTTGAGCTGATTTTCAATATAACTGGTGGTTCCCTGATCCAGCTCACCCAATGGCTGCTCCTTTGCTTGGGCAAAGAGGTGGCAGCAGCAGGCTGTTGGGATGGAGAGGCAGGCAGCCCTACCTCTACTCCCTGCAGGGTGGCCATATGTCAGTATAAAATCACTACTGAACCATTGCTTGAGAGCCTTGCCCACAGGTGTTCCGGAGGAGGTGCTTCTCTGTGCTCAGGGAAGAAGTCCTGAACACCAAAGTGCTGTGTACCAAAGTGGGGTGAGCGAAAATGAACGTGTGTTTTTTATCTTGGCCATTGGTGCGGCAGAAGGTGAAGTGCCAGGTAGCTCAAGAGGCTGAAGTCTTCTGCAGTTCTGTGTTGGGTTTGAATAAAATCCAGTGTGATAGAAACCAAAAATTCATGTATTCAGGCAGCAGCATGATGTCTTATGAGAAGTGAGCTGAGAGCCTGTGGTCTTACCAAACTGCCTTACATGGTGAAAATCTGCCAGCCAGGACATATGTAGGCCACCTTGGTCAGAATGTCAAGACACAAGGGAAAGACTATAAAGGGTGTGAAAAATACCCTTTCTTCCACAGTTGGCTGGAGCTAATGCTGACCAAGCTGCAAGGCCCTTGTCCCTACTGTGTCAGTTTTATGGATAAACAGATTGCTTCAATGTGTTGGGGTTCCTGCCTAGGTTACTTTACAAGCACTCAGAGCACTTCTCTAAGCTGTATTTTTTGTTTTAATTTATAAATAAGTTTAAGATGACAGTGGTAATTGATTGGAAAAAAAAATTGAAAGAATGAGGGAAATGATGATAGAATGAGACTAAACCATTTAAGGCTGAAGAAAGAGCAGCAGGTTGCTAAATATACTAAGTAGATAAATAAGCCAATCTGTAATGTATTAGACTTCAAAGACACTTAAGTGTAGATTTGTCATTTTTATCCTATCGCTTCACAGATGACAAGTGATGTTTGTATCAATTTGGCTGGAAGCTTTTTCCTCCAAGCCTTTTAGCTTTTTATTTTTGAGAACTGAGCTAAAATTTTTCTTTTGATGTTAATTAAAATTCCTCTTCTGCATGTGGGAACAAGGTCGCTTTGGGGAGGTATTAAAGTTTTTACTCAGAGTTTGCGTCTGTAACCTAAGCATAAATGAACTAAATCTACCCTACTCTTCCTTTCCTCAGGCTCTTTGGCAAGTAAAATCCGTCGTAGGGATACTCTTGCTATCAAACTTGGCAACAGACCATCTAAGAAAGAATTAGAGGACAAAAACATCTTGCAGCGTACATCTGAAGAGGAAAGGCAGGAAATCAGACATCAGATTGGAACGAAGCTAGTGAGGTATCAGTCTCAGGGTAAATGTGATTTGACTGGGTGGAGGTGGAGGAAGAGAATTAAGAACACTGGGTTCATGTTTTAAATGCAGCCCAATATGCACTGCAGGATCTTTGTGGTATAACTGTCTGGAAAACAGTAGCTTTATTTCTCACAAAACTTTAAAATGTCAATAATTCATTTTTTGTCCTGCAAGGAACAAATGTGAGAGGTTCTGGGTTTTTGGGTTGTTGGGTTAAAAAAAAGGAAAGAAGAAGAGGGTAACAATGAGTCCACAATAATCAGTGCTATGGTTCAGGTTTTTTCTCAAGTTGGTTGGCAGGAACTTTCACTTGTATGTACACCCATCCCAGACAGAGTCATAGTTCCTGACATACAGAGCATGCCTGTGCATGTTTGTCCCTTCTGACTCTCCCTATCCTCCTGCTCTCTAATTCCTTCATTATTCATGTGTTGGTTCCAGCAAAAGAAGTGGAAGGAGGCTGACTTTGCAGGTCAGTGTCTGTTGTTTTACTGTGCCCACCTCTGAGGCATGCCTTTCTCATGCTGTTAAACTGCTATGGGATATATGTTACTTTCTCTTTCTAGACCTGAGAACATTGCATGAAAATATTTCACTTGCCTTTTTACAAGCTTTTTTTTTTTAAATCTTCATGTCTCTGAGAATAGACTACAGCATGTCTGTATTTTGCCAGATCTGTCCTTGTTTCTCTTGGGCTCAGAAATGTTGTCCAGACAGATCTGGAGGATGTCTTGTGTTGGTTGGACATTTACAGATATAGGATAGTCCAGTTGGTACTGCTCCAGTACAGAGTAAAGCAGCTCTGCATTAACATTTAGAAGCTGAGTTTGTGTGTGAACTGGGAGGCTGGATAAGGCACCTATTTAATTACTTAACAGTAAGAGTGATACATCTATTGTGTAGAGCCTGAGGGTCACTTTTCTTTTGCTAATAAAGTGGTGTGGTTGTTATCACCACTTTCCTAACCAAATCCCAGCTCTGGTGATCACATCCTGCTTGTCAGTGCTCCCTCGGGGGCTAGAACTGCAGAAGCTGCTTTGGTTCCTCCCCTGATCTCCTTGCACAGGGACATGGTGGGTTCTGCTGGAGAGCTGACATGCTCCCCATACAGCTCTGCTTTGGTGGCAGGAGACAATGTCTGTGTGTGTCAGGGCTGTGCTCATACCCAAAATCACAATGAAGTTTGACACCAAGTTCCTTAAAAATTCCCAGCGTGGTGATCAACACTTGGCAGCATCAAGGTCTAGGTGGGAAATCTCTTTCCACAGCTCAGCCAGGGTCAGGGTCTGCCATTCTTTTGGGACACATCTGGAAGTCCAGGCATGATTTGAATTGGATGAGTTTAACGAGGCTGAAGACAGTTCGTAGTGAACTGTGTGAGTGTTGCTGGACAGAGGAGCACCTATCTTTGACAAATCTGCAAAATAAGTTTTACTGCTGGAATTTTTCATGCTCATTTTCTCAACTGAGCAAGTGAACTTGTTTAGTAAACATAGAGACAACATCAACCATGTTCTTTACTATACAAACCAGAAAATTAAAATCTCAATTTGTTTTTTTTGTAAGGGCAGTTGTTATATATAGGTAACTAAATAAAATTAAGTTTCAGTTAAAGCTCCCAACTGTACTGTACGTACAATTCAGTGACAAATGAACAGCTTATGGGTTTTGTTGTTGTTTCTTCTTTTTAAAAAGTAATAAGATTTGCATTTGGAATATCTGATAATAGTCTTACAATTGCACTACTTATCATAAAGATGGTGCTTGGGAACAAAAGAAGATTTATGAATTCTTTCATAAAATTACACCTGTGAGGAATTTTAATTTGTGGTGCAATTTCTGTAGTATTATTCACTTATCAGTTATTTATGTGTTCAAGTGGCAGCAGTACCTCTTTTAAAACAAACAGCCACTCGCTACTATGGTTACATGTGCAGTTATTATAACTGTCTGGAAATTACCTGTGCTGGCAAAGAACAGCACAGCCATATGAGAAATACCTTTTGACATTACAAAATGTGTTCTGTATTACAAATTGGAATTTATTATTTGAATCTGGTTTTAAATCAGTCATTTACTTTGTTCTCACAGGAGACTTAGCCAGAGGCCTACAACTGAAGAGCTAGAGCAAAGAAATATCCTGAAGCGTAAGTATTTTATTCAGGCTTCAGCTAGTATTTACTTAGGAAATGAGCATGTGTTGGATTCATATGGAAGCCCGTAATTATTGCTGCAGTATTAGATCCATAACCAGAGAGAAATTATGTTCTAGAAAATAATGTGTCAACACTAGATTTATTTATCTAACCTGTAACTGTAGCCATGAAAAGAGCGTATATTCAATATGCCAAATTTTGCTTGTCACAATCCCACTTCTTGAAGGTGGTCCCAAAAGACCAGGAATGATTTAGATGCCCCTTAGAAGTAGTTCTAGGCTAGTTGACTTTCCACCTAATTTTTATGAGGAGGAGGAGAGAATATCAGATGTAGGAGGCAAAGGTGGGATGTAAGGGCAGAGGTTGGAAAGAGGAGTAGAAAGAGGTAAGGCAAAGTGTTCAGAGGAAAGACAATAGGTATGTGCCGAGTACTTCAGCATGCTTGCCTTCATATTCACTTTTGACATAAATGTCTTCTGTACTGAAACCTTCATGAGACATTCTCACCAAATATCTTCCCATTTATTAAATCCTTCCTCAATATCCCTGCTGAAAAAAAAGTCTTTAATTCAAATAGTCAAGGGCAGAGGAATGAAGTACATTAGGTATTTATCCTCTATTCCTATTTCCCATTTACTTATGTTGGTTTTGTTCTTAGGCTGGCAAACTCTTCAGAACAGGAAGTTTTTGTCTTCCTTTATGAATCTTTCCATAATATGGGTGTTACCTAAACACATAGTGTAGCAGTTGCCATGCCCAGCTCCATCTAGCCCTGTATTCATTCTACAGGAGTAGCTAGTATTTGATGGTTAAGTAGAAGAAATAAATGAAGAAAACGCACATGCAAGTCTTTCACACATACCAAAAAAATCAAAAAATTCATCTATTCTTAGGACATGAGAACTTTTCACACCTCATGAAAGAGAAGGAATAATGCTGTTATTTCCAACAATCATTCAGAAGAGTTGTGCAACCCTGATGTGCAGCATGGTAATGGAGGAAAAGAAAATGGGCTGTTTGCCTGACAACATCCATGGACTGATGACTCTCTCACTTTTTCAAGCCAGCAAATCAGAGGAGTCAGCAATTATTGGCTTTCAGGCAACCATCCATGCTAATAAAATCTTACTGCTGTTGTACAAGCTCTCAGATGCCAAATAGCTCCATGTCTTATTGAAGAGAGAAGCTACAGTTCATGTGTGCACAAAAAAGGGGTCATGAGACTCCTATCCAGCACCTAATGTGAATAGACTTCCTAAAACTGCAATTTCTGAACCTATAGATTGCGTAGATAAATAAAGATAAAATTTGAAATATAAATATTTTTTTATATCACAGATTGCTCATGCTGGACTATGTGAGAAAGGTAATTCCAAAACATCTTTGGTGGGCCAAGATATGGCCACTGAGCTGGGAGTACCAGCTGGGCTCCCTTATTGCCCTTTCGGTCTCGTTTATCTTGAGATAGCTAACCTAGTAGCGAACCTGCAATGTATTTAATATCACTTTTGCCGGTGTTTTTTCTATTCACTGATTTTGCAATAAGTAGCTCAAGACTTGAAAGCAGTTAATAGATTTCTTCTCCTGTTTCTACTTGTTTACTTTAAGCTTTTGGCAGTGTACCAAGCATTACACTCAGTGCCTCCCGCTGTCCTCCCCTGCTGCTGCCGAGGGGCTGTCTTAAATAGGCAAGGGAGAGCAAAAAATACAGGCTGGGGAGCAGAATGGTAAATCACAAAAAGTCACAGAGTCCCTGGCAAGCACGTGGAGAATCCAAAACTGCTTTTTGCTCATCTCTGAGATACAAAATTTCAAGTTGAAAATGATCTGTAAAAAGCAAAGTGAACCAAAGCAAGCCAGGATTTGTGGTGACAGTCTGACTCAGAGCCCTTTCAGGGTGCAAGTTCTCTCTCAGCCCTAAGGCACTCATATTTTAAATCAAAATTATTGCATTCCCTTCCCATGGATCATTTGAAAATGTTTACATGTCTTAAATGCCTTTGTTGGTGTAGTCAGCTTTTGTGAGTAAGGTGGGATTTCTTTCATAAAGTTTCCTTCTTCCTCTTTTTTAAGCAGTGGATGGGGAGGAGGGATTATATTATTGCATGTATATAAATTGCAGCTAAGGGGAAGTATTGTTTTGAGTAATATTTATCATAGACTTTGAGGTTACATTAAGCGGTAAAGGTCCAAATGTTTACTTCAGAATAAGTTCAGCTCAAATCCTCTAAGAGGTTAAAAAAAATCCGTATTTTTTTCTCTTTTTTTTGTATATCCAGTTAGTGAGGAAGTCTGTTTTGCAAGAAGTTTTGTTTTGATAATATCACCAGATAAACCAGTTACTGAAAATCCTGTTTCCGTATGATCGCAAGGCATTGCAGGCGGATTTCTATAAAAACTGTTTGAATAAAACTATCCAGACTTCTGAGACTTCCCATACTAAAACAAAGTTATGATAACTCAAGAGTCCACTTGAAGGAATACATAAAGCCCTGTGTTTTTTATAAAGACAGGTTTCTTGTGTACTGGCTTTGAACCAACAGTATTTATAGTACTGCAGTATGGCAAAGAAACTTTCTAGTCTTCTAAGAATTTCAGATTAAGATAACTGTATTTTTTCCCTGTATTGGTAAAGGACAGTGAACTTCATGTACAGTGCACCTGCATGCCTGCCAGTAATGGCTTTGTAGAAGACAGGGTTTGGCTTTATAGAAAACTGGCTTTAGCTGTCAGTGCTAGTTAAGGAATATTAATGTAAAATCAGGAAAGAGAAAGAAACCACTTTGTGTGTTTCAGAGCACTGTGAGGAGCAAGTGCTTTGTTTGTCTTTTCTTTCTCTTTCCCTAGCAAGCCACAGAGAAGTCTAAACATAGCTAATCCCATAGGGACACAATGGAAAGTTCAGTACTCCAGGAGTACTTTCTGGTCAAGAACAGAACAGTCCTCGGGCAGGAAAAATTCTCTTTTCTCTTTTCCCCTACTGCTGCAAAACAAATGTCTCAAAGAACAGAAGGTGACCAAATTTAATATGGCAAAAGTTGCAGGAGCAATAAGGTATAGATGCCAGGGAGGCTGCTGGTTTGACTTTGGAGAGTGGATTGTTTAACTTGACGGCCACAATAAGTGATGATAAACAAAATTGTTTCAGTTAGGATTCAGAACCCAGTTTGACCTCTTAGGAGGTGCAGGCAGGGAAGGAGGGAAGCCATAGTTTTGCTGGGATCTAACCAGAGACTTCTGGAAGCAAAGGGCGCTTGCTAGGCTGGTCCTTTGCCAATAAGGCAGCAGCGGGACATCTGAGGAGGGGACTTGCAGCTGGGAATGCTGTGTTTATATTTTCTTTCTCCACGCTACACAGATTAGATCTGCTTTTAAGGTGGAAAGCAGAAGTGTGTTTCTGTGCATTAATGTGTTCCTGCTTGGGCAAGTGAGTCACCTGCAGCCAGATCTTGGCCCTCTGGCTGGAATTTTCCACAATACCTGAAGGAACCAGGAGCACTAGACCCATTATTTTTAGCATCACATATCTTCTTAACTCATTACAGCAACTTTCAAAACTTTTACCTTAAAAGACCGAAAATACACTGTAGATTTTACTGTTTGAAGGAATTTGTATCCAGGCAGTGTTTCTGTAGCACCAGGCTTAAAGCAACGCTCTGCCCAGCAGGCCAGAGGTGGGAAATTGGTGCTTTAGGCATGAGTCAGTGCCAGAGACAGAGGCCTGTTTGCCAAACAACAGATTCAGTAGATTAGCAGCAACCACCAGATTTCAGTCCATTTCCTTTAGCTCTTGAGTTTTATTCCTAGAAGTAAACCAACTTGAATGTATAAAATACATCCTGTCCCCGGACCTCTCACACAGAAGACTATCTGTTCCCCATGGGTTTGATCCTTCCTGCTTTGCATCAGGAGTGAAGGAAGGGCCTAATGCCTCCTGCTGGTATTGTCCTCCAGAAGATGGGCTGCCAGCTCTCTTCGACAGCCTGTTCCAGGACCTGCCTGGACCTCTGCCCAGCAGCTATAATGACGGCCTTGCATGTTGCCTATTTTTGGGTATTTTCCCTTGTTCAGTTGTCCCTTTGTGCAGTCATCTGGTACCCACAGGGAGGTAGCTTTACAGCTTGGGATAGGCAGCTAACCTTCAACCTTCCTAAATGTCCAGACTAACTCTTTTACGGTATTGTATCCTCCCTCAAAATATAGAAAAACAGTATTTCAGGTGACCATGCTGTTGGTAGTTCCTTAAGGTATGCATTAAGCAGTCTGAGCCCCTATTTCTTACGTGAAGCATCTTGTTGCTGCTTCTTAGGAGACACTGGTTTAGATAGCAAAGAAATGTCAAGATATGAATAATGCACAATTTATTTTATGAATTAAGTTAAGGAAAGGACAGTACAGTGATGTGTATATTCAGCTGCTTTTTTTTTTTGCTATTTCTGCTACTGGAGAGTTTCCAAGGTAGACCATTCATGAAGGGACAAAATTTTTTATGTCAGATGATTCCCAGGTGAATGGAACCCCAAATTAATAGTTTGTGTTTAATTACCTCAGCTACAATGTCTACTGATTGCAAAGACAGGATGTTTAAACAAAAGCCTGCAGATGATTTATCTGTCCTAAAACAGCTAGAGAGCTTTCGATTTTTTTTTTTAGGTGAGGATTTTATGAAAAGAGTTCTCATTTAGAGTCCAAAGTCCTTAAATACACCCAATTTGTTTATTGATAGATATATTAATTAAAAAATTTAAATGTAGATTAATCTATAACTCTTCATACTTCAGTTTTAGTCCATTTACAGTTCCTCTATGGAAGCAGGCCATCAATTTCTTTTCCATTTAAGAGAAAAGCCATAAATTACATCCACGTTTCAGTATCTCAGTAAAATCACCACCAATATGAGATCCAGCCTAATCCTGGCAGCAAGACTGTGAGATTGCATCTTGCTCTTGGAAACCTGGGGTTGGTGTTGGATGCTTCTCACAGAGCAGATCTTGGGCTGGCGTTGCCTTTTTCCTACTGTATCTTTCTTCTTTTTCATTTTAATAATTTGTCCTGTTCTCCTTTCCCTTGTATTTTTCTTCTATGAAAGCCTTTGAGTTAGCAAAGGAAATCTGCAAGTACCACAAGGTATCCTGTTGTAGCATTGCCTCCAGTGTGTAAGTCATGATACACAAACTCTTCTGTAGCTACGTTACCTATACTAACATAGCAAGCTGGACATAGGAAACAGGGCAAATATGACTATACTAGGATTTAAAACTGCCTTTTCATCTATACAGGTTGGCTGTATCCACAGCAAATTAATTCCTTTAAATTTATAGTTACCCTTGAACTATAATGTGGTGTCCGTAATCCTAAACCGTGAATAAAACAGGATCAAAATTTTATGGATATCTCTAGATAGGATATTTCAGAATATAACCATCAGAGGTGGACTGAAAGGGCAAATAATATTCTGCAAACTGTACATCAATCTAGAAACATGCTAAGCCCATATGAACATGTCTTTGTAAGTGTGCTTTTCACTGTCAATCAAGAAATCAAGTTTGGTTAGCACAGAAATTTGTTAAAACCACATTTTAGTCACATGCCCAAATACATTCCAAAAATGCATGTGTATATTTGTGCTGAACTCATTTATCTGGTATAGCCAGTGGCCCTTAACCAAGAGGGCTGAATCTTATGCCCCCCTTATAAAACCAGAAAAAAAATATAAGTAATAAAACCAATTTGCACTAACAAATGACAGTGAAACAAATCTCATTGATTCATTGTGTCCTGTAGCAGTAGAAGATGCTTGTCTGATTTAAATACTCAGAGCAAACTTTTTTCTTGACACTTATGAATAACTAGACTCTCACTCTAAAGTCAAGAGATGGCATGTTGGAAGTAAAAGCAACAGTGAGTTTTTTGTTAAAATAATTAACTGAAACATTAGGCAGCTCTTTCAGGGTACTTGCTTGCTGATGCACAGAAAGGAAATGACAGGCACCTCCTCTTTGCTGTGCTCGTGACCCACAGTTGACTTGAGATGTCTACAGAATCAGGGGAAATGCGGATAGGGAAAAGAATGAGAGCAAACAAAAGCCAAAAAGCAGACAACACATGCAGCACCATCCAGAAATATGAGGAAATGTGAGCCAGGACTTAAAGTTCTGAAGCTTTCAACCAACAGATATACATTATGTGCAGTTATAATACTTAAATATTCACTCCTTTTTATCTCTTCTGAAAACAGAGAAGAATGAAGAAGAGGAACAGGAAGCCAAAAGAGAAATAAAACGTAGACTCAGTAGAAAGGTGATGATGTGTTTTTTGTATTGTGTATTTGTGAAAATAGAATTATGTTTTATAAGAGTCTAAAAATCATTGTGTAGACATTACTTCAGATGTCCATCAGTCATGTCCCCAGATTAGAAATCTGCTTAAAAAGCAGTACAAGCCAAATCTATCTTGGGGGAAACTCCATCCTGTCCAGTTTCCCACACCTGGAAAAGCATACAGAGTCTGGCCATGCTTAATATTTGTCTGTGTAAGCAGGGGAGATAAGTGACACGTTTCCTCTGTGAGCTGTCACATATGTTGGAGGGCAGCCACACCTGTAGATCTTAGAGCAGTGAAGGGGGCAGCAAAGCAATGCAAGCCCTACAAAATCCCTTCACCGATCTTCTAACCACATTGGTGGTCCTAGCTTCTGCAGGTGGGATCATGCTCATTGTCCCTGGAAATGGAGCAGTTATGGGTCTGCTGTTCTGGGACAGGATGTGGGGAGTTTTCATAAGTATCTCTAGTCTGCTCTTCTCTGCAAAAATACAGTTTCCTTAATATGATCATCCTTAGTTAATTAAAGTGAATATTGTTTGAGGTGAGTGAAACAATTTGGCATCATAATGACCCCCAGATGGTCAAACCCAATTTTTTTAGTTAGGCAGGTAGTTCCAAATCCTGCTTATTTCAGTATTACAGTTTAACACAGCAAACTGTATAATCATTGATGCAAATGGCCTAGTGGAGTAAATGCTGTGACAGTTGCAAAGTCACAATTAATATTTCAGGGATAACTGTCATGATTCCCTGTGACCTGTCTGACAAAGACTATTTTTATAATTGAAAAAATTAGGTTGTGCTGCCTCCCCATTCCTGTGCAGCACTCCCGGGATGGTGCTTTTTATAGACACCTGAAAGTGACCCTATTTAGAAATACCATTAAAGTTCTCTTGAGATTACATCATACCCTCGGATTTTATTTTACTTTATTTCATCTTATTAAGTGTATTACTTTCTGCCTCCTGCTTACAGCTCAGTCTGAGGCCTACAGTGGCTGAACTTCAAGCAAGAAGAATCCTTCGATTTAACGAGTATGTGGAAGTCACGGATTCTCCGGATTATGACCGTCGTGCTGACAAGCCTTGGGCCAGGTTAACTCCTGCAGACAAGGCAAGGGACAAATGTAGATTATAAGAAAATGCTTGCATCTGTTATTTTTGTGGAGCTTTCCTCTGGTTTACATTCTCTTGATGCCAGCATCACAAATGACATCTGCTGGAGACAGCGAGATTGTCATGGTACTATTGCTTGCAGATAAGAAAACCTACTCAAGTGCCCACTAAGAGCATATTTGCCACCTCTGTTATGACAGTTCAGCCCAGAATTTCTAATCTTTTTTCCTAATTTTTCTAATTTTTAAATCCTTGCAAAGCCAGATAAATGCTTAGCAAAGGTGGCCCTGACCTGTGGAATTCAGGCAAATTCTGCCACTGAGAGTTACTTTTGCAACTCATTTGAGTGCAAAAAGGTAGAAACTGCTTTATCCTCCTCAGGGATCTTGGTCACAACAACCAGTGCAGGAGCTGACTGTGTGCATGCAGTGCAGCTTCATGGGAAATTTGCCCCTAAAACGTACAGCTTATAGTTCCTCTACCTAACTACAAATGATGAGACAAAAGATTCTGTGACTCTCATTTGAAAAAGAGATCAAAGATTACCATAAAATACTCTTCCATTTCCATCCTATACCACTTAATAGGAAAGGAACTTAAAAAGGAAAGCTGTAGGATTTAGGTAGCAAATGGCCCTTTTAGCAGTGGATCTGAACCTACTTTTATGGAAGTCCGATGACATGTGCTTGACATGAAAAGCGATATGTGCAAGCACTCACTGTCTTTTAGCTCAACATGGTGAAGCACTAATTTTATTTCAGCTTGCATTTTTTAATATTAATATTAAAAAACTGCCAGCTCATCTTACAATCAAATGAGAATCTCATATCAAGTCAAGGTGGAGACATTAAAAATGTAGCCAGAAGTGTTTGTATGTGTTGTTTCTGGGAGGTGCTGAGCACTGTCTAATCCTCACATAGTGTGTGGGACATTAAAGCACCCAGCTCCTCCACTTTGACCTGAGTCCAGCCAGGGTACACTGAACTATTAAAACCAATGGAGTTTTCTACCTACTTCAGTATAGCAGTTTTTAATTTCAATTAACTTTGTAATGAACAGGTGCCCAGGGCTGGTTCTGTGAGCCCCATGTTTGTTGGCCTTAGCAGAAAGGCATACCCAGGGTTGCCTGGAAACTCCCTCACTCGTTTTTTTTCCCAGGGAAGTCATTCTTCTAATTCCAGTGGGAGCAGAAAATTGTACTGTAACTATATTAAGGAGCTGGAGCTCTAGTGTCTTTGCTGCTGATTTGGTGCTCAGAAATTGCTGCCCCTTTCCTAGCTATAACAGCAGTTTCATGTAAGCATGCTGTTGTGGCTAAACAGAACCATCCCCTGCTTAAAATGAAGTTTCTCATTTATGAGACTGCAGTCTGGTGATGCTATAATTCTATCATGCTGCTTGCCTGTTCTGCATTGAAAAGATACACACCAGATGACATTTCTTTAGGGCTTAATGAACTGATACTGTCTTTATTTAAAATAGTGAAAGAAAAGAGTAAGAATAATCTGCCATTTCCTTTCACAGTAAAGGTAGGAAGGCATGTGGCATAGAAATAAAACCCCTTGTAGTATATTAGAATATTTCAGAAATTATATTTATTACTTGATGAAGTAAATTGCTTATCAGTCTCTTAACATAAGCAACAAAGCATTTACAAATGCACTGAATTTTTGCTGTTCCTCAGTATCTGCCAACTGAAAACATAAGCCTGAAATGTCCAAATATTTCATGTCACTTTACATAAAACTAATCAAACTAAATGACTAATTCCACTTTAAAAAAATTGCTGTTCATCTTGCATTCCTGAAGACCTGTCTACAGTGGGGTAGACAGGTAGACCTTGTCTACAGAGACAAGGCCCCTGCTGTGTGCACAGTGCCTGTGCAGGTGGAGTGACTCACCAGCTCCTCAGGGGCTGTGCCTGGAGATACATCCCCCTCCTGGCTGCATATTCATCAAGTGATTGCAAAGTAACCCAATCCCTTGCTCATTTTTGTCTGTAGGAAGTGCTGTATTTCGTATTTCAGTGGGGGCTTGGTTCACCCGTTGAAGTAGATTTGGTGTTTCTTTGTTTATTGTTGGTGCTTGATGCTTTGGGTTTCTCTGTAATGTAAGACTGCTTCAAACAGCTGTAATTGAAAAAAGTAATTCATGTTGATGATCAGAAATGTGTGAGAACTGTGGATTATAGTAAGGGAGACTTGAAATAGGAGCTGTAAGGAAAGTGCAAAAGGTTTCTTTCATATTCATTACTTTCCTTAAAATTCATATTTCATATTCATATTTCAAATTAATATTCAAATTTCATATTTATTAGGCAGCAATACGGAAAGAACTGAATGAATTTAAAAGCACAGAAATGGAAGTACACGAGGAAAGTCGGCAATTTACCAGGTGGGTGAATCCCTCTTCTTGCATAAGTGTGAGACATGGGCCTGACAGCAACCCTCTGCCTTTCTGCAAGTCCTCTGCAGTTGTGTCATGATTTGTATGGATTCCTACCATGAGTCCCCTTGAATTTCATCAGTGATTCTGTTAGAATTCCCAGTGATTCTGTTAGAATTCCCAGTGTTGTTGATGCCACCTCTAGTTGGTACAGCAGTGAAGGTGACTGCAATGGATTGGTTGCACAGAAAAAGATTGTTTGGGGCATCTAAAAAATAGTCCTTTGAAAGAACTCGGTGGTTCTCACAGATAAAGTTAGTAGTCCTCAAGCGCACAAAAATAAAGGGATTTCCTTCTCTGGCAGCACTCCCTTGCTCATGAAAGTATACACTTTTGTAGATGCATTTGCTAAGTGAAAACTAGATGATGTGTTGAACTTCAGAAAAGCTTGCCAGTCTTTTGGCAAGCTTTCTAAGGGTCACCTAGGTGCCTGGCAGCAGTTTCTGGGGAACAAGATAGATTCCCTTTTTGCCACTTCTTATCTGTTAATCTGGATTTGTTTTGTTCTCTGCTTTGGATAACACCAAATTGTTGTCTGAAGCATTATTGTTTCCAAGAGCTCTGAAGTGTCCATAGTTTTTAGCAGGCCTTAAAATTTGGCAGTTATTCCTAGGGGGAGGGAGACATTTCCTGTCATCCCCGTGGCATGTGTTCATGCTTCTTGGAAGTTACAAAGGCTGAAAACGGAGACCAGCAAGCAAAACCTGATGTTAGGATCAGCCAATGTTGCGTACACAGTATTATTGTCTTTGCTTCTACAGAGAATTAAGTCAAATAAAAATAATTGCCTAAAACTTCATCCTTTCTGTTTCCTGTTACTGTTTCAACCAAACTCAGGATCCAAGCTAGGGATCCTAGTGTGAACCTTCTAATTTAAGAGTGTGTAACAGGAGAATTCAAAATGGGATATGGATGTTTCATGCCTCTTCTGCTTCATTGCCTGATTTCACAACTTCAGTGATTCCTTTCTCACCAAAACATGGATATTTTTTTTAATAATAATGTAAAGTTACTTCTGTGTAGATACAACATGAACAAATTCATTTTCAGAAAATCAAACCAGTTTCACAGGCAGCAAACCCAAGCCAGGAGATTAACCAGGAGGTAAGGTTTTAATTTAGTGTCACATTCTGACAATTAGAAAATGTTCTTTTCAAACACGGAGATGTATATCTTCATTTGGCTTCTGATGTAATTGTCTCTTCAGCTACTAGGTAGTGTATCTTTTTCAGAATATATAAAAATACCGCTTTTTAAAAAAAGGACATCCCAAGGTAGAGAATAAAAATAGCAGGTATAGAAACCAACTCCCTGCTTACATTGTTGTGTTTCCTGAGTTGCACTGCAATATCGAAGCATAAGTAACAGATAGGCATGAGTCATACAAAAATAATCGGATATTTTTTCATGAGGTTCGAAAACAGTTGAGACTTATTACAATTGGATTTTTGAAAGCTGAACCAGGAATCCAGTGGAGTGACAAACCAGTTAAAAAGTGAATTATTTTTTTTCGAAGAGGGCCTTGGAAAATGGAGCAAAAAATAGGCACAGCCAAATAATGGTAAATACAGGCAATGGTTCCATAGGGTCCCGAAAGAATTTCAACATGAGAGAAATCAGGTTCTCTGTTCCCTCTCGACCCTCTTTTGTTTCACTGATCATTTTGTGGAGTCACTGCACGGAAGTCAGAAGAGTAACACTAGAAAAAGCTAATTAAGAGCAAAATAAGGTGCAGATGTTTTAAGTCAATTGCAATTTTGAAAATAAAAAGAGATCCCATTTCCTCTGGGACCTCTCATTAAAAATTATGTAGTTTCTGCTACATTTGGATTGATAAAAAAAAAAGTGATTTAAGAAAACCATAGACAGAAGCCTCTAGCTAGAGAGATTGATTCTTTCCAAGGAGATCACTGAAATAATGCAAACCAAAAGGCAAGTGCATTGGCAGCTGGTTAACAAAGCCTTATTCATAAAGTTCTGTGATAGAATGAGACAACGAAGCTGCTTACTAAACAAAAAATAGTTTATAGGATATGGTTTCCTATATTATTACAGATTAAATATAAGATGCTTTAATATTCTAATCAGTACTACAACATATTTGAATTGTTAAAATTTTATTTTAAACATGGAAAATTAAAATTGTTCATCATTTACAGCAATGACTGTCAGTTTAACTGTTTTTCTACTCCTAGTAATTTAGACTGATTCTTTCTGTTATTTCATGAGAGAATCCAAGAAACCAAGTTTCTAAAAATAGAGAAATACATAGAAGTTTGGAAAGAGGATATTAGTTAATAAAGTGTTTCTAATGGAAATGCTATATATAGTCCACTATATCGTTCAACACAAATACAAAAACCCTATGTCTTTATTGCAGTCCACTGTACCTTCACTTAGCAGATGAGCTGCATACTTGTGAATGTCAGCTTTTGTGTACACCTCCTTTATTTGAGAAATGCATCCCTTTATTGTACTGAATCAGCTTGTAATGTGGGGTAATGTGTGGCTTGTTTTCTTTTCTCTGGAACTGTTAAGAGAAAATGTGTCAAACAAAAACTTAGGTAATTCCATTGTATTACGTGCATCATTACCTGTGCCTTTTTTCAAGCTGTTGCATATTTTACTACTTCATGGACAGATGCATTTTATAAGCCATTTAAAGAGATATTTATGGCTGGTGATAGATACATTGAGAATCTGATACTGGTGTCCTTCTTACCCTTTTGCTTGGATTCATTACATTTAAGATGAGTTAGAATTTCAATTGCTGTAGGTTCCTAACATTGTAGAAAAGGTTGGTGACACCTTTTGGAGCAATCCATCTCTCTAGCCATCATATAGGCAATCTGGAGCAATGTACATGCTCTACCTAAAAGCCTAAAAAACAGTGAGATATATTTGGGCCTTCATGTGCCTCAGCTGATAATAGGAAGAAAGCATCTGCAGTGCTATAAAAGTTGTTGCTTACTTTAAAAAAAAGCAACCTTTTTTTAGCATCACTTTGCACAAGGATTAAAACCCAGAAATTTAAGTCTTATAGTTTATCAAAGCTTTTCCCATAGTAGCTACTGTCATCCAAATAGTGGATGCAATTATGGCTAAATCTATACTGGCAAACAAAACAGACTGGACACTGTTCTCTGGCCCTGAGGCAGGCTTGGCATAGCTTGCATTCATACAATTAACCTATCCCTCTCACCCCAAAACAGGGCGATGTCCCCCCATACCCAGCTTGCCTGTTGTCCTGGGCTGATGCCAAACACGCCCAGGCAGTACCTGAAAGAGCTGGTTGACCCAAGCCAAACCATGCCAGGGACCACAGTGACAGGTTAATGGTATGGACAGACAGTGATACACCAGTGCTTGAGCCACACCGAATCCCTGTTTGGTTTTATAAGTAGAGAGAGATGGACAGCGAGTGATAATAGGTGTGCCTCTAAACCCACATAGACCAGGAAAATCAGGAGTAATTCTGTTTGGGCCAAAAAAGTAAACAGCTATGAGAGAAGGATGAGGATCAGGTTCATTTTCAGTTGAAATAATATAATTCTAAGTTTTTTAATTTATCTTTTCAGGTTTCATCGTCCATAACAGTTTGACCACATCCCATATTTCATGTAACAGTTTTCTTTTGGGAAATCATTGCATCCTGAAGACCTGAGATTGCACTGGAACTTAAGTATGAGTGTGTGCTACAGTTTACCCTCACGTTAATGAAGAAAGTGGCCCTCGTCTTTATCAATGGACAAATGATTTGTCTAGGAGGAGAACTCACGTGAAGCATTTGTCCGTGTTCAGACAGACCACAGTCTGTGGCTACCCCACACAGACGAGTTGGTGGACTTCTTCATCAGAGCTCCACAAGTCAGGAAGTGCTGAAGACAATCGCTTGAGAGCCTGCTACCAGGAACTATCAGATTTCATAGGGTTGTGACTGAGGGTAACTGCGAGGGAGGGGGTGTGTGAAAAGGACTGAGAGCTGGGGGAAGAGAGTCTTCGCTTGTCAGTCCACAGAGAAAAGTGGAATGGATGGAACTGCCTAATGATGCACAGTGGGAAGAATTATTTAAAGGAAAAAAAAAAGAGTGTGTGAGCAACTGTGCGTGTTTATTTGGTTTTTTTTAATGGCTACAGCCTGTCTTAAAAAGACAGCAAGCCATAAGTCCTCATGTTATCACTACTTTAGTGAAGAACTGTCATTTTCTTTGGTGCCAGTAAATACAGTTGCCAGAAATTAACTCATCTGTCTTTTTTAAAATCCCAATGTGCATGCTTCAGGAAAATACATTGAACATTCATACAGAACAAGCCACATATTTTTTGGTTTTTAATGTTAACATACTCTGGATCCTCAGAAAGACATAAAGAGGATTTGAAGTTTGATAACGTTCAATGAAATGCTTCATGTTTAGAAACACTCCCTGCTGTCTGTCACTTGCCATTCAAACCAGAGGGATCATTATCTTTCTCATTATGGCAGGCAGTGGTGACTTCGACATCATGCCAGTGTGAATCCAAAAGTAGAATAAAATTAGGCACAGAAGTCTTTGCTAGTATGCTTGAGGAGTGATTACTAATGTGACTTTTTCCATTTAAGGACTCTTGCATTGCTTTGAGGAAGAACTCCCAGATGATCAGTATGTCTTCAGCCAGTGGTCCTGTAAAAGTGAAGGAAAATCCTTGGAGTGTCTGCAGCCTGCTTTTGTTCAGTGTGAAGAATGCTTCTTAGATTTGTAATTTTTTATACTATCTTGAAATAGTATATGTGAATACAGTACTATTAAAATTAAGTGGTATGGAGTGTGAAAGGCAATACATGATTTTTCTAAGTTGGCCCAAAGGCCCATTAAAAAGCCCGTGGCATTGTTTACACTAAGAAATTTTCTGTCTTATATTAGCACTTATTTATCCTTTGATTAATGTACACAACATTTGGGGGGTGGGTCTGGAATTCACATATGCATACTTTTAATGCAGTATTACAGTATATTTGCTATTTATCCTTTCTAATGTGTGTACATATTACAATTTATTTTTGTCTTTTATGCGCCCTGTTCAGTTTTTAATTATGAAGTGTAAGTATTTCCTTTTCTGGCAATAAAAGATCTGTGTAGATGTGATTTTTACCTCAGTAAATCTGCAATAGATTCTTGTGGAATGTTTTTAGTTTATAAAATTGAAGGTTGTTGTTTTAGATGTCAGCCTAAAGGCAGAAAGGCGATTTGGTGGCTAAAATTAGATATCCCTCTTCAGTGCTATTTACAACAAGACCAGGTTTGCATAAATGGGGTGGATTATTTTAGGAAAGAGCACTTCTAATAACAGGAGAGTGCATTCCAACAGCCGTCACTCTATTATTTTTAAAGAGATTGGTAAACCATTTTTAAAGAAGATTTTTATGATGTTAGGATCCCTTACATTTTAGTAAAAACTCTAATGAGGTACAAGGCCCAAAATATCAATAACGAAATAAAATAACCATCTACATGCTTGTAGCAAAGAAAAGCAAGCAGCACCTTCCTTTTTTAATGGAATCAATAAGAGCCATTAGGATTCCATTTGCAGAAAACAGTTTAGCTTCTGGGAGGCCCATCATTTTAAAAATATAGAAACACTACTTTGACATCAAGGAAGCAGTGAAAATGTATTCTTTGGCACTAAATCATGCAGGAATTATCAAGCCATTAGAGTTAAGGTTTGTCAGCAATTCTGGTACAATGCTAATTTTTATTTTTAGAATTTGATGAGTAAACTTAAAACTTACACTAGAAGAGTTCTGCTTAAACTTTTTTTTTTTTTTGCTGATGTTGCCAAATTTAGAAATGTGTGTCCAAAATCATATAAAGGTCTACTATGTTGACTTTGAAGTATAAAGCACAGTATTTCACTTCAAAGGAAACAAGTGAAGCAATTAAACAGACCTCAGTGTTGCCTTAATCCCATCAAAACACTTGAAAGCAGCCAAGATACTAAAGGCAGAAGGATAGCTGTTGCACAGGCAGAATAACTTGGACAAAGGTAAGGTAAGACTATATATACTTTATATAAGACAGTAGCTCCTCTCACGTGCCAGGGTACGTATGGGTTACACAAGCAAAGTAAAAGTTGTTAAACTCTTAGGACGAAGTTAAATACTTGACTTTGCAAGAACATATTCCTCTATTCTAGGCCTGGAGCATGGATGGAAAGTTATGTGCTGCCTTTTCATTTTAATAGTTAAAATGCAAAGGTGAGGATACAACTTCTAGCTCAGACTTCTTCAAGCTGCAATATGTCATAAGAAATGAGGATACTTAGGTGAGGTATCATTTAGGCTTTTCCTATCCTCCTTCTGGGGTTGGAGGTTTTTTTAAAGTGTTCACTACAAGCCATTGCTAGAGGCAGAACACTAGCCTCGATGGAGATGCTGAGTTAATTTTTAATTTCTTTTTATTTTTTATGACAATCAGATGCATTCTTTGACCCACAATTCAGCAAACTAATTAAGTAAATTTATGTAACTGGACAAAAGGATTTGCCTTTATTGAAACTTATGTAAAAATGTAGTATGCTTGCAGAATTAGAACTATAAACTATCCATTTTGTATTATACCCACACACAGACATAGAATTGTATATACTATTTTTATATTCTAAAGATCAACTGGCAGAAAAACAACAGTTGGAAAGTGTTATCCATGCAATAAAAAATAATGAGAATTTGGTATGTCACTATGCGAAGTGAAGCAAGTTTGCTTTACCTTATTGAGCTGCCTGAAGTCTGTTTCTGCTGCATCTCCTAGCCCTCCATATTGATGATTTGAAATGTCTTCGAGTTGCATCAACAGCCCATTGGAAATAATATGCTGTATACTTGTCTATGGGGCCGCATGCCTGTTAGAAGATAAAAATCAGGATAAGTCCTGAGAAATTAATAAGTGAGTAGTCCTTGAGGAAAAAAATAAAAATATGCTGAAAAGGCAAAACAAAAGTAACACTTTCCATGTGACACATAGTACAGTCCAGCTGGCTAATAGGGAGCAGTATATTAATTTTTATCAAACTGGACAAATAATTTAAATGTCATCCACAACATATGACAAACCTTACACATATTATACCTAATGTTCCACAGAGTCATATATGAACTCAGATGTCTACAGCCATACAAAGAGAAAATTAGTAGCATGAAGTAGTGGTTTCTGAAATTACCTCATATATCATGTTTATCAGTAGAATCATGCATCACACCATGTTGCTGTGGGTGCAAAAGAATGGATGCTTAATCAAATCCTAATTTCTTCTTCACATAAAAAATGTAAATGATTCTACAATGTCTCTTGTCTCTCTCAGGTAATACATATTAGTCTTTTTAGCTGAAATACAGTCTATATGAATTTTCTCAAATTGTAATATATATGTTGACTCAACAAGTGCAAAAAAAAAAATTAAACTGAATGCTAATGATTACTTAAGCTAAATACCATTTCAGCTGGTGATTTGAAACATGTTAGGACCAGGAGCACCATCTCTTCAAAATCACTGAAAGTATTTGCAGCCATTTGTAGGTCTACAAGACTGCATTTATTTGTTGAGTTTATCATTTACCTACAGTTGTCCATGTCCCTTGCTGTGGTGGCCTTTCCTGACCTCTGATGTGGTGTGGGGCAGGGCATACCCACCACCTGCTCTGGCCACACTAAGTACCTCTTAGAGAAGCACCATAGCCTCGGTGTTGATATGTAAAAACCTTATCAGGTGACCACTTCTTATTTTTTACCTTGAAAATGAAATGAAAGCTGTGAAACAAAGGCATTAAAGCACCCCTGATATTAAGAAATTAGACCATTAGACCACTCCTTCCAGGTGAGATTAGTGCTTTGTTTCCTGTAGAAATGCTTCAAACTCAGAGCTGTAACAAGTACTACTACAACTACATCAGAGAATTTGTTTCAAAACAGCAGTCAATTAACCTGACTATAAATTTAATCTGAGCCCTAATTTTGTATCATCATAAAGTGGGAGGAAGATCCAGCCAGCACAGACTAAAAATGTCTAATCTAGTCTGGCAGCCTGGGAATCAGCTGAAATCCCTTCAACGGCTGCAGCCGGCAGGGGTTGGAGCCAGGGTAGGAAGAGCCACACTGTCACCTGGCTACCTAGCAGGACAGGTCTGTGTGAGCACTGCTGGCATACTAAGCAGGGACTAGACTATCCACCCATGTCTTAATGTCTGTTAATGCTTTAATGATAAAGCAAACCAAGCTAAAAGCCTACGTTTGCATGAAACTGTCAGGCACACCTGAACTGCATCTTTTAATGCTTTCACATCATCTCTTTTTGGTAATTTCTTAAGGAGTTAAGACCTGTGCCACTGCTGCAAACTAAAATAAAAACATACTCAGGGTGAAAAAAAAGGATAGACTTGCCTCCTGCCTTTACAGGCCACATTTAGTTCCATTATTGTTTCTATCCGTATTCTTACTGTACAAAGCTCAGTGCAATGCTCACTGCTGGGACCTAGATTTTAATAGAAAAAGTGATTCTGGAAGCTTTTATTAGGTTGATGCAAAAATATTTTGAGGATCAAATTTAAAAAAAAAAAGAAAAAAAGTAAATTCTCCAGAATAGCTTAAAGCTTCTATTTAACAGAAATCTGGAAAAAAACCCCCACCAAAACTCATGGAAGTATATGTATAGAGAGAAAGGGAGAAAAAGGAGTGAAATGAACATATTTTGCTGTAATGTTTCTATTTATTAACTTTAATAATTAATAAGTTCTTGTTTCACTTTGTCAGTTCCCACCTTGTTTCAGGTTTTTAATGGCAATAGAGCTCATATGAACTAGATACAGCATATCACCAATATTTTCTAGGAGGTAAATATTGCATTGGATAGAACTGAAGAAAGTAATGGTATTCCCTGTATCTCCTTGTTCAATCATTAATTCTTTATATTAAAAAAGTCTTTCAATGCTATGTCAAATTCAACAATATTTGAACATTGTTATGATATAGTAAAATGTTGCTGAACAAATCTTCTCTTCTTTCACTACTTTGTGTGGTGGTATACTGATTTGTAAACTTGCATAAATTTTGGAATTAAAGAAATACTGTGTTTTGGATTATTATTTTAGCGGGTGTGATTTCAAACAAAAATATATAAACGACTTGTTTGAATGGGACTGTGTGCGCAGGGTGGGAAGGGTGTGGAGATGGCACGTGCTTAATTGCCTGCAACCATTCAAATAGCTTTTAAGATTTTTATTTTTTTTTCCCTAAAAGAGAAATAGAATTCCATTTACAACCAAACTGTAAATCTGAGAGAGGCACAAGAATGCTGTAGACCACATTGCTGTACGCTCAGGAGCTAATAAATTGCGTCCCTTCCCAGCATTTTACAGAATAGCTCAAACAGTAAATAAAGATGTTATTAGTATGCCATGCTTTGTAGACCCAAATGTACCTTAAACACGGACAACTCAAGAACATGTATGCCTTTGGTAGAGCTGCAATTTGGCAGGGCAAGGTACTATTCAGTAGTAGGAATCGTTGCACACATGCCTCTTCCAATCAAGTCCACATGGACACCTCTGAGAGACGACTCCAGTAAGGAAGGTTGATAACCCCTGCACATCAGTGTTCCAGTAGTGTCTTCGGAGGGTCCGGTAAAACCAGAAGATTCTTATGAGCTGAATATACTGTAAGGCAGCACAATCACCTAAAATGAAATTTTCATGTGAATTCATTGGAATTTTGCAGCATGTAATGGAGAGTATCACCTATTGATATGCACTGGGCCAGTTCTTAGACTTTATTGTTTCTGTTAGTTTGCTTGGAAATAGAAACAAACTATGCTCAAAGTAACTTGCTTGAATTTCATTAAATGTTCCTATTTACAAGTAAACTAAGGCAAACAAAATTCAAGCCTTGGTTCCCCATTGCCTGGCATGCTAGATAGTTACTGGTAACTACACAAAATGTATCTGAAGCATTTTCAGCTTAGAATTCCTGTCTCTTTAAAGTGTACTTTCCACATTTCATTACTTTCAAAACATGTAAAGCTGTGGAGAATCAATACCAATAACTTTTCAGCTTATGGAGGGCATATTTTACATAACAATTGTAAAAAGGATGCATCTACCTATACTTTGGCAACTTGACTCAGTGTGATTGATTATGGTAACTATAAAGAACTGGCTGATCTGATACTGCATTTTACACAGGTGTATTGATATCTGAGAATATAAGTAACTGGAATACTGGAATTATTACAAATTAATGATAGCTGCTTCTTGAGGTTTTATCTGTAATGTAGTGTGTATATATATATATACACTACTATATATATATATATATACACATATATATATATACACATGCACACAAATATATTCCAATATCATCATCTGGAAAATATAAAATACAGAAAATATTTTGCTCTTGAATCTTTAGCATGTACATGGACATATATAAAAGAGTTAAATTGAGAGACCAAATTAAAAACCCCTCTTCATGGAATTGAGATGAAGAAAGGTTCCTAAAATCTTCCTTTGAATTTCCAAGGTCCTTCAAACATATCTGGTAGCTCACTCATGAGTGGTGTATTGTGTAGTGGTGTGTTCAATGAAGTGATACTTGGTATAAAAATAAAGAGTGATAGCTCAGTGGTTCAGAGACCTAATCCATGTTCCCAGTTTCCCAATTTTTTTTTTATCATCAAGAAGTGGTTTTCACTAGTTCAAGTGTCATTGACAGTAGATTTGCAACAGAATTACACCCACTGCACATGGACAAAACTGATCTGCATAGTTGAGGATCAACCTAGTCTGCAGTGTGTCTGCCAATTTTTTAACATTACAAAGTGACTGACAATAACTTTTGTTTTTTAATTACTTTGCAGTAATTTCTGCTTTGCAAGAACTAAGACAAAAATATTATCATAAATTTCCTCACACGGAAGGCAAGTTGATGATCATGTTAAGGATATCCTTCCAGCATATTATTTTTTAAGTGTCTGCCTTGACACACCATTTCAATATTGACCATTCTTCTTCTGCAAGCATAAAAGAAATGGTTAGTAACCTGAGCACTTTTCCCTTTAGTCTCTGTAGATGCTCTTTGCTGAGTTTAAAGTGTGAAGAGTCTCTGCAAAGAAGCCAGTGAGAGAGTACAGTCGGATGGATGACCTTGTAAGGCTTGGATGAAATGAGAAGCTTAAGCAGAGTCTCCAAGAGACTCTCTCATATACATTTCAAATACATGTGATACTAAATTTTGAATTTTGATGTATCATAAATCAGTTGGAAGGAGACGACTCACTCTTAGGTATCAACAAAGGAGGCAATATGATGCTTATTATTGTTAATCCTTAATCTTAAAACTGATTTCCAGATGTATTACTGTTTGTATACATTATCAATCTTCTGTGATATGGGAGGGAGCCTGTTGTTTTATTCTCTATGTGAACATATAATAACATATCCTTCCCCCTAAATGCTTAGAATCTAACCAGGAAATTCAGGGTGGGGATGTGAATGAAAGCAAGACAGAAAACCCTCAGACTTAATGAAACAGGTAAATTTAACTTACACATATAAAACAGCTGATTAGCCACACAGTTGAGAGCAAAAGCTCATTTTTCCCACTTCCAAACTGATACGATGCTTCTAGACCAGATTTGGGGTATATGGAATGACAGTACTGCCATTATTAGATAGGGAGGTCACCAGATTTATGGGACTGTGAAGTGTAATCCTGTCACCAAGTCTATGTACAAGTATTTTGCACTTCTGTGTATGCCAGAGCTATGTCAGGGACCTGGAAGCAATAAGGAGTAATCTAATCTACATCATTACCCCACAGATAAATGCTAAGCACTGTGTTTTCAACAGCTGAGTGATTCTGGTCTTAATTACCCTGTGAAAAGCCAGCTCTGCTATTCTACCTGTCACTGGGTTTACAGTACAGACACACTATAGGAAGGAGTTTCTGCTGTGAGGTGCAGTCCTGAAAAACCTGAAAATTTGCAGCATGCAGTCAAAGGACACCTTTTTGGATCTTGAGTGTCTACTACAACCTTCAGATGGCAACAAGATGCTCACCATGTACTTTTTGCAAGAGGAAACTCTAGCCTTTGCAGTGATAAATCCAGAGCTAATCTGAATCCTCTGAGTACAGGAGTAATTTCAACTGATGGAGCTGATCAGATTAGTTTGTGCACTTCCATAAGAGTGATGTGATGAAACCTGAAGGTAAAGATGCAAGACTTTAGAAAATAACAGCTAGAACAGTGAAAATTTGGGTTCTTTCGGAGCTTTAGTGACACCTACTGAGAGCCAATGAAATCCACTCAAATATGACTGAAGCTAATATTTTAAGGTACACATATGCATATATATTTAGTTGTATACATATACACACATAATTTGGATAATTTTTCTGAATTTTCAGTAACAACCTCTTCTTAGCTGTTGTTATTTGCTTGTATGAATATAGGAAAAAAACCTGTCCCTTCTGTTTTACATTTTCCTTTTGAAATGTAACAAAACAGGTTTACATCATATTCCTAAAATACCAAGCATACTTTTCTCTTTCTTAGCAAGGAGCCTGTATGTGCACGCCTGTGTCTGTGCACAGCACTGTCTGTGCACTGTGCAGCATAGGTAAAATTTCTACAGCTGATGTGTCATATCACAGAGCCACAGAATGGGTCAGGTTGGAAGGGACCACAGTGGGTCACCTGGTCAAACCTCCCTGCTCAAGCAGGATCACCCTGGAGCACATGGCACAGGATTGTGTCCAGACGGCTCTTGAGTATCTCCAGGGAGGGAGACTTCACTGGACAATCTGTTCCAGTGCTCAGTTATCCACACAGTAAGGAGGTTCTTCCTCATGCGCAGGTGGAACTTCCTGTGCATCAGTTTCTGCCTATTTTCTCGTGTCCTATTGCTCGGCACCACCGAAAAGAGCCGGGCTCCATCCTCCCGACACCCTCCCTTGAGATACCTATGGACATTGATGAGGTCCCCTCTGGGTCGTCTCTTCTCTGAACAGGCCCAGCTCCCTCAGCCTTTCCTCGTAAGAAATAAGAACTCAAATACGGCAAAACACTCTCAATATGACTACGTGTTATTTATTTCTCACCCTTCAAATTCAGACCCCACTCCTCACACCTCCCCCCAACCAAGCCCCGCCCTCCCCCGCCTCTTCCTGCGAGCGGAGGCACGGTCTCTGCGCATGCGCGTTGTCCCTTGGCTCCCGCACACCGCTCTGCCAGAGAGGCCGCTGGTGGGCGGAACCACTAGTTTGGGGGGAGAAACGGGAAAATGTGTCCTTGGCGGGCGGGAAAAAGCAACCTCCCTTGCGTTCACAGAACCTTTCTTTTAATAAAATACTATTTCAGTCTGAGAAAACGCTCGTTGTTTTTTTTTTTTACAGTGAAGAAGAAAAAGCCCCAAACCTGCCTGGAGCGGCTGCCTATCGCGTTCCCCCCCGTTTGTGAGTGGTCTATTCCAAGATGGTGGCCAGGGCTCGGCGGCGCTGAGGCCTGGCTTGCGTGCAGCGAGCGGGGTTGGGGGCACTGGGAGTGGCGGGAGCGCTCCCCGCGACCGGGGGGCAGCGCCATGGTGAGTGGGTCGTGTTGTGTGCTCGGAGCTACCGGGTGAAGAAGGCAGGTTAGAGTAGCCCCTAGGTTGCATATATCTGCTATAACGCGTTTTGGTGGGTAAGTAAAGCCAGAAACCTTCATAAAAGCATTTCCCCGAGTCAGATGTGCTAGCCTGTAGAAAAGGCTTATATTTTTGATGTTAGAACCATGTCTGGTTCTAGTCCTCTTGGCTGGTGTTGAATTGCTGGCGTAGGAACACCGTCCAGACAATTTTCCAGAATATAAGTGTGTCTCGAGGAATTTCCTCATGTCGGTTTCCTGTGTTTCGTGGATGAAATTTGTTGTAGTTACTTAAGAATTCCTTTCTGGGGTTATATGTTAAACTGTATAGGGTACTAGCAAATATTTATTGTACTTGCCTTTTGGCAGCTGAATAAGCGGCATGTGCTGTTGGAACCTATGAAATATCTGTTGTGCATTTGGTGAGGTGAGTTAAGCCACCACTAGTCTCTTTTGCTTTGTCTCCAAACATGTTTGTAAAGTATTGTTTTAAAAAGAATACACTAGCACACTCTAGACAAAATATTCTTTGTAGGTGCATTTAATTTTTCATTTTGTATTAATGGTTAACCAAATGCCCTTTTGCAGCCTCACAAGAAGAAGAAACCCTTCATAGAGAAGAAGAGGGCAGTAACGTTTCACTTAGTGCACAGAAGTCAGCGGGATCCACTTGCTGCTGATGATACTGCTCCCCAGAGAGTTCTGCTGCCTACACAGAAAGTAAATACTGACTTTTAATATTGAGGTTCATTCAGATAAGAAATGCTGTGGAGAAAAAAGTTGGTTTGCAGTCGTACAATATAAAAACATACTCGGACAGAAGGTAGTATTTAGTCCAGCTTATTAAAAAGAAGGGGATGTTGTAGGGAGTTTGATAGTGGTGAGTTACTACCTGGTGGTTGAAGGATGACTAACTGGCATTAGGGATATAAATATATTTTAAAAACAACAACAAAACTTGCCTGACCCACTCTGGTAAAACAGGCTTTGTAAGTTATGTTGCTGGTGGAAAAAGTTGTCTAAGATCCTGCTCAGACAGCACCCAAACACTGAACCAGCTGATTACAGTGTTCTAGTTAGTTTTTGTGCAGGTAGTGAGTGGAGAGAGGACTACCAGGATTTTAGAATTCGGGCATTCTCAATTGATGTGTTACTCTTCTTTTTGCTAATAAGTTTTAAATGAGCTTAGGTAATGTATTTATTTTTATTATTTTTATACATTTATTTATTAATTATACATTAACTAAATGTATTTCTTTCTTCTATTTTCTTTTTGCCCCCCTTCCAAGGGGCATGAGGAGCAAAGAAGGGAAGAGCAGCGGAAGTACGGCGTCTTCTTTGATGATGACTATGACTATTTGCAGCATCTGAAAGAAGCCTCTGGTCCCTCTGAGCTGGTCCCTTCTGTGCGTGGACAGCAAAGCAGAATCGTTGTTACAAATGAGGGGCACATAGAAGATGAAATTCAGAGAATTTCAGTAAGTAGTATTTTTGCTAATGATTATGCTATTCTTTGGAGTTTAGTATCCTGTAGACACAATAACCGTATTCAGCAAATGTTACTGTGACTGTGATCTCCTTCTATGTAAAAAGATCCTTTTGACCCACAATCAGACTTTCCTACAAATAAACCCAAAAGTTGACAAGCCAGAGTTTATTGATGAACATTATTTTGCTAGTGCAGTGTTAAAAGCTTCATGTACCCATGACAAACTTTTCTTTACAGAGATGGCTTACAAAGGTATTTGTTTGAACAAGTTAGGAGTTTTTCTGGGGTGGGTGTTTGTTTTTAAGGTTTTTAGAACTTTTGAATGCTCTGGGAGTTATGAATATGCCAGGTTGCATTACCAGCACACCATGTTTTTAAAGTGGAATGCAGCAAAACCCAGAGGGAATAAAAACAAACGTTTCAGTTACTGGGATAACGTGTAGAATTTCATGATGCTGAATCGCATTGGAATGGAAAATCAGTAATTACTTTGAAGCAATGATCTGTACCATTGACAGTTTAATTGAGGGAGTTTAATTTAACCAAATACTGTAGTCAAAACCAGTGTTCTTAGTCAGAAATACCTTTCAGGTACAGTTTGGTGATACTACATAAGATTTAAAGTTAGATTAGATGGATATGTTGTGAAGCTTTTAATAAGCCTTTCAATAAAGGGGTGATTCCAAATGTTTGTTACTATTCTCCAAAACAAAAAAAAAATACAAATTTCAATGTGCCTGATGTACAGCCATTCTCTAAAAAGCTTCAGAGATGCAAAAAATACTGTCTCTATACCTGGAGAATATTGACATGAGAATTAAAGCTACCAACACTTTACCTAGCTTTCATTGCATAACTTTGAAAATTTGCCACTGATCAAGTAACGCTTGTCTTAATATTTAAGTAGTACTCACAGACTTTCTTTGTGTCACATGAGCATCTGCACCTTTTTTTTAACATGAGCTCAAAGGAGAAGCTGCGAACAAATATATTGTGATGATGTTATTTTGTTTCCTTTTCTAAGGCTCCATCTATTAAGTTACCTTCCTCAGTATTTGCCACAGAGTTTGAAGAGGATGTGGGCTTGTTAAATAAAGCTGCTCCCGTTTCAGGTATCGCTTACCTTTTTGTTATGTGAGTTGCCATGTAGGAAGTAGGTGATAATTATGGCTTTGATTGTGGTGTCATACTTGTCAGTTTAGAGCAGGCTAAATAGGAGACATAAAGAATGATCTATGAGAGACCCATGTTACAATTTGAGACTATTTCTGTGATACACTAGTAAGAACTTTTTAGCTTTGCTTGGAGAGGGCAGAATCTATGAGCACTTACTATTGTGTAGCAAAATATAAGCTAATAACAGGGAAAAACTGTAGATAATACTATTAATTTATTACTCCATCTGTTTGAATTCAAGTCTGGAACTAGATTTTCACTCAAAATTTCTTTTCAAGTGCTGAGGACTGTTTACATTCCTTCATTAGTATTATTTCAATTAACAGACTGTGAATACACTTTTGTAGTCTACAGCTGTCTTCATATTTTATAACAGAAAGGATTTGTGGCAGTTCTCTCTTGTCCTGGCAGAAGGGTGCTAAAGACACATCTGTTAATTGCAGTAGAGAAACACTTTTTAACCTTTTGTAATGTAGGGAATTTTAGGATTGGGAACTAGGGTTGCTAATTGATCATGTGGTACTTTAACTTGGATATTTTTTCTTCTACAATATTCTATATTAAAATGCATTTATGGAAGCTTAAGACCTCTGAGGAATGTTTTTTTCTGAATGATAAAAATTGACAAGAGGATGGTGACTTGCCCTAGCTTGTATCAAATGTACAAATATTATTGAGGAATTTTGTGATTCTTTCATTTGAACTTTCCTTACTGCAAATTAACAGTCTAGCTGGATTGGTTTTGTAATGGCAGAAAAACTTACATATTTATGTATTGTTTTGTTTTTTTAACTCTCTAGGACCACGACTAGATTTTGACCCAGATATTGTTGCAGCTCTTGATGATGATTTTGACTTTGACAATCCTGAAAATATCCTGGAAGATGATTTTGTTCTACAAGCAAATGAACCACAGAAACGGTAGATAGAACTTTGTTGAACTGTTTGCCTTATGTAAATAGGAAAGATGCTATTTGCTATTTCATGTGGTGGTATAGGAAACCAGAATGGTTTCAGATTTCAAATTTGAATACTTTGGTGTATTAAAAGAATAAAAGCATTACTTTGTATTATGTGAATGGTAGCTTAAAAAACCAAATTTTCTTGTGTTATCCAGGAGATGGGTTTCATTCATTACTTTGAGCTCATTGTTTACATGCAATGTTTGTAATAATAGTATTCTTAAACTACTTAAACATTGCCATTTATCACATGTAAAATACATTAGTAATAGTATGGATAAAGGCTATCTGTTGTTTCTGGAACCTTTACAAATTTTGCATTTTATTTATTTAGGTTTAGATATCATCTCATTATTTTATGAACAATGAGAAATTTTTCTCATTTTAGTATTCAAGAGTGCAGCTAGTATTATTCTGCTTCGAAAACTACAGCTGAATGTAAACGTAACTTCACTCTTAGTGCACAAATCTGTGATCCAACAGTTACCAGAAATGTTTTCAGCTTTCAGAAAAAAGTAGTGTAATGCTGACTTTGGCAACACGGTTTCTGCTAAACTTGTTTTTCTTTTACTGGCTTCAAGATAATCACTTTTTATCTTTCCCTCTCAACATTTGAATTTGTTATTGCCAAATTGTTTCAGGTAACCCAGCATTGGTCAGAGCTATGGAAAGGTCCATGTATTATTTTAAAACTGTTTTGTACTTTTGTTCAAGGGGATCAGATGCTGAGGATGAAGATGAATGGGAAGATATGGAGGATGATAGTGATGAGAAGGATAGTTGCAGTAGTGATAAAGACTATGATTCAGAAGGTCCTTTATCAGATGATGGGGTTAATGGACAGGCAAAAGAATTTCTTTTTATGCAAGAAGAAACCAGGAGTCGTTTCACAGAATATTCTATGACATCTTCAGTAATAAGACGGAACGAGCAGTTAACCCTTTTGGATGACAGATTTGAGAAGGTGAGGCAGCTCAAGAATGTAACTGCTAAGGGTGTTAAATGCTTCTTTGTCTGTTGATTCATTCCATCAGGTGGTGTCTCGTGCAAATTTTTACTGCCTTCAGTAGTCAGGGCATCAAACATCTGTTCTTTGCGTCTGTTCCGCATTTAATACTGTGTACTGAGGCTTGTGTTACCTAGGTTATTGCTCTTGAAAGGTCTAACACTGATAGAATTAAACAAAATTACTCCAGTTGCTGTATGAGCATTCACAGTTAGTGTTACACTTTGTCTGAGAAGCTCAGTTCATAGAATCACAGAATATTCAAAGTTGAAGGGACCCACAAGGATTATCGGGTCCAGCTCTTAAGTAAATGGCCCATAGGGGGTCACACCCCCAACCTTGGTGTTATTAGCACCATACTCTAACCAGCTGAGCTAATCTCAGGACTCAACACAGCAAATCATGTTAGGTGCCTGATAAAGTACACATTCATGAACTGAGCAGTGACAGGCTTCTTAAGGTACAGATTGAAATAATAGACAAGAATAAGAACCATTTCCAGAATCTGATTTATAAATTATTATCATAAGAAAACTTTGTGATTCCCATGCTTTAAGGATACTGACAGTAAGGAGGAAATCCTACTGCAGATGGGTTTGGTAGGGGAGAGGAAAAATGGGCAAATAAAAAGAAATGTGTGGATCTTATTTAAACTGTCAAGAAGTTGCACAACAGATGCGATCTAATTACAGATATCCACTTCTTTATTTTAGTTTTATGAACAATTTGATGAAGATGAAATTGGAGCCTTAGATAATGTGGAGTTAGAAGGCTATATTAACACAGACAATGCTCGGTTGCAAGAAGTCCTGAATGATTACTACAAAGAAAAAGCAAAGAAGTATGTATTCCCAGAAGTACTGCTTCACATAAGTCGTTAAGTAATCCTGTGTTTATATTGAAATTTTGGGTATGTTGTTCCAAGTTCAGGTACTGAAAGATTACATCCCACAACAAAAGCAGCTGCATATGAGTATTATCCATTTTTGTGAGAAAATTAAGTGGAGGAATTTTGTTTGTTTTAGTGAGTTTATGCTTTTTTTTTTATAATAGTATTGAACTTAGTGTAAGTAGTATCTGGAGGCATTCTTCCTTTCCCTTTTTAGTGTAACTTATTTTTCTCCTTATACCTTTACTTTTGTTTGTAACAGACTCTTTAGCCAAGTATATTCTGTCCTTCTGGTATGCAGCTGATTCTTCTTTCTGCTTAGTTACATGATAATAAACTCATGGGCAACTGTTGCATGGGTACCAGTATTTGTAGCCCTGCAAAAATCAGTGCTTATAAAGCAACTCTGTGTCAATGTAAGACTGCGTTTCCATGCTCTGTTCGCTTTGTCTTAAAGCAGGTGATATTGTCCCAAAGATAAATGTCTAAATGTTCTCACATTAGTCTTGTGTCTCCTGATGGAAAGACATGGTAATCCCTTCTGCTGCCTTGCTTACAAACTCTTCTCTTTCTGCCCTCCAGTCACAAGTATTGTGTGCCAAATACTTCTGAAATGCAGAAGTATTTCTTTTGTTGACTGTGTCTGTTGTCCTAATGTTTTTAGTTTATTTTGAGGCGACTTACATAGGAAACTTAATTTTTTGTGCCAGTTTCATTAGGAATAGCTTTCTTGGGTTTGGAGTTTTACTGAAGGGAGTCTGGTTTTACATAATTGCACATTTTCAAGAAAAGATAAACTGTATTTTTTTCTTCTCTGGACTTCTTCAAAGTTGTGTGAAATTGGATGCTCTTGAACCCTGTGAAGATTTGGACTCTCCTGCGAATGAAGAAAGTGAGGAAGAAAAGGAAGAAATAATATCTGTAGTTATTGAGGAACCAAAAGAGAAGTGGGATTGTGAATCCATCTTGAGTAAGTATTTTGGAGTTTGCTTGTTTGTTCCTAGGACTTCAAAGTAAGTGATAGGTGATCTCAGAACTTTTCTAGCAGTGCTTTAGGTAAAACAGTTTATGCTCTGAGCACAACAGCAGGAATTTCCAAAGCCTCAGTATTAGTACAACTCATAATAAACTTACCTCGTTTCTCTTTCCAAGCCCTTCTTCACTGCTTTCTTTTTCCTTTGTGCCCTAGGTACATATTCAAACTTATATAATCATCCGACCCTTATTAAGGAGCCATCAAAGGTAAAATTATTAAACTTATTCTAATGAATAACACTGGGAAAACTTGACACAAATGTGCATTTTTTTCTCAATGGATATCTGCTTTAAAAGAAGGAGCAGAAAAGAGGGTTGGGGAGGGTGTTAGCCTCTGGTATTATTTCTTCACTAAAGAAGGGTTTGGATATATTTTTTTATATTAGAAGGAAAATTGAGTCAGTTCAAAATGTCTGTAATAGCTAGGCAGAAACATACAGAGCAAGGAATTCACTTTTTTGTTATCTATGATATAGCTTTGCATAATGCATGTCTCACAACTACCTATTAGTTTGGATTTTTTTCTACAGTTTGAAACAGTTTATTCTAGTTGTTTGACCTTCCAGATGTTCCCCATCATTAGAGCACAGCTCGATATTCCAAAGTTTGAAAGGAAACCTTTTTCTTGCAAGCTTATAAAGGAATACTAAGTGCCTACTGAAGTTCTATTTTTTTTTTCCTCAGTAATATTTAAATAAAAGGGAAAATTGTTTTTCATGTTCTGGGAGGCTAGATTCTGTTCACAGATGTATTTGGTTTCTTACTTTGGGATTAATGTGCATTTTTCTGGAGGAACAAAATAGTATGGGGAAACTCACATGTTAATTACTGTCAAATCTGAATCTAACGTTTTCATACTGCTAATGCAGTGCAATGTGCACTTCTTGTAGAGAAAAGTAGGGACCATTAATACATATGCACTCTCTATTTTAGCCCAAGCCAATAAAAATTTCTCAGAAGACTGGAATTCCTCTACATATCTTGCCTCAGAAAGGTCTTACCGCTAAGCAGGTTGAACGCATGCAAATGATTAATGGCAGTGACCTGCCAAAAGCATCAACACAACCTCGTTCCAAAGATGAGAGCAAAGAGGATCGCAAGGCTAGAAAACAGGCAATAAAAGAGGAGCGAAAGGTACTTATTATTTTAAGTAAGACCTTGCAAAACCATGTTGTATTATCTGTCTTATAAACTTTATTTAAAGCTCACTTGTTTTCATGTCTGGAAGTAATGGGAAAAACTTGCTGGTCTCAAAGGACTAATTATTGTTCCTTAAAAAAAAAAAATCTACTAGAAAGAAAGTTAATTTTGTCATCCCGGTTTCCAGTGTCAAAACTTTGGGTTTGTTATTGTGGCCACTACTGCAGATAAAACTTCGGAAGGAACTTCAGATTTCCTTACAATCTAGAGTAGCAAAGGAAACATTTATGATGTTTCAGATTACATAAAGTGAAAACTATCTGAAAGAAACTATGGAAGAGTGGAAAAAAAATGGAAAATCTAATTGCCCACAATTAAATACTAGCTGTTTTTCTTAGAAACAGAAATAGCCAGCATATTAGAAGCTTCAGGTAACTTAAGATGTTAATCCTGGTGGTACACATATTAATTTGACTTCTGCTAATTAGTGCCATAAATGATAATATTGTCCAGATTGCTCTTGTTCTCATGATCTAGAATAGTTAATTAGAATTGTTTGATTTTGCATGTTAATTCCTATTTTGTAAATTTCTAATTATTCATGTGCATAGGAACGCAGAATGGAGAAGAAAGCCAACAAACTTGCCTTCAAACTGGAGAAAACGAGGCAAGAAAAAGAGTTACTCAATCTGAAACAAAACATTCAAGGACTGAAGCTGTCTTGAAACTGAGAAGCTTATTGTGGAAACATCCTTAAGTTCTGATTTGTATTGAGAAGGGAACTGCCAACTGGAGAACCTTGCCAGTCCTGCTTAAAGGGAATTGTTCAGATCTCTCTGTAACAAGACCACAGTAACTTGTTATTCTTTCTGAAATTAAATTCTACATAAAACAATGTGTTAGGGATGTTTATTCTGTCATGAATGACAAGGCAACTGTTGCAAAGTTTCATTACAGTATATATTAAAATAATTAAAAATATTTTTGTTACACACTGAACAGAGTTTTATATATATATATATTTGTTGAATGTATTCAGCAAATCAGCAGAATCCTACAGATTTGATCTCATTAGATTCTTCTATTAAATTATTTCATTTTACATAGCAATATTTTCATTTATGTCTTCTCTGCCTTATACTGATGGTTGAATATAGTGCCTTGATATAGCACAGTTTTGTAAGTCAAGGAGTTTTCACCCACTCCTCCTTGGTTCTTTTCTGGGTAGGTTATTTGTTGTTTTGGTACTATTACAAAAGCTGTAGAATAACCTTTCCTGAGCAGAGGTGTCTGAAAAGCCCTTGTGGAGCTAGACATCCCTGTTACTTAACCTGACTTTTATGTTTCATGGCAAATAAAATCTGTTTCAACAAGTGTTGCAGTTAGAGTAGTCAGTGACCCCTTAGAGTTGCTATTGGAATTGGCTTTGCTGAAAGTATTCACTCTGAGTAGTGTGGCAAACAAAACAGGAGATAATTAGAAAAATGTTGTAGATAATTAGAAAATGTTGTAGATAGTCATGGTCTTGATTTTCCTGAAATACTATTCCTCGGGTCTTGCATTCAGTTTGGTTTCATTGAAATACAAGCTCAAGACCCACCACAAATTTTTGAAGATGAGCAGACGGCCAGAATTGAGGCTTGGTATGATCTTAAATGTTTGTACTGTGCACGTGAGTTATCTTGATAGTGACCAGTCCATTATGTGTGAATGAAATGAATAGTATTTGTAGTCAGTCATAAATCCTTATGTATTAATAAGAAACCCTCAGGTTTCGGTCCTTAGGCTACAGACTGAGCAGTCTTCTGCCTTTAGGTGAAAAGTTAACCATTTTACTGTAAGGAACCAACGCATCAGTGGAGTGGCCTGACTACTGTTGAATTCAAAGCATCTGGAATATTCCTTAAATAGTTTTGTGAATACTAAATGGAGACAAGCTTGCAGAGGGACTGATGAGGCTGTTTAATGTACAGAAACAATTCAAAGTACTTGGTTTTACTGGAGGGAGACTTTTATAATAAATTGGTAAAGTAAGATGATTTTGGAGAAGGGAATAAAGAGGTATTTGAGTCTACAAGTCTCTTAATCACTGCTCAGAAAACTAAAGTGTCAATGCACATCTAGATTAAGCCTTTGTATGCACATCTAGATTAAGCCTTTGTTTTCTAGAATTGTCTGTGTTAACTGAATCAGTAGAAATCATCTGTAAGATTAGGAAAAAGTTTCAGAGTTTTCCTTTAGCTAGTTTCCCTTACCTGTACTAGTTTCCATGTGTTTCACAAGCTTAAGCAGGGTCTGCCTATGTCGTAATTGCTAATGTAATAGCTGATTGTGTGGTAACTTGGATGGTGAGCTTTTGAGTAACGAATACTGACCACCTAGTACTCGTGACTCCTGACAACAACACAGAAAAGGAAATCTGAGAAGCAATTCTGTTGAGATGAGTCAGATACCAGGAAAGAAGTTAAATGGAACAAGTGAGTAACAAATGCTGTTCAGTTGTTTGGGTGGAATGTGATTTTCTGATTTACCAAAAAGGACGGTGCATGTGTTCTTTGCTAGATTTCTCATTGCTGATTCAATGATACTGTGCTTGTACCCAAAGTCCTTTTTTTCTAAAAAAAAAAAAAGCTCCTCTGTCAGTCAAAACCTTGAGGGGGTGAGAAAGAATAAAGAGGTGGGGGAGCCAGAGGAAGACAGACACAGCTGTTGATTGGGAACAAAAGGGGAAAGACATTTTTGACTTTTTCTATAGCCTTTGTTTGAAAGTTATAGAATTACTTTGTTCCTCTGCACTTGTAATCAATGAAACACTGTAGTAACGTTAACTCTGTGCCTTGGAGTATCTTAAAGTCCTAAGGAAAAGGTAAGAAACAAAAGCAGTCACTCATCTGCTTTAGCAAGACAAGGATTTCTTTTGTTTTAGCAAGAGCAGGTAAGGAACAGTTAAATGAGAAGTCCTTACAGAAGTTAATTCAGAGAAGTACCTCTGTAGGGTTACCAATCTAATGAAAAGGACTGTGTTATTCAGGTTTTCCTTAGGGCTTTTTCTGTTTAATAAAAGTCACGTCCCTGCTCTGAAGTGAGAGGAGTATGTGACTGCCTTTGGTGTCAGAGGGGCCTAGAACTACTTTCCATGTAACTTTAACATCTATTTTTTTAAAAAAATTACTGATTTAAAACCAAACATCCCCAAAAAATTAACATCTACAAAGTAAGATCATCTTGGAATGGTGTTTAGCATATCATAGAAATGTTCCGCCTTAATAATGAAGATAATGTCACACATTGCATGGCACTTTCTACCTTCCGAAATAGCAACAGTTCAGCCTGAGCCATTACAGGATGTCATTAGCTCCTGCTGACTTCCAAACAAAATAGAATAAATCTGGGTGCAGATCGCCTGTTCTTGCTTCCCAGCCCCCTTCCCTGAATTTAGGGAGCAATGAACTTAGGTACTGTTCCATCATCTCCTCAGCCAACCGTGATGTCATTGTGAAAGCACATACCTAAGCAGTCATGTGGAAAACAGAATGCTGCCCATCGTAGTAAAGGAGAGCTTGTGCTTAGTAGGAATGGGATAACTAAGGAGTTCTGCAAAAGGGAACCCTGGCATGGAACTGGAGGGTTGGATTTGATAATCCTTGTGAGTCCTTTCCAATTCAGGATATTCTGTGATTCTATGGAGATGTCCCTTTCTGACAATGAAGTACTGTTTCAGCCAGGGCTCAGTCCAAGTGCCGACTCTGCTATAGTCAAGCTGTCCTGTACTGTGCAACAGACTCTTGCATGGTTTGCATTTTACACAGCTGCCTGAAGTCAAGATCTGGCTCCTACAACCTGTGGAAAACATTCTGTACAAGATGTTCTGGTAAAACAAAAATCTTTTATTTTAATGGGAATGTCAATGCATTTAACTGAAAGGGGTAGTGAATACTGGGGAAGGAGGAGGTGACTGCTAGTAGAGAAGAGGGTTGAACACATTTAAAACAGCAAATTATCTAGTAACTGCTTTCATTAGTGAACTTGATTAGAGAATTAATCAATGTGCACAGAAATATTGTGACTTCATCTTCAGCCTTGTGCTATCTTAATTTACCTTCTTGTCCAAAACCATGTCCAAAAGTGTCCTGTATATTGAATTTAAAATAATGTATTTTCTCTTGGTGAAGCGTAAATTACTAACCTGAAGCTTCCTATTTGTTCCAGGTTTTTAGGGTGAATTTGTTATTTGAGGCCTCTTGGGAAAAATAGACTAATAAACCATCTGATAAGTAGTCCCTTTGACAGCATAATGTGGGCACCAGGCTCTGTTCCAAAGCCTACTGAAGTGAATGAAAAGATTCCCCTTGACCTCCCTGATCCCTGGATTACAAACTGAATGGGTGGCTGCACAGTTTGCCTGGCACCACCCAACTGCACATTTTTTCTGCAAGGGGTGGGGCTCTGCATGCACCCCTCTGCTCCTCAGTTTGTGTTACTGATCCTGTGTCTCTGTGGTAGATCAGATCAGCCCTGCAATAGTACTGAAAACTGATTTAAGAAAAAAAAAATCCAAGAACAATACATTTGAATCTGAGTGACTGTGGAGCGCCAAGACAAAGGTGCAACTACGCATTTCATGTCCTTTCATGTTTGGTATCTCAGATCAGGTGCAGGAAGAACAGAATGGTTTAATTTAGCAAAGCAGTTTGAAAAGAGATACGTCTATGTTTTGGGAGAGGTGAGAAGTTTCCTGTCACTGTGACTAGTGTGAAACACAAGTCTTATAGTGTCTCTTTGTGCCCCAGTGATGCAGGACTGCTATGCTCCTTAGTGGGCAAGGCATAGGTATTGCTGCTCTTTTGGTCCTGCAGAGCAATATTCCTCTTGAGTTTGCTGTGAAAAATGACTAGAAACAGAGGATAAGGACCTGAAGCACATGAGTAAAAGGTTCAAAGGGAAATGAGAATTTCAAAATGAGTTGGAAGTAGAATGAGTTGCTTTTTGGTCCAGCTGAGCTGCAACCAAAACGCCTTGCTCAGGCAGCTACTTAATAAGTAAAAAAAAAATAAAAGTGAAGTTGATGCTAAAATTTGGCACTAGATATCTATCTACCTAAAATTTCCCAGCTTCCAGCTGCAGGTGCTATCCCTAGTTTTCCTTCTGTGCTGTCAGGTTATGAGTGCTGGTAAGCAGCTGCTCCGATTCAAGCTGGGGCTGTGGCTATTTCAGTGGTGGTTCAGTGCTCTAACAAGCACTGCTGTTTGTCAGAGGAGCCCCCACTCTGAAACACTTATCTAAACTCAGAGAACTAATAATGTAAATCTTGGCCACTTAAATAGGGTCAGACTGTTCTCCCTCTTAACCAAGAAAAGAGAAAGAAAACCAGGTGCGGTGAAGGAGTCCAACAGGAGAGCTCCTGTTCACAGACCCAGTTTGTTCTTTTCTGCAAGTCATTATTTGTACTGGCCTCCAGCATGTCCCTGAGCAGAACCAACTGGAAATGGCTTCTATTTCTTATTTGTGTTGAACTGCAGCTGTACTTAGACAGCTTTTTAAGTTTTGATGAACTCCTTCAGGAGTTAAACTGAACCCAAAATAAATACTGCTGCAGCTCCCTGCTCCTGAATATAAGTAATTTCAAAGCCTGAATAAGGAAGCATCATTAACAAAGCATGACTCCAACCCATTAAAAAATGTTTTTCTTTGGATCCCAGCTGAGACATGATCCAATGTGCAAGAAAACCTTCAGTGGAAAGTGCAAGCCCTTCAGCATTTTGAAACAGAGACTGCAGGGAACAGAAATCATCACTGTGAAGAAGCAGGCCCCACAAAAGCTATAGTTAAAATTGAAGTGTGTGTGTTATCTCCATATGAAGTCTTTCATTCAGTAACACTATTGTTTCCTCCAAGGACAAAGCCTGGATGTTACGGATGAGTATCACATATGTGCTTGACCGGGTACCAAATTCTTTCCTCCCCCTCCCTGTGCTGCTAGTGTTTGGGAATATTTCTCTGTTGAGAAGCCAAATCAGTAGGTGTCATGACTACCCTGGCTATGTAAGTGTCTCTGCTCTTCTAAAAAACGTTAAAATATGCCTTTTAAAGACAATGTGAGAGTCTAACAGCTTCATTTTCACCTAAATCTGAGAGCATGATCCAAGATGGTTGATGCATGAATACCCCATGTTGAACCTGAGAGCTGTCAGTAGCCCCTTAAGTTACAGAGATTCACTGCTATTGAACTGAAGGGTTTAAAAATGTATTTAAATTGAACTTATTTACAGAGATGGAGGAAAAGATGCTTTAGCTTTTACTGGAAAAAGTATATTTGTTGGGGAGGAGAGGAATACACATGGATATGCATATGTATTATTTTACCCAGATATGCCAAATCATTGCTGATTTGGTATCCGTGCAGACTGCTGTTGTAAAATGTCCTTTAAAATCAGTTGTGGAAAGAAACAGAAGTGTGCAAAGGTTTAAAGCAAGAAGAATGTGACAAGTGGAGAGGGGAAGGTGTTGATCATAATGTCTTTTCTATTCCCTCTTAAGTGCTCTTTGGTCTGCCATGACCAGGGTGTTCTGTTGAAGTGCACTGTTCTTTTATCCATCTTCTGGTGCTGTCAATAGACAGTGAAGGTCTAAATCAGCTTTCCTATGCCTTCCAAAAAAAGCAAATTTCTTTTTTTTTTAATGCTTTTTCTTTCCCTCAGAAAGGAAGAACCCTTGCTCAAGAGAAGTATGGTTTGTGTCTTCTCTTATTTCCATTACAGAAACAGCTAGGGAAGAAATCTAACTGGAAGCAGAGGATTTTGTTAATACTTTTCAATCAGCCAAGCAGGTCACAAAACTCTGAAGGAGGGCCACCCTCTTCCACCTCCTCCCCCACCAAGAATGAATCCAGGTTTGTGGTCTACTTTATAATGTTGCTGTTCTTGGACTGATCTTTGGTAAAGCAGTTACCTCTTATTAACTGCAGATGGGCTTCAGTTTTGCACCCCTGGCACAACACAGTGTGAACATTAATTCCCTCCATAATTGTGTAGGAGTGCAAAGCAGAGGCAGTGAGGAGGAAGAGAAAACTAACTGTACCTCTTAAGTTTAAAGGCAGCAAGCTTGGGATTTGATATTAACACTTTGTGAGGAGAGTCCGGATAGCTGTACTACAATATAACAGAGGGTGAAATACATCCTCTCGCCATTCAAAACAACTGTACTGCACACTTGCTTCCCCACTCCCACGTGGTGGCTTTTCCACTGTCTCCTTCCCCACCCAGCTGTGCAGTCAGGGGAAGTCATTTAGCAAAAGACAGGTCTGGTTTACTACAAATACCAGGTTTGGTCTCTGCACAGAGCTCACTGTATTACAAGTTACAGATCCAAAATGATGTACATACAGCCAATATATCATGATAATGTGATTTATAAAATGTAGGAGCAATCTTGGAAAGGGTCTCAGTGGAGTCCTGCCTGCGTTAGGAAGGCGGAGAGCAGGAGGGGGACGGGGGGCTCTCTGGGCTCACTTCCAGAGTAGGAATTCATTACTGATAGCAAAAGCATCTGCCATGATTCCAGCCTCTCTCCTCTCCTAGATGATGGTGATGCAGTATAAGCAGCAGGACTCCTCTTCCTTCCTTGATTGGGGTCAAACTTCTCTCTGAATTTCCACTGCTGAATTCTTTAATGACTCTGTTATTTCTTGTCTAACTTTACCAACTCTAAGAGCAGACCCTCCCTTTCCTTCTCCTTATTGGAGGAATCCAAGTTCTGCAAGAGCAGCAGTAGTTGTGGAGAAAGGAAGTAAGTAACTGCTTTTTAGGGAGGACAAGTTGCTGAGTGGCCTAGTGAGGGTGTATATCCTATAGTACAGGACTATATATTCCCATGTTACAGGACTGGAGAGAAAGTACATGGATTTTGGAAAGGAGAGAGATATTCCCTTTTCCTCTCATCCTTCTCCAAACAGAGTCCAAAACCTCCCCATTTTCCCCTGAAGTTCCAGGTGCCCCTACCAGCCCCCTGAAGCCAGGCATCTGTGTTCACAACGATTATGCCCATGATGCTGATCTGGAGCTGGCTTTTGATGGCTGCTTGCACCATTTTTTCTGTGTTATTACAGAGAGAAAGGGTTTCTAAAGCTGCTATATCCTTAGTATTAGGATAAGGACACTTGGACTTCTTTTGTAAAAGGCACAGGACAGGGAGAAAGGGTCTGGGAATGGCAAGGGCAATGTGATGGCTGAATTGTGACTGTGCTGACCCTGAACACTGTTCATTGAAATGAGTCGTACTGCACCAGCCATGTGTCCCTGAATAGCTTTTAGTAGAATCAGGACTGTAAAACTGTCAGAAAAGGCTTAGAAAGCACGACTGTGTGTTCTTCACAATGCTGCTTCACACTCAGAAACCTGGCTCTTAGATGTGCCTTGGCTGGTGGGGCACAACTTCTTCAGCAGTGGTTTGCTAAATCACAGAATCACAGAATGAATTGGGTTTTAAAAGACCTCTGAGATCATAGAGTCCAACCTATGACCCAACACCACCATGTCAATTAGACCATGGCATTAAGTGCCACATCCAGTTAAATGCCTCCAGGTGACCCACCACCTCTCTGGGCAGTCCATTCCAGCATCTAATCACCCTTCCTGTGAAGAAATTCTTCCTAATGTCCAACCTAAACCTCCCCTGGTGCAGCTTAAATAATATCCTTTTGTCCTGTCCCTCGCTGCCTGGGAGAAGAGGCTGACCCCCACCTGGCTACAATCTCCTTTCATGTAGCTGTAGAGAGCAATAAGGTCTTCCCTGAGCCCCTTTTCTTCAGGCTAAACAACCCCCTCACCCTCAGCTGCTCCTCACAGGGCTTGTGCTCCATTCTGTTCACCAGCTCTGTTGCCCTTCTCTGGACACACTCCAACACCTCAATGTCCTTCCTGAAGTGAGGGGCCCAAAACTGAACACAGGATTTGAGGTGTGGCATCACCAGTGTTGAGTACAAGGGAAGAATCACTTCCCCGGTCCTGCTGGCCACATTGCTGATACAGGCCAGGATGTCATTGACCCTCTTGGCTGGCTGTTGACCAGCACCCCCAGGTCCTTTTCCACGTGGCCACTTTCCAACCACACTTCCTCCAGCCTGTAGCGCTGCATGGGGTTGTTGCGGCCAAAGTGCAGGACCCGGCACTTGGCCTTGTTGAAACTCATACCATTGGTCTCATCCCATTGATCCAGCCTATCCAGATCCCTGTGTAGAGCCTTCCTACCCTCCAGCAGATCAACATTCCGACCCAGCTTGGTGCCATCCACAAATTTACTATGGGTAAATTCTATCCCCTCATACAGATCATCAGTAAAGATATTATACAGGACTGAGCCCAACACTGATCCCTTGGGGACACCACTTGTGACTGAATGCCAGTGGGTCATTCACACGTGGCACCATTCCCCAGCACTCTCTGGGCCCAGCCATGCAGCCAGTTCTTAACCTGGCAGAGAGTGCTCCTGTCCAAGCTGTGGCCTGTCAGCTTTTCCAGGAGTATGCTGTGGGAAATGGTGTCAAAGGCTTTGCTGAAGTGTAGGTAGACTACATCCTCAGCCATTCCCTCATCCACCAGGCGGGTCACCTGGCCATAAAAGTAGATCAGGTTGGTCAGGCAGGACCTGATTTTTCTACACCTGTGCGAGCTGGGTCTGATCCCTTGGTTGTCCTGTATGTGCTGTGTGATGGCACTGAAGATGATCTCCTCCATAACCTTCTCCAGCACCAAGGTCAGGCTGAAAGGTCTGTACTTCCCCACATCCTCCTTCCAGCCACTCTTGGGGATGGGCATCACATTAGCCAACCTCCAGTTTTCTGGGACCTCCCTGTTTAGCCAGGATTGATGGTAAATGATGGAGAGTGCTTCTTCCAGCTCCCTCGCCCTAGGATGAATCTCATCTGGTCCTACAGACTCATGAGCATCTAAGTGGCTCAGCAGGTCACAGACTACTTCCTCCTGGATTATGGGTATCCGTTCTGCTTCCCGTCCCTGCTTACCAGCAGGGGGCCAGGGGATAACCGGTCTTACTGCTGAAGACTGAGGCAAAGAAGGTCTTAAGTACCTCCACCTGTTCCTCATCTTTGATGGCTATATTCCACCCGGCTCCAATAAAGAATGAAAGTTTTCCTTGGCCCTCCCTTTGTTATTAATGTATTTATAAAAACACAAGTGGCCAGGTTAAGTTCTAACTGAGCTTTCGCCTTTCTAATCTTCTCTCTATATGACCTAACAACATCCTTTCTGAGTTGCCTGCCCCTTTTTCCAAAGGTAATACACCCTCTTTTTTTCCCTGTGTTCCTGCAAAAACTCTGTGCTCAGCCAGGCTGATCTTCTCTGCCAACTTGTCTTTTGGCACATAGGGACAGCCTGCTCCTGTGCCTTCAAGATTTCTTTCTTAAAGCATGTCCAGCCTTCCTGGACCCCTTTGTTTTTAATGGTTGCTTCTCCAGAGACTCTCTAAACTGGTGTCCTGAATAGGCTAATGTCTGCCCTCCAGAAATCCTGGACAGAGGTTTTGTTGACGCCCCTCCTTACTTCACCAGTTATTGAAAATTATGATATCGTAGTTGCTGTGCCCAAGATCGCCTCTGACCACCACATGTCACACCAGCCCTTCGCTGTTTGTAAACATCAGGTCTAGCAGGGCCTCACCCCCAGTAGGCTCACCCCCAGCTGCGACTGGAAGTTGTCTTCCACATACTCCAGGAACCTCCCAGACTGCCTCCTCTCTGCAGTGCTGAGTTTCCAGCAGGTTAAAGTCTCCCACAAGCTGGCAAGTGTGAAATATCAGCCAGCTGCTTATAGAACAGTTCATCCACCTCTTCATACTGGTTGGGTGGTTTATAAGAGACTTCCACCAGGATACGTGCCTTGCTAGCCTTCCCCCTGATTCTCACCCATAGGAACTCAACCTCATTGTCCTTTCCTCAAGCTCTATGCAGTCAAAACACTTCCTAATGTACAGAGCCACCCCACAGTCTCTCCTTCTTCTCCTGTCCCATGTGAAGATCTTATAACCATCCATTGCAGCACTCCAGTCATGCGAGTCATTCCACCACACTTCTGTGATGACAACTATGTCGTATCTTTCCTGCTGCACAATGGCTACCAGTTTCTCCTGTTTGTTACCCATACTGCGTTGATTCCTTTTTTCCCTTTTAGACAGGTGAAACCCCTCTGTCTCCAGCAGGCCTGGTGCCGTACAAATAGCCCCATGATAAGAAAAAACAAAGTTCCACTGATGGCACCAGTCTTTAAGCTACTTGTTGATTGTGTGGGTTTTCCTGTTCCTTTCAGCATTCATCCCTGCTACCTAAGAAACTGAGGAGAATGCCACATGTGTTCCTGTCCCTTCAACCAGGCAGCCCAGTGGCTTGAAGTCCTTTTTGATTACCCTAGTACCTTTCTTATCAACCTTATTGCTGCCAGCCTGGACAACCAGCAGTGGGTAATAATCAGAGGGACAAATTATTCCAGGGAGTCTCCTTGTAATATCCCTTACCTGGACCCCAGGGAAGCAGCAGACTTCTCTGTGGGATGGGTCTGATCAGCATACAGGACCAACAGTTCTCCTCAAAAGTGAGTCACTGCCTACAACTACCCTTCTTTTTTTCTTAATACCTGTAGCTGTAGTCTGTCTGGTTGACTGCACTGATCTAGGAGATCCCCCCAGAAAGACGTTCTTCTTCCCTGTCATCTGCCTGACCCTCAAATTCCAGGGCCTCATACCTATTCTGTAAGGGCTCCTGGAAAGATGAGGGAGGCCGGGAAAGGATTTTTCTACCTCCCCAGGCAGGGACTTGTTTCCACTCCCCCCTTTTATGTCTTCTGCCTGATGGCAAGAGGGCAGGGCTCCTCTGACTTGCTGAGCTTCCGTTCGCTGCATTTCTCTCAGGGATGGAAGGATGCAACTCCACTAGTTTATTTTTCTTTCACACTCTCTGATACTCCTCAGTGTCTCCACCTCCTCTTTAAGCTCTGCCACCAGGCAGAACAGATCATCCATGAATTCAGACTGTATGCAGGTGTCTTTTCCGCTGTCCTCTGGCACTTAACACCAGGCTCAGACACTCCATGCCACCAGAGACCTGTAAAGCTGCGTGCTTCTTGTGGAGCTCTGTCTGGGTTGCTACGCTCCTACTAGCAATGGTTTTTGACCGTATGTACACCATTTCTGGGTCTATTCTAGTTGGGCAGTTGAAGAACCACCGGGTGAGGTGGGTTTACCTCAGGAGCTGGGAGGGTGGCTGTGCCCTCCTACAAGCTCTGCCTGTACCAACTGCTGCACCGCACTCCCTGGAGCCATTTAAACCTCCTGGCAATGCCCTCTCCTTGCCTGATGAGTTTCTGAGAGCTTCCATGTCCTGCAGGACAGGGCTCTGGCCTGCTGCTCAGGAGTCCCTGGGCTCAGGAACTCTCTGTACAGGTCTATCTAACCCTCAACCACAAACTTACCTCAGTCGATGTTGCTGCCACCTCAACAAAATAGCAACCTTAATGACCAGTCTTCAAAAGTAGTCTTAAAATCTTTGGGTTTGTCTATGCTAGGAATTTTTGAATAATGCTGTTCCTGCAGACTTGTTAATTACGAGGTTGGGGGTGGCCAGGAATAGGACGAAGATAATAAAATCTGCTTCTATTAATCTCCAGGGATTTATTTTTGAAAGCAATTACTGTTTGCTGGGTTAATACCATAAGCACATATTTTAGGATCCCAAGTGTTTTTCTAGAGAAAGTTTTTGTAGTTCTCCAAGGTATGTACTTTGGGAGCTGATGGGAACTCATCGTGGTTACCTGCTGGTGGAGCCAGGTTTTGAACTGCATCTTGAGTGCTCCAGGAAAACAGGGCAATTTTTCTCCTGTACTGTATAAACTGTGAGACAAGCTGTTTCTTTCTTATGGTCAGACTATATTCAGTGTCCACACTGCTCACAGAGGTTTCGTGAGGCTGCAGCACAGAGGCACATGGAGTTTTCTGAAGAACAAGCTGTCTACCATGCTGCAAAGACCACTGGACAGGCTTCGGTAAGTAGACAGTCACATTTGCGTGGTCCTGGAGGCAGATTTGCCAAACTTTAGTTCATGGTGAGTAAAGACCTATATTAATATAAAACTCTTTAAACAAGGTACATGCTGAATATCAACTGGGAGTTGCCCATAACTGGAGCCCTTCGTCTGATGAAAAAATGACAGAGTATGACAGTATGAAAAAGTTGGGACAGTAATTTCTTCAGGCTCTTCTGCAATTGGATTCCAGGGTAATTCCAGGTAGTTCTGCTGTAGGGAAGCAGAAAACTGGCAACTTTTGCAATACACGGAGAAAGCTCTTCCTGTCCATTAGGGCTCCCTGCTGTTGGAAGGTCTGCTGTTCCCTTGTCTTTAGACACAAGGCCAAAGGGCTGAGCCCCTTTGAGGGATCAGAAAAGTGAAGGTAATCATCAGTCTCTTGAAGTGAGATTTCGTTTTGTTATAGAAAAAAGAATAATGTAAACTGTTCCTTTAGGAGAGTACTGGGGTTTTGTTTGTTTGTTTGTTTTGTTAAAGATATTTGAAAATATTATTACTCTTTCACCTATTTTGGACACGGAAAATGACTTCCAAGTGAGAGAGGGTGGACCTTTTTCCTGTTCCTTCTAGCATTGCTTCAACAGCGATTTGGAGAGTTTTCACTGGGCTCTGTAAGTTCCTTGCTAGAGTTGAGTGGTGATTGTGCATCTTCTTTTACTAGGACAAGCAGCCATTGACTCAGAGAAAAACTCCAACATTAACACCTGCTGTGTTATCGCTTCTGGAGAGAGTACAAAAAGGTGCCAACACAGACAAACCTAGCCTAGGTAGAGTTCATTTAGTCATATTTATGTCTTTCTTGTAATAAACTCTGATGTATTTGAGGTGAGCGAGGCATTTTAAAGCAGATCATAGGCTTTGGAATCCAGTTTTCTGATAGAATAATGTTGAATTATAAATTTTGACTTTTTGTGGTTTTTTTTTAAAGTCTTGACATGAAAACCTAAACTCATTTCCATACAGGGTCAAAAATTTCCAAGTGGATGTTGTTGATATTGAATGGCTTTCCTGGTCATTATCCTGCTCCATTGTGTGGAGTGTATGCCCAGAGGTTTTCATTTGGGTGCTCAGGAGGGCCTTATTGTTTTCATTTAGAGGTCCTCAAACAGAAGTATTTCTATAGACCTAAAATATACAGTCTGTGTTTGAGGTTTATTCTGTCCCATAAAGGACTCCATAACCTTTAATCTTCAATTTTAAGATTTATTCCATCATTTTTACCTTTTCTTAGGTCCATTTAGCTGAAGTATGAAGTATGTTGTTTGTTCCATATGACTTTGCCCTTGTTGATTTAGCCTTAAAAGTAACACCACCACTTCCCTAAAACAGTTCCCTCTATATAATGTGTTTTCTAGACCCCATTGCTACTGGTTAATCATGACTCATACTCAGTCTATGTTTAGAAGATGTTTTATAAAGTATTTTAAAGGTTATTTGTAGTATAACATGTGACTGATAATACAAACTGCTCTTTGTATCAGTATCTTTGATCCCTACATTTCTGGAGTTTGTGTTGAATTTATGTAGTTTATCATGTTTTATGGCCAATAATTTTTTTAAATAATGATCTGCAGAGACCTCTTTAGAAATACTGAAGAAAACTGCAAAATCTTGGGGTGTATCTACTGGGAAAAATTCTTCAGGAAAGTTTGGGTAAGAATTTTTTTTTGTATTTCAACATTATCACATAAAAGGACCCTGATTGCTTTTGCGATACACCATATCACAGAAGCACAGAATATGCTGAGATGGACGAGACCCACAAGAATCATCAAAGTCCAACTCCTGGCCTTGCACAGGACCATCCCCAACAGTCACACCACGTGCCTAAGAGCATTGTCCAAACACTTCCTGAATGCTGTCAGGCTTGGTGCTGTGACCACTTCCCTGGGGAGCCTGTTCCAGCACCCAACCACCCTCTGGGTGAAGAACATTTTTCTAATATCCAACCTAAACCTCCCCTGACACAACTTCAGGCCATTCCCTTGGGTCCTGTCACTGGTCCCCACAGAGAAGAGATCACTGCCTGCCCCTCCTCTTCCCCTCACAAGGAAGTTGTAACTGCAACGAGGTCTCCCCTCAGTCTCCCCTTCTCCAGGCTGAACAGACCAAGTGACCTCAGCTGCTCCTCATACAGCTTCCCCTCGAGGCCCTTCACCATCTTTGTTGCCCTCCTTTGGATGCTCTCTAACAGCTTAATATCTTTCTTGTATTGTGGTGCCCAAAACTGCAGACAATGTTCCAGATGAGGCCACACCAGTGCAGGGCAGAGTGGGACAATCCCCTCCCTCACCCGGCTGGTGATGCTTTGCCTGATGCCCCCCCAGGACATGTTTGGTCCTCCTGGCTGCCAGGGCACTGCTGACTCATATTCAACTTGTCATCAACCAGGACCCCCATGTCCCTTTCCATGGCACTGCTTTCCAGCATCTCATTCTCCAGTCTGTACGTACATCCAGGGTTGCCCTGTCCCAGGTGCAGAATCCAGCACTTTCCCCTGTTAAACTTCATATGGTTGGTGATTGCCCAGTCCTCTGATTTGTCAAGGTCTCTCTGCAGGGCCTCCCTGCCTTTGACGGAGTCAACAGCTCCTCCCAGTTTTGTGTCATCTGCAAACTTGCTCAGTATCCCTTCCAGTCCTGCATCCAAATCATTTATGGAGATGTTGAAGAGCACAGGGCCCAAGACGGAGTCCTGTGGAACCCCACTAGTGACAGGTCACCAGTCTGGTGTCACCCCATTCATATTACCCTCTGTGCTCAACCCGTGAGCCAATTGCTCACCCACCACATGATCTGTTTATCCCGCTGTGTGCTGAACATTTAGACCAGAAGGATCCTGTGAGAGACAGTATTGAAAGCTTTACTGAAATCCAAAAAGACGACATCAACAGGCTTCCCTTGATCAAGTAGGTGCATTACCTTGTCATAAAAGGAAATTCAGGTTTGATAAGCAGGACTTTCCTCTCATGAAGCCATGCTGGCTGTGATCAATGACAGCATTGTCTTTCAGGTGTTTTTCAATATATCCTGTTGCAGTGTTGGCAGTATGAGCTTCTTTGTATTATTTGAAGCAATTAGTTGCACTGAAACTTTTGTGGAGCTCCTCAGGCCCCCAGTGTAGGCTGCTGAGAAATTAATTTTGGAATTAAATGTTCTTCCTTTTGGAACAGCCCTATCTCAGGCAGGCAGTGGCTGTGCTCTGCTGTAACAGGCATCTTGAGAGGATTTGCTGCTCGATAATGCAAACCTCTCTGACAGATCTTGTGCTCTTACAATTTCCCAGAACATGATGTTTGGGCTTCTGCTCCTCAGACCATGCAGTCAGTGGGGTTCCTGTTTTGGGCCATGCAAAGCCATGTCAGAGCAGCAAGAAGGCCTCCAGCTCCTGTTTGAGGTGGTTGTGGTGCTATTGCTCCAGGGGATGGCTCAGGTGATCAGCATCTTGCACCCCTGTGACATGTATACAACTGCAGAATATGAGATCCCAGCAGGAAATGTAGTCAAGAATTATTCCTTATAGTTGGCAAGGTATTTTGAGCCTGGGAGATGAGCTTGTGAGAGTGCTTGGAGCATGGGATGAAGAGAAATGTGCACAAAACAGAGTCTCACATTCCAAGTCATTGCAGGGGTCTTCTACGTGCAGTTTTGCTGTCCTTGATTGCTGCTGGTCAGTGCCTGGTACCTTCAGTTGTGGGGAAGAGCGCAATGGGCATGGTGCTATTATGAGCTCCACCTACCTCCATGACTTTACCAGCTGCAGGAAAAACTGCTGTCAGTACCCAGTAGTCTCATCTGGTGTTCTCCACTCCCCAGATTACCTGTGACTATGTACCTGTGACTATGTTAACAGTATAATAACTCTTAAGGTTACCATGCAGGGTCTGGCAGACCAGCAACAGGGACTTATTGATGCCATCACCGTTCTTAAAAGTTTAGCCACTGAACTCTGAAACCTGGGGCTTAGCAGGCTTGGGGAGGAGACACCTCTTTTCCCTAGGGATACTGGCGAGTCCAGGTATCACTGGGGTTGTAGTTGCAGCCAGTTTACAGAGGCTTGGGACAGCCGTTGCCTCCAGCAGTCCCCAGGACAGGCATCCACACTGGCATCCAAAATAGAGCACAGCGGAACTGTGGAAATGCCTGGCTTGGGTGAGCTTGCAGGTGCTGGACTGTTGGCAGCTGTTGCATTTTCTATAGAATTTGAGCTTTGCCAGGTGCTTTACAGAGCACTTTGTGCAGGCAAAGGATCAGTTTCAGCGCTACTCAAGAGCACTTTTTAGCTGAGAAAGCAGATGTGAGAAACTGGCTTTGAATGGTGTAAATAAATCCTTAATCTGCCTGGAAATGGTTTTCAGGATGAGCTGCTCCATCACCTTCCCAGGGATAGAGGTTTAATTTTCTTAGATAAAATGGAGTAAAATATAAAAACTGTTTCTATAATAGGAAATAGCAAGTATATGGCTTGTTGCTGCTTTTAGACCGCAAATGGACAACAGAAGATAGAGTGGCTCGTTGGCGAGGATGTGTTAAGGCTTTCTTCTAACACATTATGGAAGATCTCAAGCAACACAACTTTCCAGTACCACTTCTGCCTGAAGTTCTACAGCTACCACGTTCAATAAAATAAGTAAACTGAAATTCATTGATTGTGAGAGTATTTGTATTAGTTGCCAAGATTTAATTAAATGATTGCCTGCAGGGGATTGCTATTACCATGGGTTCATTAAATGGTTTAACAAAATGTAGAAAGATCCAGTACCATGTTATTTTTCCTTTCCCCTAATGCTTTGATATATTGAACAAGACAAGTGAACATTCTGGAATTTCATGTAAATATTTAATAGAATCTTTCAGTAAACAATAAAATGATTAATGATAGTGATTGATATGTGATAAATGGTGGTGTATACTGTGCATCTTTTTCAAAGCACTTCAAGTTCAGACTAAACCCAAACCTCATTCTTGCATTAAACACTTAAATTGCTTCTAGAAATTGATTAATAAGACAGAAATATTGTGGAGGCATACCCTTATTTTTTTGGCCACTTGATCCACTGTCAGCCTTGGATCACCTTGCACAAATTTTCAATGATGCAATATGTAGGGTTTTTTTAGCTTAATAATTTTTATTAAGGCTTTCCATTAAAATCCATAAGGAATTTTCTTACCTATTAAATACTTAAAAAGTAAACAAAGATTAAAAGTGGTTGGACACAACAATAGGAAATATCAGACTTTACAGAGTTTAATTAAACTCTACTTAGGCTTTAGCCAATAATGATTAGATAAATACAGAAAGGATGATACTGAAGCAAACATAAGTCCTATGCTAGACTCTTAGAAACAGCAGGCATGACATTATCCACAATATACTAAAGCAGTGCTGCTTAGCCTTTCTTAAAATCCAGAAAGAAGAGGGAAAAAAAAAACCAAACACATTCCCCACTATCCTGTGCAATGTTACCACAGTTGCTTTCTTTAACAAAAAAATAAATGAATCCTCAAAAGTTAGAGCAAGTTTTACTGTATTTTTTGTTGTGTGTGTCCCCCAATTATTTTCTGTCTGAGTACAAAAGTGTTTGATTTCACAGCTTAGTTTCTAGTATCTTACAAAAAATATAAGGGCAGGAACGGTGTACTGAAGAACAGAATTTTAAAAATTCCATTAGCAAGAAATGAACCAATCATTAATTTATGGAATGTAACATCATAGTTCAGACTGGCAGTGCAAAATTCTCTGGAGTTAACAGCAGCTCATTGATTAAGAAAATGGAAAGTCCCAAGAGAAAAAGCTGGTAAATAAAATAGAAGGAAAAAGAAATTAACATCATTTCTGATAGAGGATGGAACTTAGCAATAAAACTACTTGTGTTTACATAAAGGGTGCAGTCTTTTGTTCAATGTAGTATAATTTTAGCTTCTTGACATTATTTCAGCAGGTTTACATGCCTTTTTTTCTTTCATAAAATGAGTACACGTTTTCGTATGACACCAAATGTTTACTAAATTTTGTTATTTGTTAGTATCATTTGATTATAGTAATTCTGTTTTATCACCACATACTGCTCTGCTTCTACAGATTTTCAAGCAGAGTTTAGATAAAAAAGTATTTTTATCTCTATTAGGATGGGAGGTAAAATGTCCTAAGATCTCCCAGATCTTTCTGTTTCATCTCTTAGCTGGTATTCCATGGTCTACCTTACCTTCTCCATGCCAGCTCTCTGCTCTTGGATTCTCCTCTCACATTTAGAGGAGAAATTGGCTGTGCCAGAGAGGGAGGACTGGACACTGCTTGGGCTGCTGTTTTCCTCCACTGTACCCCTAGTGTACGTGAGGTTGCCTCTCCTCACACTGCCACTGTCACAGCCCTGCATGAGCCAAAGGCAGTGCCACCAGAGAGATGCCCTGTAGCTCTTGCTGCCTTCTCCCCTGTCACTGCCTGAAGTCAGACCTGCCTGCCCGCCTGCTGCAGCCCCATCCCCTCAGACACCGCAGGTAAGCCCAGGTGAGCTTGCTGCTGTCTCCACACCCCTTTCTCTTGGCACTGCCCCCTGCCAAAATGAAACTACTGCTCTTTAAGCAATGTGATATTCAAGCCCACACCAGGCTGGTCTACTGAGCCCAAAATATTTGTTTGCCTAGAAACAAAGTATTCTTCAGCTTCAACTACTGGAGGCCTCTCAAAAATGGTCACAGAGGTCCCCCTAGCAAAAGTGGTGAGAAAGTCCAGCCCTACTTACAGTATTAGATGATTTGGGGGTATCTCTTCAGCTGTGAGAATTTTAAAACAATTTTATTTAAAATATAACTTTATGAAATAGCCTGCCTTCCTTTGTGATGGGACATGCTCAGCTTTCACTACATTTATGATGTCAAGAATCTGGAAAAAGAAACTTGAATGGGCTGACAGGTTAAAGCTGCAGTACTACACATTTAAGGTTTGTTTCTCTGTTTTACTTGCCAACACCATCATTGTATGTTTTGTTAAGCATTTTAAAATGCATCAAAAGTGGTAATTTTCATTTTATTTGAATGAGACTTGGTCTTTAACCCATAGCTAGATATGCATTGGTGACAGCTGCTTATCATTCTGTATTTCAGAAGAGGCTGAGTTCAGGCAGCAGCACCTCTTGTGACAGCTCAGAGCTCAGGCACTCTGCTAACAGAGTGCTGAAAGACAGCAGAAAGAACGCGGGTGCCACTTTAGCTCAGTGTTTGCATAATGATTCCTTCTTAACATCACATTTTAATTCAAGGACAAGGACTTCAGTAAATATTTACACCTCTTACAAAAGCATAAATCAAAATGACAAAATGTGTATATGATCAGGTAACGCTACAAAATTGAGTAGTTTTTTTTGTTGTGGTTTAGTTGTTGTTTTTTTTTTTTTTTACAGGTACATACAGAAGTTTGGATGAAGACAAGTGAATACAGTTTACACAAACAAGGAAAACAATGCAGTAAGTGAATATAAACACACCTTTCCAAGTTAAGAGGAAAATAAGAGCCTAGCCGTAGAATATGCATGTAACATTGATTACAACTTTTTCTCTGTTCAGGAACTCATAATTTAAATAACTCTTAGCTGGGTGTGACTATGCAGCGCCTGCTCTTCCTCTTACTGTTGTCATTACAAGAATGATCTTAAGATTCCTTTTGGTTTGCCTTATGCCAAAAATTTTCGTAACAAAAAACACCCCTCAGCATTGTATCTGCAGAACATATTCTTGCATGAACTGTAATAATACAACCTTTCCTTAATCCAAATACCAACAAACTTCTAAGAATATTAGATCACTGAAGTTGTACAATGTCATTGTAGCTCAGTAACACCAAACCAGAAATAACTTAAAAACTACTTTTTATTTGAACCTGTCTGAAAATATTCCTGTGATTAATGAGGGAGAAGAGAACATGCATGTTTCATGCTACATTTGTAATGATCATTAGGTACTATGAACTCTTTTTGGATTTAATGAGAGAGTAGCTCTTGGGGTTTGAGAATTTACCCAGATTCAGAAATTTTGTGTCTGTTTTAGCAGCAACAGAATCCATTACTCACTGCATCATCCACTAATGCCAGGATTATTTTTTTAACTATGGTTTAGGTAAGAAACCGAATTGTGAAGAGTCTGATTGTTGGTTTTGGTTTGTTTTTTTTTTTAATAATGTCATCTATCAGGAAATGTGGTTTTTGCAATTTCTGCTCGTTCATGCATCAGGTGCTAGGACTGTCACACCAACAAACTGTCAACTGGAAATATTCATGGACAATTTACCCCAGGAAACAAAACGGAAGTCCCCATGGTTCTGGTTTGGAAGAAACAAAGGCTGGAAGTCCAACTGTAGCTGTCCCAGTGCTACTGAGGGAAAATCCCATGATTAAAATGGCCTGAACTGTTATCACACCCGCTAATTTCAGGTGACACTTGTGAGGCAGGTTCTGACCCTGTTTTTGACCCTGGCCCAGTGTCAGCTCACCACCACAGCCCTTATGTGCGTGGACATGCCCCTGGCCCCAGAGAGGTCCTGCTTGGGCGCAGGCACCCCTGGGCCAGGGTTTGCTTTCTGAAAGCCCACATTTCAGATGGTTACAATTAATAATCATTTTCCAGACTAAAGAAAGGCCATTTTTATCAACAAAAGGTGAATAAAGGCTTCTTAGGTAGGAAGCATTATATTTTATTAAATGTTAAATTAATCAAGCTGTTGACCCTGTGGGAGAAAACGCTTAAGTTTAAGCAAATGTTTAAGGGCTTTACTAGAGAGAGAGAGAAAGCAGTGCCTGATACCTTGGCAGATCCGGCTCTAAATGAAAAGTAAAGTTTTGTTATAACCTTTGAGACAATTCACTTTCCATTCTGAAAACTGCACATATACAAGACAGCAGTTCTTACATAGTCGTTTAGAAGTGATAGTTACCTCCAGCCCAAGGGAAAAGGCATGAGATGCACACAGCTGAACTGCATGTCAGAAAACAAAATCTAGTTAAACGTAATCATAATAGTGATGATCTTCATTTGAAAAAAGTGAAACAAGGAGGTAAGATTTACTCTTGGAATGATTCTGATTTAAATTAAAGATTAATAAACTTCATTAATTAAGTGCTTAACAGAAATCTATGTGATGTTGATAATCTGTTTGTTACATTTGCCATGTGTACAAATTTGCTGTGATTTATGGCTCATTAAAATGATTTTTCTGTGATTTCCCCCTTCTTCCCATTCACCCTAACCTTATTTCTGCTACTGCAGCAGCCACAGTTTTATTGTGCCTGTTGTGACACTTTTCTATTGTTGAAGATATTTATTCAGTTGTTCGCATGAAAGGTAACAACAAAAATATAGAGGGAGCTGAGGGAAATATGTTAGTTCTACTGTTGTCATATGCTAAAAAAACTAATAGTAGTATGAAAAATAGAGCTTCTTATTTATTAACATCCTGAATTTAACTACCATGTTCATAATGTGCTTTGAAAACATTTGGAGCAGTTTTTCTTAAAAACAAAACAAAACCAAAACCACCCCATCCTAACAGATTTAAGTAAGAAGCACAGTCTTAAAAAAAAAAAAAAAAAGGGAAAAAAACCCACACAGGGTGATAGTTACTTGAAGGCATGGTGAAAATGAGGCAAGGTTACAGAATTTGTAGTGGATGGAAAGGAGCGAGGAAAATGATGCAGCTGGTTTAGGGCCATCCCACCAGTTGCTAGCTGAAGACCTTGCTGTTGGCCAAGGCCATTCAGCCTGTGTGATGGTTCCTCTGGGCCAAATGCCATTGTGAAGTCCCCAATAGTGTTCTGGTTGTCCCCTGGTGGGAGCTGCCAGAAACTCATCACATGAGTGAGATCCATGAAAGGCAGACTTGTAGTTTCAGTTGCTGCCTCTGTCTCTTTGTGCACTGGGTACTTGTTAGTATCCCCTACAGGCCCTGAGGAAGCTTCTTCCATACTGATTTTGTGAAGAGACTGAGGTTCTGGTAATGGCAGGTCCTCGAGAAGATGTACATTGTAACCTTTAACATCCACTTTTATTGGTAGATTCTTGAGGGATCCTGCTGCAAGTGAGGTAGAACTAAGGTCATATTTATTAGGCTGATGAAGGTTCAGGTTGGTAGGGACGGCTGTTGAACATGGTGTGGGATGGACAGCTGGAAGGCTGTCTGCACAGCCCATCCTTTGCAAGTGAGGAGAAGGTTCAAGAGGAAGAGCAGTTTGTAGGCTTGGCTGGGAATGAAGATGTGAACAGTTGTATTCCTCTGATTCTGAACTATTCACAATACCATTCTGCACAGAGACCCTTTCAGGAAGAGGGGACAGCATGCTGGCGTCTTCCTTCAGTCTGTATGAAAAAAGCTGGTCAAGGAGACCCACTGAGTCACTGTTCTGCAACCTGCTCTTTAGCAGTTCCTGTGGATGAGTCTTCCTGGTATGGCGTGTCAAGTGGTCCTTCCGCCCAAACCTTTGGGCACAAAACTGACACAGAAAGTCTTTACAGCCTGTGTGAACCACCATGTGACGCCGCACATCTTTGCGGGTATAGAAGTGACGCTCACAGTGGTCACATTTATGTTTCTTTTCCTTCATATTGCCAGCTGGTTTCCCTGCATGACTTTTGAGATGTTCCAACAGAACCTCAGTACCGCCAAACTCTTGGGCACATACCCTACAGGTAAGGTCCCCACTGGTGGCAGCGTGAAGAGCCAAGTGTCTCTTATAGCCTAGCTTGGTGTTGTACTTCTTGCCACACTCTTCACACTTGAAGGCCATCTTGTTAGGGTCATGAGTCTGAAGGTGATTCTTTAGATGGTCTTTCCTGTGAAAGGTCTTTTCACAGTAGCCACATTGGTGAGATTTCTGTGGAGAATGAGTAGCAGAGTGCCTAGGACAAAAAAACAGAACACACACACAAAAAAGTTATTTGTGTTTACATTTATTCTAGTACATTTACTCTCGTAGATTCAAGACTTGAAAACACCGGCATCCTTGAAGGAAGGCCTTTTTTCAAGTTCCCAGGTTATTAGTAAAACCCTAAAATTTTTTTTGGGGGGAAAGGTTTTAATCATCAATCATAGAGTAGGTTAAAACTGCTCAACACAGTCTTTTTGAGCAGTCACCACAATTAAGGGAGACTAGTTTTCTCCAATTCTACCCAAACAAGAATAATAAAACCTGGAACTCAGGGATTAACTGTCACTAGAACACCCCTCACATCCAGCAGAAAAGGAATGCCTTCAGAGCTGTACCTGAGCAGTTTATATTTGGAAATGAAGGCTTTTGTGCATCCGTGCTGTGAACACTTGTAGGGGCGCTCCCCTTTGTGCGTGTAAGTGTGGACCGTGAGCTTGTCAAAGGAATCAAATATCTTCCCACAGAGTCGGCAAGGGTAACTGTCTGGCTGCTTCACTTCTTTGCCCTTCAACAGTGAAGACCGACCATTTCTCCATTTAGGTATAAACCTCACGAGAGCATCACAAGTGCTTCCTGAGCTGGCACAGCTAAACTTTGCAGCAGAGGAACAGGAAATGGTCCCAAAGCACTGAGTAATGCTTTTGCCTAATGACGCTCCTCTCAGTTTCCCTTTGAGTTTGCTTTTTGCTTTTACAGGTCCCAATTTATTTGGTGGTCTGAACCTCGTAGGAAGGACTCGGTCTTTATGGATGCACTGGTGAGATTCCAGCAGAGCAAAAGTTGCAAAAGTGCTTCCACAACTGGAGCATATCCAAGGGTCTACAGGCTCTTTCTGCAATGAGAATAGAAACAGTTCTTTCTTATTGGCCATTCTAAGGAAAGGTCATATTCTTCTCACCGATCTTCACCTGGGCTTTCCCATATCCATTACTGTCTTTGGCAATAGTTACTTCTATGTACTACCACACAGGTGTTCAACTGACAATAGATTCTCTCTAAGAATACAAACTCAAAGGAAAAAAAAGGTTGGCTAAATACTGATTTACATGGTTTTGTTTAGCATTTACTGTAACAGTCCTAAGTCCTTCATCTTTGTTTATCTGCACTTACTGAATTTCAAAGTCTCTACATTTGTTGCATTTATGAAATTACTTATAAAAGAAGCTGAAAATTGTACTTTAGACTGACATAATTTATCTGCTATTGCAACCTCACAAAAATGTCTGATTTTCTGCACACTAATGTAGTTTAGCCATACAGGATTTCCCTGTGTTTTGGATGGACTCCATGCTTTACCAGACAGCAATGGTCAATGTCTCCAGGAGAGGCTTCCTCACTTAGCTTGACATTTGGCATTAGATTTTCATTAACTGAATAAGAAACATTTTGGTTTTAGGGATCTCAAGCCTATCCTGAATTAGAGGTATTAAATTATTTCTGGGTTTTGGGTTTTTTTTATACAGTATATTATTTGGAAGTATTATTTCTGTGGAAATAAGAGCTCCATTGGATTCAGTTGAATTCACTTTAAATACTGACATTATAAAATTTCTAATGAAAAACAAATATAAAAAAACTCCAATTGCTGATGAAATGTACTTCCAATTAATACATGACAATGTACTTCCTCGGCTGTGTCTACCTTTTATGTAAGCTTCTCATAAACTGACTTTACTTTCCCTTGCTCCTGGGCTAGCTTGCTCTGGAGAGCATGGTAAGGCTGTGTCCATTCCATCTTTATTTCCAGACTGAGCCCTCCTCTCTGTTACTCGTGTCTGATGCTGTGGTTCTCTCACACCTTCCTTTGGGGCACACTCTGAAGGCCTCATATGCCTTCTTGAAGAATGAATTCCCAGTTCATTTGTATTCCCTGTTTCACATTTCCTTCTAGCTTGAGTATCAATTTTCACAGCCACATTTTCAACACTTAACAAGTTATTCCTATCAGTTTAAGGACTTCTGCTATCAGAGGGGAAGGTATTGGGATTAGAAGAGAAGGGTTGTTGCACAGGAAAGACTGAAATAATCAGTGGATAATCCGACCAATTGGTCACAGCATAACAAGGGGAAATGGTGAAAGAAGTCTGAGGCTGGACTGCTTGGTTATGAATGAATTAGTGCCAGTGTTTAGTCTTCCCAATACATCGAGCGGTGCCTCTTATTTCTGACTACATCTAATGGCTCCATTGGATTACAAACATAGGAGAGGAAGAGCAGCCTTTCTCTGAGTAGTTGTTTGGTTAAAACTGCTCTTGGCTTTGTGTTAGCCAACTACTCTATAGTCTAACCTTGCATGACCAGAGTTACATAAACAGAGAAAGCACGTAAATAAACTATAATTTACTATGTATAGTGATGGCCTGAATGCAGATTAGGGGTACTTACTGCTACTGGAGGTAAAGGACAGACATCTGATTCTTCTTTAATGAAGACTGCGGAAGCTTCCATAAACTTGGCATAATCGGCAGCATACCATACTTTCAGTTCTGTGTGGGGTTCAATTGGCTGTGAATGGAAAAAATATAGCACATATTTACTTGTGCCTATTTTCCTAAACCAAATAATATGGAAGATTGGAGGGGCTGGGGTGTGCCAGTTGTTGTCCTTACCCAAACTGCACTCTTTGACTCTGTCTAAATTATTGGTAACTTAGTTTCAAGATTCAAGCACTTTTTGAGCATTGTTACCCACTAGGGCTTAACACTTTCTGTTCCTAAAAGCAGAATTGTGCAGAGATTTGGGGGGTAGGGGCAATAGCAGGAGGGATGCCTCAATCCTCATGACCTTTGCTCAGTGAGATGTATTTGTCTGTGATGTTCAGATATCCAGCAGTCTTTCCAAGCAATATCCCATGCCCATTCCTTGATGTCTGGAAGCCCACTGGACACAACACTTAACTGCAGGGTACAGACAAAGGAAAAACCCATCATGAACACACAACAGCTTGGATGCCAAGCTGGATATGTCACACTGAGCATGGGTGCAGAGCCGATCAATTTGTGGACTGCCACTCAAATTGGCATGTTTCCATGTGCTGGCTCTGATGTGTCAGGCTCACTAAGCGTGTGCTTTATTGTAACTCTCCCCTCCTTCCACTGAAGCCTTCCCCCAACAGGATTAAGGGAGCCCATAATCTGCAGTCTCCCATCCAGTCATGCTTGCCCAAATCTTTCCTTGGACTGGACTATGACCTCTTCTGACAAATACTTTCAGTCAATAGAACAGCAAATAAAAGAGAGGAGTGATTACACTCATTGGCTAAAGATCTGTTAGTTCTTTAAAAGCAAAGGAGAAAACTAAACTTTGGGGTCATGATTTATATGACTCCCTGACCCTGTACACAATTTTCTTCATCTATAATAAAACCCAACACTGCTGCTACAGGGGTAGAGCCAAACTGCACTGTAGTTTGTAGTTTTATTTTAACTAAGCTAAACTTGTGTCACTGAAAAAAAAATTAGCCCAAGAGCAGAGCAGCTGAGTCTTATTCTACAAAATGTGACATCATAAAATGCACTTATTTTATAACATCAGTGTGGGATAAGCATGGTAAAGACAATTTAGATTGTGAATGCTGACAGGTGAGGGATAATTTTGTGTATAATGTTGAAAACTGAATTTTTGGACTCCCAAGCACAAGCCTGCTTGCTAACTACAGTCAGTATGGGTTGGTTGTGCGTTTTGATAACACCTGGCCTAAACAGAAATGGTACATGCTGAATTTTCCACTCAACTAAGGACATGAGGCAGAGCCATCAACTATGAGGCTGATAATGCACTGTGCTCCTCCACATAGTCTATTTCAATGGAGAAAACCAAGCTGTGGGGAGCTTCAGAGGTACAAATGTCTGAGGATGTCCTACGACCTTGGCCAGTGACACCTGAGACTGGTACCCACAAACAACTGCGCAGCATGACACTGTCATGACCTTCTGCCCAAAATTACAGGACCAGCAACTATCTTCCCTGCGGGAAGTTGAGACCTGGTCAATGTGACTTTGGAGGGCAACTGCATCAGTGTGTGAAATTGTCAAGTAAGGTAAGAGCTCTAATCTCAGTAAAACTAACATTAAACATCAGTATCCAAATCCACTACAAGTTGTCTTTAATTCTGTGCCATCTGTGAGAATAAAAGAAAACTACTACAGTGCCCATGTGAAACTATCCTGGGATCAAACAACAACCATGGATGACTTTTACTTTCTCACAATGTATACCTCTTAAAAGTAGAGGCTGCAGCCATTAGGTCAACAAGGCAGCTAATGGTACTGTTAGTATGTCACTTACATGTATGCTTTAGTAGTTATAGTTTCATGTCACCAAAATCCTATTTTTTTTTGTAAAAACAGTGGAGAAAGGAGCCGATCCTGTCCCCAACTTAACATACTTCATTACAAATATCTTGAGAAAATATCTTCATAGTCAGCCCTAAGGCAGCCTCACGGCATGACAAGAAGGCTGTGCCTAAGTGTAATACAAGGCTGCTGCTTTCACTGACCAGGACAAAATCTGCAGGATGACACAGTACCGTGAATGATACTGGGATTCAGGAGAAATAAAACCCAAGTCATGCCCTATGATACACAGCACAGTAAAGGTTTCAAGACACATGCCTAACCCTAAGATACTCTTTGTGTGAGTATAGGATACAACTCTCCACTAATGCCAATAAGCAGGGTTCTGCTGAAGTCAGCAGAGAGACGGTTCAATAGTACTTAAATTATACTGGAAATTGTAAGTTACCAGTTCATAACAACTACTTCTCGGAAAAGTTCATGCATCCCAAATACAGTATTAGTAATCCTGTCAATCTTATAAGCAATCTTAAAATCATATTGAAATCTCAAATGGTATGGACTGCATGAGAATCTCAAACACAGCCTAAGTATGTCTCAGAATAGCATATACTGCTTCACATTTTTCTTTTATCCCCCTAATAATTATTTTAATATTAATCAAACCCCAAATATACTTCATACTGTTATAAATTACTTTGAGGGTGTGAAATGTTATCACTATTAACTTATTCTCTCAGCATCACAGTGCAGTAAATATTTTTCCTTAGTGAGCAGGTGGAAAAACAAAAATGGAGAAACAACAGTAAACACTGCTATGGCACAGAAATGTGTGCCAAATGAAATTGAAATGCTGGATTTTAATTCCACAGTAACTTCTTTTGACTAATATCCACTCCTTTTTTTCCCCACATTTTAACGTTGTTCACAATGATACACAAGCATTATGTTCAACAGATAGACTTCAGTTTCCCAAGTATGCAAGAAAGTTATTTCTGATTAAAACAAACTTTGCCTGAGAAAGTGGACAAAACAACTAAAAAGACTGTATGTTCCAGTGTCATTTATAAATAGAGACCACTTTGTCCTCTCTCCACAGATAAAGATGCAGTCCAGAATCTCTAACATAAACTGATCATTTCATGGCAACATTGCATGTTGCTAAGTTATTGCTTAGTTATTCAGTTAAGTCTTCAGATTTAATGAGCATGGAAAATAGTATGTAAAGATTCTGCTAAACACCCTGTTCCTGAGCACATGGTAATGTGCTCAGAAAACACTACATGTCCAAAACTGTAATAAAGCAAAGGAAATTTGTTTGTTATTTCCAGAATGAAGAACTGTCAAATGTAACAAGGCTACATAATCTTACCATGTACCTATCTGGAACTGAGAAACTTTACTAAATGCAGTTTAAACACCACCATCAGGAATGATTTTTATGTTTCCCTCTGCTCAGTTTCTTCACTACCCACAACAGCAGGTACACACCACCTTTCCTGAAAAACCCTATACACTGCTTGCTTTACAATGGATTAAGTGATATAAAAGGTAGTGTGCAATAAAGATCCAGTTGGCAGAATATAATCAATCTTTCATCTTTAAAAGAGTTGGTCTTTCAGAACCTTTCCTTATACATTTCCATTTGGATGACAGGTGAAGCAATGTCAGTTTAACTACCTTAACTGTTGTGAAGTAAACTTCTCCACAGTGCTGATAAGCCACAAGGGTCTGTTCTTCTTGGTTCCGGGCTAGCCGGACAAACATCATCCAGTTTCCACAGTCTTCATTGGGAGTGTCCAGAAAGTACTTCCCTCCATCTTTCAATACCTGAAACAAAGGGGAAGAATGAGCATGATAAAACCAAGTCCCGCATAGAAGCACATTAGTTTTTTTAACTTGGAGTCACAGGTATCAGTTATTTACCCTGTCTTGCTCATATGTCCTTTGAAATTGCGGTTGTTTTGAAACAGATCACTCCTAAAGAATACTAACTGCAAAAGAAAGTGACGAACGAATACCTGCTGAGCACCCTGCTACTAAAATAACTGTAGGGCTTTGTATGTACTTCCAGTTTATATTTCATCATTTTTATGTTATATAGAGATAATATTATAAGAACTAAGTGCAGGCAGGTAGAAAGATAAGCTTTATGCCTTAATCTACTTCCTGAGTACTTGATAATCTCAAACTTCAGTGCTGCTACATTTTTCATGGAACAATTGTATAACTTGTGTAATAAGTTCAGAGAGGTAACATACAATATAATGGCATTTTAACAGTCTTGTCCTTTTCCCCTTAACAAGCAAAAGTAAATACAAATGAACAACTGTGCCAGAAAGATCTCTTTCTTTTTGCTTTACTTCATCCTTCCCAGATTCCCTTCCAAGAAGATGCCTCTGTGAGGTAAATACTATTGTCTTCCAACAAGACAGTTGCTTTTCTGCAATAGTGTCTCAAACATTGACCAACGAAGCTGCACAACAGATGTGAGCACAGCATGTATCTGTTCTACTAGCCATATAACTGAGTAATTAATTGCAAAAAAAAGTTGCATTTCCATTGCTTCTGGGAACTATTTTATCTAACTGCATCACGTTTCCGATGAAAACACCTGCCTGTTGGACAAGTTTGGTCACATACTCATGCTAGGGAGAAGTCAAGGCAGCTATTGCTGTCATGTAGGAAATCTGGGACTCTAATCTCCTCTTCTGAAGAAACAGTCCATTCATCAGCCAGAGCTGTGCTTATCACTGTATACTTTTAAGCAAACGGTGCTGAGTGATAGAGGATAGGGTGTGGTTTACAATGGCTTGGTGAAGAGGAAGGAACTGGGTGCTTAGCTCATCCATCCATTGTTAGAGAAGTACATTTTCTACATTTGTAAGAATTAAAGTGTCTCGTAAAAAAACTGAAGAAACTTAGTTATGGAGAAGAGCAAATCCTTTCTGGTGACAATATGCCATGAAAATCGCACAGATTATTCTCCTGGCAGTGTTATTCTCCTGGCAGATCATTCCCATGACTTCCATGTGCAAATGAAGTTTACGGCAACTACTGAAGCTATTACTTTTGCTCTCAAACAGAATTATGGAAGTATTTTTTTCACAACACACTGTTTTCTAGCCCTGAGCTTCTGGAGAAAGTTTGTACAAAGACATAAAGCGTGTCACAGGACAGCTGCTGCCGGTGTCTCTCTACTGGGGGGTGAGAGGGCCTGATATGAAATACAAACTCTGGAAGAACCGTGACCTGTTGGGAAGTCCTGACAGAGGCTGTGACTTGACCATGGACTCGCTGTATGACACAAGATGTGTGCTCAGGCATGACCCCATGCAGCAAAATGCAAAGACTGGAACCTAGAGGATTACAATCAGCTATCGCTCCCAAGGAATTCCTGTGGTAAAGGATGTGCACGTCTAAGCTAGGCCAGTCCTGTGAGGCCACTATTTTTGCTGCATAAAGTGTGAACAATAGTGTCATGGTCCAGATGAGATGATTAGAATCTGTGTGTGCAGCAACAGATGGTACCAGCACTAAAAAACAATCTGACTACATAAACTGAGTAGTGCACTGTGTGTCAAAGTTTACATATAATATAAACACATTATTAAGAAATGTTTCCTCATCCCTGCACTGTTCCTCCCTACTAAGCAAGTGCCTTAGTGCGTATTTCTGCCATCATCTCTAATCCAGTGCACAAACTCAAACCTCCCAGTGGCATGGTGTAAAGCACAAATCCTTTTGTGTTATCTGGGAAGACAGTTCAGTAGCCAGGCTCTGTGAAAAGTTTTTAAGAGCTGTTAGACTGAGAAGTCCAACATTCTGAAAATGGTAAAACTAGAAAGCAGAAAAGCAAAATTCTAGAAAACACAACATACAGGAACATATTGGTACTTCAGGTTATGCTGTATTGCCTAATAATGTGATTTACATTCATACTTACAGATCAAAAGCACAGTTAATTAACTAGATCAGTTGGCAAATTGACTGACTAAAATACATAAATACACATGAACTGCTAAAGACATATACGCACTTCATAGAATGTCAGTGGGTTTTTACCTGCAGGACTAGCCTGCTCTCATCATAGCAGGTCAGTTTTGTAGACAGTTGACCAACATAAGGACCAAACTGTGTTCTCTTCTGTATTACTTTCTTTGCAAATACACCAAGGACTGTGAACAAAGAGAGACCAATCTAATATTAATATAGACATCACAAACTATTTCCTATACATTTACAGCTGTGAAAATGGAGATAAACAAACAGTGCAGAACACATAGATTCTTCTTCTAGACAAGTAAGCCCTAATGTGAAGAATCTAAAAAGGATGTAAATAGGTACTGATATTTTTTTTTTAAATGGGTACTGCATTGAATGTAGAAGTGCCTAAAGTCCATGACAGGACATTAAACTGAGTGTGCAACACAATTGTGTTGCTACTCTTCAATCTACAAACTGATGTTATCATAGTGCTCTCCTTGTTGGCATAATCTGAGAGGTTGTTGTCTCCCGATATGAGTGGAGAGGATCTATAAAAACATAACATTATTCTGCAACACTCATATCAACGGAGTGGCAGAATAGACACCTTGTCATTCTCTTTCTGAAATGCAATCTAGGCAGGACTACTTTTACACAGGTACCTGTGGAAAATTTGTGCACTAAGGACGTCTTTTCCGTGTTCGAGTCTGGGCATTTGAATTGCCTTGCCTTCAGAAGGAAACAACAGTCTTTCCAAAGAATGAACTGAAGATGCTGCAAAATGTAAATTACCCCACTGATCTTTTGTGTTTGCAGGGGGTGGATGAGTGATATCATTTACCATTTTGTTTCTTTCTTTTTATTGAGTACTCTTTCCTGTTTCACATGCTTGGGGCTAAAAAAAAAGTAATAGTGCATGGCTGTTACTATTAGATACAAATTCAACATTCATTAAACTTGAATTGACTGAACAGAGCTAGCTGGTTGCTCACAGCTAAATGTCACACCAGATCTGGCTAATGTCCTGCCATCAGTCTGTGCTTCTAAGTTAGTAGAAATCAGTCATAAAAAACAGGAGCTGACTGTGAGCTTTAGCTGTGCCCAGCTGAAAATAAAGCAGTCTTCATACTGCTAATGCCCAATGATTATGCCTCACGAAAACAAGCCAGTGCTAGTAATTTTGCCTCCTCTTTCTCAAATGTGGGAAAAAGAGCTAAAATACTTACTCTGCTGGTTTCCAGCTCGCAGCTCCAACACTCGCAAAGTGAGGTAGTGAGGTAGGGTGAGACGGGCTCGGCTGGGAATAACCCTATCTTTAGCCCTGATGAGTGGTCCGTGGAGTTTGCATTCTCCTACAAGGCTTCTACCACAATCCTCACACCCTACAAATCCAGAAAAGGGAACCTGTTACTAAAAATGGCATACTACTTTCAAATTTAATCTCCTCTAATTTTGTCACCTTGAGAACACATCTGGAATTACTAATGCTTTCCTTCACACCAGTGTTCTACATAAGTTAGTGAAAAGATTATCTGCAAGAACTGAATTCGGAAGGTTTGAAATAACACCTCCAGTCTGTGCATTCTCTTGTGTGCAAATTGCTGGGTCCTGACCTCCAAAGATTTATACATGTGTTCAATTGGAGATGTCACAAACTGTGCCTCTGAAGACTGAGACGGCAGCAAAACTGGAGCTCATCGTGTGCTCACCTATAAATCAAGGTGCATATATGAAATGCACCAGAAATGAGAAGGACAAAGCTGTTAGTAACAACATGGCAAGGTTAGTCCCTTCCAACCTTACCCATTCTGTGATTATGTAATCCTGTAATTTGCAGAGATCCAAGGAATTCAAGGAAGACTTTGTGTCTGCTGCACAGACCATTCTCAGTAGAAGACAAGACCCACAGTGTACCATGAAAAATAAGTATGATGGGTCTTACAGTCACAACTCAGTTGACAATCGCACAAGGGCAGCCTTCTTGCAGGCCTCGCTGCCTATGGGAGTAAGGAAAAGGGGCACACCACATCTCCCAGTTGCTGGTTCCAATAATGACATCTGCAGGCTGAACACATGTACCATCCAGAGAAGTCATTAAAGAAAAATACATGTCTGCAAACTGACTTTCCCCCAGCACAGTGAGATATTTTTGGTTCAGTGCAGCTTAAACTGGTTGCCAGGGAAACTCATACTGAGCAGCGACACAACTGAGCAATGAGACTTTCCAGCAGAAGGTCATCTTGGCACTGCTGTCACGCAGGGCGATGGGAAAAAGGGGACTTCTTGTACAAAACATTTTTATAGACGGCAGAAACCAAACCAGTAAGCCAACAGTGCTTTACGACTGAGTTAAAAGGAAAAGCTGGTATTGGTCATCCATGACTACCTCATTTTGTTTTCCTTATGAAAACTCTGCTGAGCAAGTCTATTCAGTAAGCAACAATACAGAGCAGAGGAGGGGAGCCAGCACAGTCAAGAGAGTCCAAGGGAGCCACAGGACATTGTAGCAGAGACTGGGGCAGAAGAGGTGAGGCTTCACCACAGAGAGGGGCTTATAACCAAGGAGAGGTCAAGAGAAGCATAGAAAGCTCAGGAGACTTTGCCTGGGGAGACATCGGAGATGTCTTTGAGAAAGGACACTAGCACCATAAATGCCATTACATATTAAGGGTAGCTCAAAAAGGTTTTTGTTTGTAAACAGATGTAGGCACTTGACTAAATTACACACCTCGATAGTCTAGTCCAAAATCTCCCAAATAAGCTGGAAGTGTTCCTAGCCAGTTCTTTGGGCACTCCATCAATTTTAAATGAGGAGGCAGACCTGTGTGTTCGTCAGGCTGGAGGCACTACAATAGTCTGTATTTTTCAGTAATTTGGGGACCGTGTAAGTTTTCTTTTGCCATGGCTCCCAGGCTGCATGCCTGCACTATGAGTAGCTGAAATACATTACTTTTTTTGCAAGCGCTACAGATAAAGAACATGCCCCTCTACAGCCCTCACTTAAAATGCACAAAAAACAATACAGCTGCAAAGCATATTTTTCTTGTTATACACTGGTTTGTGTACCTGAAAGTCCTTTACAGCTAGGCTGCAAGAAAAAACAATTTCCTTGGTGATTTAACTTAATTGGCTTTTAAATAGATTCCAGAAGTCACCCTTCTGAGGACAACAAAATTAGGAGGGCTTCCTGAGCTTACTAGAATAATAGTAACTTTGTCTCAAGTCAAACAGCTCCTGCTTGGAGAGTCATTATATGCAAACTGCCAAAACACATTACCAAAAGCAAAATGGAGACAAAGAACTGCTGTTAGGGGAAGGATGTGTCTAATCGTAAAGTACACGACCTTATCAATCCATGCCATACCTCTGTGATTCATCACTACCAAGCTCCTGAGCAAACCTCTCAGCCTCCCCGGGGCAGTGCCCACCGCAGAGGCCCCAGGGTGGGCAGCTCACAGGTAGGCGGGAAAAGGAAAGCAGGGGAAAAGGGTATTCTTTGAATCGGCCTCCAAACTCAGCAGTAATTCATTAGCTAACCCCCTTAGTCCTCCAGATCCAAGACATAAGGTCTGAAATGATTCACACAGGTGGGTACCGGGGAGGCACTCCTCTAAAATCAGGGACTGCTTTGCATCAGAAGAGGTGTTGAGCATGCCACTGAGCTTAGCAGCCCCACAGATGGTTCCCCAGGTAGCACACCTAAGCAGCATGACAAAGCCCTGAATGAAATTAGCTGCAGAGCTGGAAGTGCTTTTAAGCACCTTGGGACCTGGCATAGCTGCACAACGCCTTGAAATATCCAGAGCTGCCCAAGGCTTGTTCTAAGATTTTCTATGGTTTTTTTTACATGGGACCTGAAGATAACTAGATTACTTAAGTTATTTAAGAGGCATACTGGTATTACATTTACTGCACAGTATTTCTGACTCCACACCAACATGCTAGTACCCTGACTCAGAATTTATTGCGCTCTAAAAATTGCCAGGTGTACCAGAACCACAGGACTGGAGCACTGCAAACAGAATAACTTCAGGGACTACCCTGGGGAATGGGGATCTTCGTAATTTCTCTCCCCAAAACTAACAGTGCAAAACAGTCAAGTTCACAATCTTCCTCAGAGATAACTACAGATCAAGTCATGATCCTTTGTATATCAGTGCTAAATCACATTGGTGAAGGAATGTATATATAGCTGCAGCACAGCACTGGTTTGCAAAGCTTACACAGATTTTATACCCCTTTTTACCTTGGCTAATTAAGTAAACTGCATTTTTTCAACAACAGCCTCAGAACTCACTCTGTTTTGAAATATCGAGCATCCAGCCATGGAAACAACACACACTTTGTTGTATTAGCACTAGAAATGAAATACACTTGGTTAGAAAAATCATTTTCTGTGAAGAAGATTTCTTCTGCTTTTTGTTGGGCACTTTAGTACCTCAATGCTTTTGCAGTTTCCTTGCTCCCTTAAACTGTATTTACACAAACAAAATTAATGGGCTCGAGGTCATGTGCAAGCATGCAAGAAAAAGTAAAACTGCCACCATTCCTCTGCTTTGCTGTGATTTAGATGAGTAGGGAACAAAAAGAAATAAATGAGATTCACAGGAGTTACAAGCTGTTAAAAAACAGATCGTGTCATTTACTATACCTTTAGAACAACAGTGCTATATTGTCCCCTAGAGGGTATTTCTTCATTCTTTCTCTGTCTTTGCAGTGATTCTGAAAAACTTCCAAGTCATGCTTTTTTATCTATCTAGAGATACAACTACACAAGCTAACAAATCTTATAGCTGTTAAGATTTTTACTTTGCTGAACTTCACTGCAGCAGGGGGGAGACAGGCATACAGAAGAGCCTGGCACGGGTGCAGGTGCAGACTCTGACCAAGTTGCAGGTGTGCAGCCACCACCTTAATCACAAGGACAAGGTGCTCACCCCCTACAAACTGCCTCTGGAGGGGCTAACAGAAGGGCACATCTGTACACCCCAAGCCTGGTATCCCTGTGCCTGAATCTGCTCCCACTTCTCCCAGATATTGAGAGGCATGGTTGGCAGCAGCCACGGCTTTCCCTGGCTCTTTGGGTCATCAGAAAAGTGAGACCCACTGCCTGCAGGATGCACTCCGACCACATGAGCTGACCGAATGTTCCCAAGGAGGTGAATGGGCTGCGAATGTGGCTCACCTGTACCATCCTCACCATGCTGGTTCTTCCCCCCAGTCCAGGTCTAGGTGACAGTTCTCCTTTGCTTCAGACTATACAGCCTGGCAGCCTCAGTGACCAGCCTGCCTCGTCCTCCAGACGGCTCTGGGGCCAGCCACGCTGCACAGGGACAAGCTCCCGCAGCCAACAGTAGCCAAGCTGGCACAGTAGCTTGGGCAAGCTGGACTTGAGCACAGTCAACAAACTGGTTTCCAAAACAGCAGCACTGTCGAGTACTGTGCCACCCCCACAGGCACAAGCCCGGCCTCGGGGAGAGCTCATTAGCGTGGGCAAGGAGCCACAGGCTGCGGTTACACAGAGTCTGCTGCAGAGATAACAGGAGCTATACATAACCATACTAGGAACTACAATCACTGTCATGATAGCTCAGACATGCCACTAGCTCCTTAACCAATCAGCAGTGGAACATCACTTTTTAAAACCAGTTTGCTAAAAATTAGATGCCTATCAGGACGTCCTTCCTGCGTTTTGTCCAACCTCTATTTTCAAGAGAGACTTTACAGTACCTGAACACTTCAGTGGCCCACAAGATGCCTGCGGTACAATTATGTTCCCTGTGAAGGCAGAGGTAAATCATTCCTTCTAAAACGTCCACTTTGAGCAAGAAACGATCGGCGTCTGAGCAGCACTTGACATTTGCTGTGCTGTTTTGCAGCATTAGAATTAGCTCCCATGAGCAAGGGAGCAAAGATCAGTGTACATAACAGTCCAAATCCTAGACTAATTACAATCATAAGATTTGCATAGCAAACAACAGTAATTTATCACAGAGTAAAACTGTACTGCTCCATTAGCCTTGTTCAGCTTTCACATAGAGGAACACTGCAAAAATACCATCTGGATGTTTTCTGTCCAAGATGCTTTGCACATACCAGTCTTGGTTCTTCTTACTCAGAGGTGTGTGAGGTGGTGCATGAGGGTTTCCTGCCCTATGGTTTCTTCTGCAGCACTGTGCTGGAAAAGCTTAAAAGCCTTGTTCTACAGTGTAATTTATTTGGCAAAAAAGTCAAAGTACTCAATTAGCAAATAGTTAATCACAAGTTATTTTCCCATTATTGTGGGCCACTGACACAATTCCCACTGTAAAGAAATGTTTATGAAAGAAGCTTTATGTGTCCTAAGTTTGATGTGCAAAATGAAGCTCTTAATTAATAATTT